TGTGACAAGTCCCCAAGCGCAACAGCCTCTTTCGACCAATGAGGGACATCAGATTACGTCATCGTTGTTTTTCTATCCGTCCCTCTTCGCTTCTGTCGTCTTTAGGGTTCGGTGAATTTATTGTTCGAGGTTTAGCAGCACAAATCTGTGAAACAAAATGCACGTGTGAGCGTAAATTTGAGCAGCACTCCGAAGCGAAATGGCTTTAAAACTGACAGAAATTTTTTCAAAATTAGGACAACTACAGACTAACAATTACCTTGTGACCTTCAGAAGCATTTGTCGGCATTTTGTTGACGTTAAATGTTCTCTGATGACGCTTTTCAACGCGAAACGTCACCGTGCATGGTTATAGTTCTTTTCCAAATCTTGTGGAAATCCAGGTTATTTCACAACTCGTAGCTCCTCGTTCTACAATAGAAATCCACTCAGCGCATCTTTGAATGCTCTCTAGGGACGCATTACAATGTAAATCATCGTCAGTGATTATAGATTCTTCTGAAATCTTATGAAGATTTAAGTTTACTGCTGTCGACACATACCATCGCCTCATGACCACTCTTTTACATCCTAAAATTGAAGATAAAGTAAACTTTAGTTACACAAATAAATCCTAGGATGTTTTAAAACATTACTACAACAAATTAGGGCAGAAAATACGAAACAAAACGAGAAACTAAGCTATTAAGATAGACCTTGTGCTTACCAAGGTGTGACTTTAAAGTCGGCGTTGAATGAACACCTTCTCGTCGAATTAACGAGGCTAAAATTGAAGATAAATCAAGAATAAGTTACACAAATCAAACAATGAATATTATAAAGCATTATAACGATGAAATAAGACAATAATTTCAAGAAACGACCGCATATAAACGGCGGGTATTTTAAGAGAAATAAACACGCTAACTTAACTCATTGTAATATCACATCATTTCGACGTAAACGCAGATAAAATATCATTTAATTCTTATACTCACTTCGTCTTCTTGTCTTTTTCTTCAAAGTCATTTTAGAGAAGTTTAAGCCGGGTTTTTTCCGGCTTGTAAAATATGTGACGTTCTCGTCCTTTTGTCGTGAACGGTACATCAAAAAAGTGGAAGAATCGTAGTTACATGCGCCATGCGCCTAGGGCATGACCAAAATTAAGATTTGAATTTGCCTCCCAAATTAGCTCCGCGTCCTTGATCCTCATTGGTCGTGTTCTTTCGTCCGACGTGTGACGGGTTCAAGAGGCCCTAAAATTGGGTCTGGGACTCTAAGGGGCTGGCCCGCAAAGCCTAGTGCCCCACTTAACCTCGTTGGGCGGAAAACCTAAGAACAAGCATGGAACGAGGGCGAAAGTATTCAAGGCGGACATGAGTGTTAAAAGCAAGCTATCATAGATAAACGCCCTGTCTGTTTAACACGCCTTGGGGGACTCTCTTAAATATTCATACTTTTAATTCATCCGCTGTAAAAAGCGATTCGTTTTTTTTAATTTCAAGGCGTATTTTAAATTTCATTGTTTGATAAAGTGCGTGTAAAAGTCGACGAGAATTACCAAGCTATAGACGGCAGAAAAACAAGCCGTATTGTCAATATCTCACTACGATATTTTTGAAGTAAAGTTGAAAAAATACCGCAGTAAAATTCGGTATTCTTGTTGAATTAGCTACTCAATTGTTTCAAGTTACAAGTGAAAGCTAGTGAATGGTAGTTACAAATAATATGCCCCGTGTTTACTAAACAAACATTCAGTTCCTTCTGTAATCCCCCTGATATATTGTTTACATTGTGTATTAGTGTATATATTTTTAAAAAAAAAACCGCACGAATTTGTGAATGTGCTCACAGACGTCTTAGTACAATGCGGCAAGCCATTGATGCAATCGCTTTTACCAAGTGTTTATTGAGTGTTTGATGTGGAACACTCTTAGCCGGGGCGGAGATGTGGTTATGCATTTTAATGAGTATTGTGTGGGTGTGAGTTGGAGGATGAGATGGATGGGGAATTAGACTGGGGGAATTAACTGGGGGGATTAACTGGGGGGAAACCTGCCCTGTCGTGATTGTCTGGCGCATGCAGAGCATCAGAAAAAACATTGCTGGATAAAGTAGGAAACAATGTTTCCTGGTTTGTCCATCTTCATGAAACATGGCTAGGAAACAATGTTTCCTGGTTTGTCCACTTTAAGGAAACGTGGCTAGGAAACAATGTTTCCTGGTTTGTCCACCTTCATGAAACATGGCTAGGAAACAATGTTTCCTGGTTTGTCCACTTTAAGGAAACGTGGCTAGGAAACAATGTTTCCTGGTTTGTCCACCTTCATGAAACGTGGCTAGGAAACAATGTTTCCTGGTTTGTCTACCTTCATGAAACATGGCTAGGAAACAATGTTTCCTGGTTTGTCTACCTTCATGAAACGGCTAGGAAACAATGCCTCCTGGTTTGTTCACCTTCCGGAACAATGCTTTTCTGGTTTTCTCTTGAATTTTATTGGTAAAATAAACAATTCCCACAACTCATAAATGTAGTTTTTTGTTGAAAGATCAGGCCATGTGTTTACTTGAAAGAAATGATTCGACTACTTTATAACCGCAAGGGGATATTCTGTGCACAAACCGCATGATTAATATTGACGAAATAATCTCAGGTCTCAAGTGACTGGCGCAGGAAATGAAGACGTGTCAGCGGAAATACAATTTGAAGATATCGGACGGAGCCCAAGAGATCCCAGCGGCATTTTTCATGAAATTATGAAAAAAAGTAGTTTAAATTTTGATGTTATTTCTTCAAGTACTGCGCGTCAGTATTACTGTAAAATTATTGAAAAAAATTATATTTTTCGAAGCATATTTATTGCCATAGCTTTTGTCCAAAATCATTCAGTAGCATTTTTAAGTTGGGTTTCTTTCAAACGCTTTAAGCTAGATTGAAAGATAATTTATTGAGAATTGCATATTTCTCATTTTGTGAGACTCTATCTCTTGTCTTCCAAATCTTAGAAATTGACTAGAGAAATTCAATTTCCCAAAAAAATCCGAGCAAAGATCTTTGAGAGTTGTACAACAAACCTGAGACGAAAAAGGCGTTGAATGAGGCGTTAGATTCCAGTATTTATATTAATATATACTTGGGCAGTGATTTTTCAAACGTGATCGTTACTTTGTATTTATTTCTTGCTGCTTTTAAGATTTTTTATATATTCTGGATCGAAGTCTAGAACACGTTCCGGTATATATCCAGCAAATTATCAAAGCTCCCACACACCGGGTAAATGTTTCTTTTTTCTTTCCGATACATTTCGGATTAGATATTAATTATGTTGTGATAACGAGAGCGATAACGAAGCGGCCATGTTAACGTTGTTATTCTTGTCATCACGTAGATCTGTAGGGAACCAAAGATAGCTCTGAAGGTTCTGGAATGAGTGTATATTTCATGTTATCATATATATTGCTGGGGGTACAGAAGACAGCGATATGCATGATTTATAAACGTTATGCTATCAAGAATAGCGCCTATGAAACACAATTTCCATTTGCTCATAACTCACGTAAATTTGTCATCTTCATCGATGTCAAAATGTGGGTGTATTCGACATAATTCTCTGCAATTAAATCAATTTAAATCAGCCTTTGCTGGCCAACTGACCAAAGAACATTTCTTAAATCCATTACTTTAAAAAGGCCCTAGCTTTTTGTGTTGTTTTTTTCGTTTTTACAACCGTTGTCCTTGCAGAGTCTGTAGTGATCGCAAACCTTTAGTGTTAAAGTGTTAGCTTTAGAAAAACTTTAAAAACTTTCTTTAACATAATTCAGCGCAAATTGTAAAATTCAAATTTGTTGCAATTGTTGATTGTTACAAAACCAGACCAGTTTTCGTCTAGTCAAATTCAAATTGAAATAGTCAAATTGAAAAATATTCTGGAAAACATGAAAGGTGTAAAAAGACGAGACCAACGAATTCTTCTTCGCACTTCAAACTTGAACGGCATTCGGCTGCATGCATGTTTCCTTGAAAAAGTAGCGATGGATATCTTTAGTCTTGAGGTGTGTTTTATTTTTTAAAATGTAACTCGGCTCGAAATAACTGCTGGTTTAGCCTGATTAGTTTTTCTGGCCCTTGCGAGTGAGATGCGATAAAAAGTGATGAAGCACGATCATCTGATGTGGGCAGATAAAATCTCTTTTAATCACTCGACTCTCAGACTCCAATTTTTCGATTGGTCTAAGGAATACTCATAAAAGACATTTAGCAATGGTTTTAAAAGCTGCGTCTAGAAAATGGCATGCATGTGTTTATTTCACACGGGATAATTTACTTTGCTGTGTGTTATCTCGAATTGAAATTGATTGTCTCTTAATTGTGTCGGCAATCATGTGTTGGTAAAAGTTTATCAAACTTGCGACAGTAATCATTGCAGATATCACACGCAAGCGACGAAAAACTCCGATTAATTATTTACTGAAATAAAAACCAAACGATATCGCACTAGTTTACTAGCGCTATTTATATTTGGAATTACAGTTAGTTGTTTTGTAACGATTACCCAGTTATACAATTTAACTTAACCTACATTCAAATCGATTAATTTTCTTACAATATTTTTAAACATAACACAACTATAAACAAATACGATTTATTTTTAATACAAATTTTATCATCGTGCTTAGCCATTCTGATGCAAACCTCTTATCAGTGCAATGCATCTGATGACAAAATTTCCAAACACAAAACAAAGAATCACGTTATGGAAAATTCGCTGAAACCTTTTATAAGAGGTAGAATTATACTTGGTTATTAAAATGATATAAAACGTCTTCAGATACGTTTGTAATAACAGCATGTTGTCGATCCAGCAGTTAAAATTAACATTGTTGAAGATTTTTTTGGCAGGTGTGTTGCGGTTCTTGTGTGAGAATGTTTGAACACAACTCTAGTTCTTATCGGAATGATTTATAAATTTTTAAATGATATTACGTGGGCGATAGGACGCATAAAAGAAACAACTGTTTAACAGGCGAAACTAAATCAAACTTTCATTCAACACGGCAACAAGATGGCACTGTGTAGAATCATTTTCCTTGCGATTAGTTGCATATTTTTGGCAGAATGCCGGCATTTGACGCGAAACGAAGCCTTGTCTAAAGCATTCGAAGATGTCTACAGCGAATTCGAACGACCGCGTTTGGGCGATGAGGTCATCGAGCTCGAAGAATTAGGGCCAAGACGAGGAAGAGAGATTGCTCTGGGGCCAAGACGAGGAAGGGAACTTTTCGATGATGAAAGTGATGATGAAGATGGCCCAAGACGTGGTAGAGACGAAATAACTGGCCCAAGACGTGGTAGAGATGAAATTACCGGACCCAGGCGTGGTAGGGACGAAATAACTGGCCCCAGACGAGGTAGAGACGAAATTACCGGGCCAAGACGAGGTAGAAGTGAGATTACTGGCCCCAGACGTGGTAGAGACGAAATTACTGGTCCAAGACGTGGTAGAGATGAAATTACTGGCCCAAGACGTGGTAGAGATGAAATTACTGGCCCAAGACGTGGTAGAAGTGAAGTCACAGGACCACGACGAGGTAGAAGTGACATTACTGGACCGCGCCGAGGGTAAAAAACACCAGAAAACGTTCAAAGTGATCATCCCGTTTAAACATCTAGCAAGAACCTATCATTTAAGACGAGCAAATTAATAGCCACTGGCTCTATTGTAACGAAAACTACAGATATTTTCGAAATAATAAATTGTAATGTAAGAAGACACAATGTGTTGACATAAAAGAATAATATTTATCATTTAATAAAGTGTTTTTCTTCTGCACTTATTACCTGGCTATCGAGGGGGATTAGGCATTATTTATTGATTGGGTTAAAACCACACGCCCAAGGGGGTTCACACTGAATTAAGACCTTAATTTAAAAAGGAAATAGACGAAGTATCGAGCCAGGCCAGGCTGGGAACACATGCACTAGAATGAAAACAAATTAAAATATTAAAATCCCAAATTTAATGAACTAGAGCTTGCCTAGTAAAGCTTTGTGTGAACTTGAATCTCAATGAAAAAAACGACACACTGTCGCATGTTTTTCTCATATAATGAAGAAAGGGACGAGGTTCCAGATGAATTAAGGAAGAACTGCATGATAAACCCGGAACTTCAACTATATGAGAATGTTTCTGGCGGTCATGTTTTTATTAAAAGGATATTTTCGTGGTTTTTCCTGCAGACAGATTATTTCTGTCTTCCAAAAGCCACATTAAGACATCAACGTTTACCTTCGAATCATCGTATTTTTCACAAGTCTTCATACACAACGTGAAATCGGTCTCATAGACTTCTTGCACATGTATAATACACACAAATATTAGTATCTTTTTATTTATATATACAATTAGTAGTTAATTACGTTTCTGTTCAACCAACTCTTGAACAGCTGCCGGACTCAACTGATAAAATCAGCGAGGCTCACGAACAGACGTTCCTGGAAAGTTTAGAAATCGTTGGGATTAGGTTTCCGGGAAATGGGTTGGGACACTTAGGCCCGGATTACACTACTAAATTTTCTCTGATTAAAGTTGAAATTTTCCAACAATACGTCCCACGTTTTAAAGGATTTGTTGAAAATACTGGAAGGAACTGTAACACTATAATTATTACAAAGTTATTTCATCCGAATATTAGGTACAAAATGTTTAAAACTTTGGATTTCACAACGCAAAATTGCAACTGTGATCACAGAAACTTGATAGGGTAAACCGGGCTTTATTCAGTGTGTCAGAAAGCGTTCATATATAGAGCTCATGAGATGACCTACCTCATTCGTGGTCATTTTAAAAAAGCAGGATCCTTTTCTCAACGGGTTTTCTACAGATGGGACACTCGTGCATCCGATCCCCACACAACTGACACGTCCCATGACCACAGAGAAACACCAAATTCTTTCGCTTGTCCAAACACACAGGACACTGAGTCTTAGGAGATGAGGTTTTAAAGAAAAACATTAGACTAGCAATAGAGAACGTTGCCATCCCCAAGAACACGAGACGTTAGGTATATTAAGACATGAAGTACACTATTAAGACGATCACACGATCAAACTTTGTCAGATCCAATTCACGTCTGCATGATGGATGTTTCATGGTCTATCGACTAACAATGTGTATTGGACAGCGAATCCTCTAAGGCCAATGCACTGCTTCAGTACTGCTTTATCAATAACAAACTATATCCCATACGTCAGAAGTGAATTTGATCCGAGAAAGCTGGATCGTGTGAACGGGCGTTTAGACCAGCAAGAGAGGACATTACCAAGCCAACCCAGCTTGGTTAAGTCAAACAGGATTCATTCTTTCACATTCTATAAAATTCTATACCAAAAATCACATCCCAAGGGGTCAGTTTTTTGCAGCCAAAGTAAACGCAATAATTACCTGTTCCTTGATCTCTTGTAGCTGTTGTTTCAGCGTTCCAATATCCTGTTGAGTGAGTTCCCTCTTTGGAGAACAAGTCGTCGTAAGTTCCTCAGGTTCTAGAAAACACAGAGAGTTGTCAATGGTGGTTGGAAACATGAGCGAAATTTATATACTTGTGAGAGCTGACCGGCCGCAGTTATAATTAAGACAAGTTCATCAACTCTCCGGCGCCCTCCGGCAGTAAAATATCATTAAGTATTAGTCGTCATGCAAGCTGATTCTGTATTTACACAACTTTCTTTATCTTCCTACCTCGTCCACCACAACACACGATAAAAGGAATTGACGTTTGAATCACTTCACGACACTGAATACATTTCTTCATCAGCGCCGCGCAGCCTTTAAAAATCGAAACGATCAGTTTTAAAACATTGCAGTGTTATCGAAAACACATCAAATACACACGAAAGTCATCTCACCGGTGCAAGCATTCATATGTTGACAAGGAGAGAACAAAACACTTGCTTTTTGATCGGAACACACGACACATTCCTCAATCTGAAATGGAATGAAATATGATTGACGCGGGCAATTCTGTATGTCCACATGGCTTAGTCATAGAAAGTAAGATACTGTATAGCATCAAATGTGGTATAACAACTGCCTAAATAGACAAAGGGCCTTCAGGTCGAAACGTCGAGAAGTGTTTTGTCTATTTAGGCAGTTGTTATACCACATTTTATGCTAAGTTGTTTGAAGACGCTGCCACGCTGCTCCCTGGTTGTATTGTAAGATACTGTATACCTTAGTTTTGGACTGAACTGGTTCCTTGCATAAAAGACATTTCTTGACCCGCGAGGAACACACGAAGCATGTAGTCACATGACCGCAAGGACCATATAAGGTGTCCCGTCGTGCATCGGAGCATACCATGCACTCGTCATGTTTCTCGTCTTCCATTGACTCGTTCTGCGCAGCCGCACTGGCTACAGCTAGTTGGTTGTTGGGAATTTGCTCCCTGGAGAAATAACAGATATATTTAGTATCAGGAATATATAAAATGACCCTGCCGACACACTGCTGAATTATCCCCCAATGAACACTGCTGCTCGTTAAATCTCCCCTTACCCCCTCAGCATTACAAAGATGTTGTACTTCATGTTATCTAATCACTCTGAATGTACGACTATTAGACATCATTCAAACGTACGTGTTTCTCTCCCGGTTGCAGTTCGTCAAAGCTCGACACAGGTTCGGATCAGGGCAAAGATCCAGAGGACTCTGTCCTTTCTTGTTTCTGAACGATAAATCAGCTCCGTTGGCGGCCAAGAACATCGATATTGAAGCACTGCTTTTCTTATCACCGCCATGACTACCAAGTCCCATTAATAACTGGAAAATACGAAGTTAGGATCATCTCTTATTGATCCAGTGTTGCTACAGGAGGAAACCTAAACTAAACTAACTTTATTTATACTGAATAGCTCTATCAGTTCTAAACTGTTCTTCCTAGAGGCCCAGTAAGGATCATCTCTTACTGATCCAGTGTTACTGCACGACGAAACCTAAACTAAACTAACTTTATTTATACTGGATAGCTCTATCAGTTCTAAACTGTTCTTCCTGGAGGTCCAGTAAGGATCATCTCTTATTGATCCAGTGTTAGTACAGGAGGAAACCTAAACTAAACTAACTTTATTTATATTGGATAGTTCTATCAGTTTTAAACTGTTCTTCCTAGAGGTCCAGTAAGGATCATCTCTTACTGATCCAGTGTTACTACAGGAGGAAACCTAAACTAAACTAACTTTGTCTATACAGAATAGCTCTATCAGTTCTAAACTGTTCTTCCTAGAGGTCCAGTAAGGATCATCTCTTACTGATCCAGTGTTACTACAGGAGGAAACCTAAACTAAACTAACTTTGTCTATACAGAATAGCTCTATCAGCTCTAAACTGTTCTTTCTTAAGGCATCCAATAAATACCTTTCCAACATCTTGTCTGTCTTGCAGTAATCTAAGCTGTGATAAGGTGTGATGCCTCAGTGCCTCGTGTAAGGCTGTGTCGCCATCTTTATCAGGAATATCTAATCTCGCTCCTTCACGAACAAGAAGCTAAAGAAACGAGACAAACTCAGTTCAATATTCAGCCTCCGTGTTTTTAAACAAGTTCATCAACAATACAATATCAATTATCGTGACATAAACCACGGAAGGTCTTCAAAATTGATGCCTATAGATGTTCTTATATTTGTCCTAAGCTGTAACGAAAGCGTACTCACCCTAACTATTTGAGTATGCTGTCTTTCCACGGCAAGATGAAGAGGTGTTTGAAGATTAATGTTTTGAATGTTGATGTCAGCCTTACCCTGAAATAAATAACAATGTTAATATTTTTACAAATGTTATAGACGACGTTTAGTAAAGATAGGAAAGGAAACCTGTTTAACAAGAAGCTCGGCGACTTCAACGTGGTTGTTCAAAGCAGCGAGATGCAAAGCAGAATATCCATCATCTTTCTTCTCATTAACAATCCACGCCCGAGGTAACTTACTCAGCAAAATCTTCATCGCACTGTTAAAAAGAATGATATTTCCGTCACGTCTCTCATCTCACTTGAGTCCTCTCTAACTTCGGATGATCCTTTCTACAAAAACCCCCTGACCTAACCCTCTGATCCTCTCTCTATCCCTAATGCTCCCCGATTGCACCAAAGCTTACCTCGGATTGCCTCTTAATGCGGCATGTTGAAGCGAGTTGAAGCCATTGTTGTTTGATAATGTAATATCCGCACCCCCCTCTAACAACAGTGCTACTATATCATCACGCTTCTTTGCAATTGCATCGTGCAGGGGGGTGTCGCCATCGGAATCCTAAAAATGGAAAGTCTGTTTAGCAAACGATAGTTTAGTGATTCGGGATTCCTCCTGGAACAACAAGATATAATCCCTGTAGGACCTTCCTTCTATAGTAACACTGGATCAATAAGAGATGATCTTTACTGGACCTCTAGGAAGAACAGTTTAGAACTGATAGAGCTATCCAGTATAAATAAAGTTAGTTTAGTTTAGGTTTCCTCCTGCAGTAACACTGGATAAATAAGAGATGATCCTTACTGGATCTCTAGGAAGAACAGTTTAGAACTGATAGAGCTATCCAGTAAATTCAACCACTGACCTGCAAACTTGCATGACACTTCAATTCCAACATGACTTTAACAACCAGTACATGTCCTTTATTAACAGCAACGTGTAATGGCGTTTGACGACGTTTATTTCTAGCGTTAAGATCAGCTCCAGTTTTGCCCAGTTCTTGGACAATATCAGACTCATCCCCGAAGGCCGCGTGATGCATCGCTCGATCACCGTCTTTATCCTTCAAAAAATAACAAGATGAAAAGTTAGTGACCTTGAAATCGTTGTAAAATGTTATTGATAAAAACGTGTGATATTTTTTTCCAATAGCATATGAAGTACAGTATATAAGATGTTGTACCTCGATTTCAAGATTAGCATCGAGGCTGATAAGCAGTTTGACCACGTCTAAATGTCCATTCTGACTGGCGGCTTGCAGAGCCGTATGACCAGAAAAGACACCATTCATCTTGAAAACCATAAAAATATTGGAAGTCAAAACTTATTCGCAAGCTCGACGCGAGAGTGACTCCGTAATAATAAATAATTATAATAATTAAAGCAACACAAATTAACGAGTTGTTAGATGCGAAAATACATTCAACTTGTGGACAAGCGATTAAATATATTGATGTAAAGATTTGCTTTAGCCCAGGTTTTCAATAACCAGCCCCTGGTGGTAATCTCAATGATACATACGTCTATTTCTCTTCTCAAAGCATCCTCAACTTTAGGCAGATCTCCGCTGGCTGCAGCTTTAACAAGCTCTTCCACAGGATCTCCTGACACGTGAGTTTCGAAGAGTTTCTTGAGAAGAGCGCCGAGACGTTCTAGCAAGATAGACATTGTAGGATGTTAAACCAGGATATTTCGTTAACACCCGAGGCCGGTTGTTCGAAAGGCGTTTAGCTTAAACGGTGGATAAGCCAAAGTTTAAAATTACTCTCATACATCTTGTGAATGACTAAATCTGCGTCTCATGCATTAAAGATGTACTTTCATTGAAAATTAAACTATTTACATCGAAATATTTCAGCTCAGTTGTTAAATAAATATACAGTTTTGTTTTCCATTTTGAACTTATCCACCGTTTAAGCTACAGATGACTGTTTTTATCACTCAGTCATCTCATACCTCCAGACGAGCCAGCAAGCTGGGAACTCTCTGATGAAGCAACTCTGATCACAGCTGAAGGATTGTACGTCCAGGAGGTTCCACTGATGTCAATCTAGAAGATTTCAAGAAATGAATTTTCATCACGAAACTGCACTAAACTAACTTTATTTATACCAGATACTAGATACAGTGTAGCTTTAAGAGTCCTAAGCCAAGCGAGGTCCAGTAAGGATAATTTTTACAAACCTTAAGATCACCATCAGGATAAACTTGCTGAATACGTCCAATCTTCCCAAGAGTCTGTGAAACGAGATATTTGGAAACTACTTACTTACATTTTAATACACAAACAAGAGTACCCAACTTATGTCATGATACCTCTTTTACCAGCAAATGGTCTTGTCTGTGATCTACTAAACATAGCCTACAGTTCTTGCTAAAAGTCTGGAGTATGAACCCCACTTACGTACCGCCTCCATGGCCTCTGTCCACTCCCCATGCCCCAGTTGTAGGCCTCTCACCCTCTCCACATCATTACATATCTGTACAAGATCTCCAATATTGAACTGTGCTGCAGGGGAGGTGATAGGTGGGGTAGAAGGGGACATTGCTGTTGCACCGCTACTACCCCCGGTTGCTCCTGATACTTGGGTAAGAACAGCAGGATTGAATGTCCATCTGAAAAACAAAAATTTCACTAGATACTGTTGTATTTGTTTCAGACAACTTCACTTGTTCAACTTGTTACATTGAATTAGGGATGGGGAATGTTTAAAGACTGGTCTGGTTGTATCAAGCCTGTTTAGCTTAAACTGTGGATAAGTCAACTTGAATATTATGCCCTGTATATGTAGTTGTTAACAGTATCTTTGTATTAAGCTTAAAAACGTTTAGTTTTTGAACTTAACCACTGTTTAAGTTAAATTAGGCCTGATACAACTGACCCATGCAAAGTTAATTAATCCACTAACTTTATCCATATCACAAACACCTTCTGTCTTATTCTGCCTTATTCAATTGCCATTTAAGTTTTGTGTGGTTGGGTCTATTGGTTGAGACTTGAGCACTATTGTTGTGGTTCGGACTTGAGCATTATTTCCAAATGATGGATGAAAGTTGTTTGTGATAAGCACAGTGTCAGTCAGATATGACCGGTATGATTATATCAGCTGTAACTCTGTGTCTTATCAGCCTATTTTGCAAGGCCTAGCATAGAGAGTAGCCAAGAGCATTGGGGATCATTCTGGTCTCAGTTACTGACCTGTTTCCACTGGGATACGTCACAACAATATCATGATCCTCGTCAATACCAACAATTGTTCCAGCTGTACTTAATGTCTAAATGTTAAGAGTTAAAAATTGCATCTTAACAGAATTCAAAGATATCTTTGTATTTATATATTTTGGTTTTTAGACTTTTCTTGTGAAATGTGATACTGTACCTCGTACATTCCATCTGTCCAGCCACCGTGACCATTTTGCAAAGATTGAACAATTTCTAACTCCAGATCAACCGTTACTAAATCACCAACTTGAAACTCACTCAAAGACTGAGGATGATTGCTGCTGCTGGCGCTTTCACCTATGAAGAAAAATGCAGGTTCCCAAACATGCATTCTTGTAATTATTAAACAGAAATAGCTTGGTGCAAAAGCTTTGAGAAATGATTGGATATATATAAATAATACAGCAAAGGTTAACTATAATACTGTACCTAAACTAACTTATTTAGTGTTCTCTGACATTTTTAACCAGTTCTTGCTCAACATTTTTCACAACAGAAGCTTTGAGAAATTATTGAATATATAAAGAATACACACAGCAAGGGAAACTATTAAACTGTACCTAGCAATGGCAAATGATCACGGTAATATGTTCCGCCTTTTGAATCACTTAACACCTTTAAGTCACACTGAAAAAAACACATTTTGTTGGATATGTCATCAGCAATTACATAGGAGAATGTAACCTGGTCTTACCATTCCTTCAAACGCAACACGATAAAGATTTTTAGCTCCATTATCCCACAGGACATATGCAGCACTTCTGGGGAATAAAGAACTCCAGTCTTGAATTTCGGTAACTTTTCCTCGTCGACTTGTTCCACCTTGAAGATTACAACATAGACAGCAAAATTAAACACTTTAGAACATTGCATTAAACCCCAGGGAAGTTTTAGGCCCTCAAAATTCGGAATATTTAACAATTATTCGCCTTAGTGCAAAAATACTAATTTGTTTTAAATACCATCCTGTTCCTCCCACTGCCAGTCAATTCCTCGGACAACTCTGGCACCAGGAAACAGCCCACGAGCCGTCACCTTTTTGCTTTTTCTTCTTGACTCAATTAACACTCTTAAAGAGAGAAGTGTGTTTTAACCTTTCGCTTGTGATAGGTATAAACAAATGCTTTGTGACCATAGACTTGTTGGTAATTAACATGTTTTCAAACATCATACTAATGTACCTTTCATTTCCAGGATTTGAAATTCGATAGAACCTGTGTCTGAGAGAGTGCTTGTCACCATGGTAGCACACAGAGCAGAGATCATAATTTGGACATTCTGCGCATTTCCATCGAATTCCAAATATGGAGTGCTGACGACAGCCATCGCACATGATTGCTTCATGTTTCACTCCTGAATAGATATAACAATGGTCTCACTTTGTCATTGAAGATGAAGGAACAATATTCAAGTGTTCAATATTTATTGATCCAGTTGAATTGGATAGTGAAACGCTTGTGTACGTACTGTACTATACACATCGATATAGAATGCAACTCCATGTAAATATAGCAACCAATGGTGGTATGAATGGAGTGACCATATAACAAGATAAACTGTATTCATTTTATTCTGGGACAAAATGAAGTGGATGTAATAACGAGGTGGTTCTATTAACGAGGTGGTTCTATCAATGAGGTGGCCATAAGCCTGAGGCTTTCACATCAAATTAGAGTCAATTTAGAGGGTCAAGAATTTATGCATGCCTGAATCTCTAAGCGAATCACCTTAATACTCATGAAGTTGAAAATTTTTTTCACTTTTATCTTATAACATTGAACTGGGGTCTAATTATAAGAATGTTAAATATACTTTCAAAGAAAACAGCTTAAATCTATATCACATGCAAATTATACAAGCCACTAATTAATGATCTCAAGAGCGATTATTATTTTATGACCGTCTAGTCACAACAAGAGCACTTGTATTGAAATATGACAGTACACAACATATTGTCCTTCAACTCAATCTTTCACAACAAACTATTTTTCATATCACAAAAGGACTCGGTTTCTTATTCAGATTGACCAATATTACAATAAAATAAATGAACATTACATTGACAGAACAATAATATAGTTTATGAAGGCGTGTCATGCACTGTTATGCAAATGAACAAACATTTCAGAGTTGTATTGAGCAACTGAAACATATCGCTAGAATCATTCATACAAAAATGGAGTGTGTAGAAGAACTAGAAACGGCGTGATTTCGCACACAAATCGAGGCAAAAAGGTCAGCAAATACAGGATAGTGTACTGGGGTAAATCCTTCAAACAAACCTGTTGGAGAAGAGTCGAGTATCCTCAGATCGTAGAAGCCAGAGCAGCGATAATTTGCGGCAGTGCCGTTGTCCCAAACACACACGACCTCCTCGGAGCTCTCAAAGCTTCTTACGGTTCCTAAATGACCCTCTCCGCCGTCTTGTTTGCCCCATTTCCAGTCTGGGCCACGGACAACCCGACAACCAACGCCATCCATCAAAACAGCGCGAAGAAAAAGAGTTATTTTAAAGAAACCACAACCACATGGTTCTCGTCTTCCTCCTTTTTACTTTTTTCCCTTTAATTTTTTGTTGTGGTAAAATATGGCCGCGCGGACCCTGGGACTAAGGAAGATGATCTTAATAACAACTGGATTGATACCAAAATCACATACATCGACTCTCTAAAACAATGAAAATTTAAGAATATCTTTCATGAATATTGATATTGCTCATGTTAGGACCAAACTCAGACAAAACTGACTTCATTTAGTGTTCATTGACATTTTTAACCGGTTCTTGTTAGAAATTTTTAAGCTGTTCGGCTGTTCCTATAGGTTTCCCCTTTTCCTAGAGGCAAGCTTTGGTGCCTATAGACTTTGAAAACTTGCGCTGCCGTAAAGAAGTAATTCTGCTTTGGCGAGAAAGATACTATTAACGAGTACGAAATGACAGGTTTAATTAGTTGAGAGTGAAAGGATTTAAACAAATTATCAAAGTGATTAATTTGAAGACAAAAACTTTACTTGGCTTTTATTTGTTGAACAAATCCCCCCACGATAATGGCATGACAACTAACAACTTGATTAAGATCTAGGCAAATACTGCGAAACCATAACAATAAACGGCGATAAACTAACACAACGATATCTGTACTAGTCGCTTTTAAAAAAACAAAGTGAATTGGCTCGAAAATATAAAATAAAACGTTGAAACAAAACCGGTTTCTAGATATATTCAATGCCAAACGCCATCTATGTCGATCTTTCCATCATTAATTTAGGAATCTTCGCTTAAAAAAGGAGTAAGGTAAGTAAATTTACATTAAATTAACATTGTATTGACCGTTTTACAATTGCAGTTCAAAAGAATTCTCCGAGGTCTTTTCCCGAAGGATTTTCCTGTGGTTATAAAGGGAAATCTCTACTGGATCTCTACTGGACCTCTAGGAAGAACAGTTTAGAACCGATAGAACTATCTAGTATAAATAAAGTTAGTTTAGTTTAGGTTTCCTCCTGTAGTAACACTGGATCAATAAGAGATGATCCTTACTGCTTGGACCTCTAGGAAGAGCAGTTTAGAACTGATAGAGCTATCCAGTATAAATAAATTTAGTTTAGTTTAGGTTTCCTCCTGTAGTCACACTGGATCAATAAGAGATGATCTTTACTGGACCTCTAGGAAGAACAGTTTAGAACTGATAGAGCTATCCAGTATAAATAAAGTTAGTTTAGTTTAGGTTTCCTCCTGTAGTAACACAGGAAGGCTAATTCTTTTACTCGGTATATGAAATAAATTTCTAGACAACTAGTTCACAGAGCATTCCAAACATGACGGACAGCCGACAAATACCTAGTGCCCAGGTGGTAATGGAACTGATGTTGCACGAAGCAGCAGCGAATGGTGACGATAAGAGAATCGAGGAACTGCAAGTTTATTTAAAAAGAGGAAAGATATCTGTTAACCAAGCTGACGTGGAATGGGGAAACAGAACTCCTTTGCATTGTGCGGCTGAAAGAGGTTGCTATAGTAATATGATCTATCATAAAGAGACATTGTTTTCTGGTTTGTCTAACTTCATGAAACATGGCTTGGAAACAATGTTTCCTGGTTTGTCTACCTTCATGAAACATCGCTAGGAAACAATGTCTCCTGGTTTGTCTACCTTCATGAAACATGGCTAGGAAACAATGTCTCCTGGTTTGTCCACCTTCATGAAACATGGCTAGGAAACAATGTTTCCTGGTTTGTCCATCTTCATGAAACATGGCTAAGAAACAATGTTTCCTGGTTTGTCCATCTTCATGAAACATGGCTAGGAAACAATGTTTTCTGGTTTGTCTAACTTCATGAAACATGGCTAGGAAACAATGTCTCCTGGTTTGTCTACCTTCATGAAACATGGCTAGGAAACAATGTTTCCTGGTTTGTCTACCTTCATGAAACATGGCTAGGAAACAATGTTTTCTGGTTTGTCTACCTTCATGAAACATGGCTAGGAAACAATGTCTCCTGGTTTGTCTACCTTCATGAAACATGGCTAGGAAACAATGTTTCCTGGTTTGTCCATCTTCATGAAACATGGCTAAGAAACAATGTTTCCTGGTTTGTCCACCTTCATGAGACATGGCTAGGAAACAATGTTTCCTGGCGTGCCCATCTTCGGAAAGCAGGTTTAAAATGGGTTTTACAATACAATATTGCACATCATTTATAGGAAACCCAAGATGCGTGAGACTTCTTTTAGAGTCAGGTGCAAATCCCTATGCACGAATGGTCGGAGGATGGACCCCAGCTCACTGCGCTGCGGAAGCTGGCCACTGTGACATTCTGCAGACGTTAATCGACTTTCAGACACCAGTGGATATTAAAGATGACAACGGCGATAGACCAAGACACATTGCTGAAATTTATGGACAGAACGAGTGCGTAACATTATTGAAAAGGTAGGCTTTAGGCTTCTCTATAAAGAACAGTTTAGAGCTATCCAGTATAAATAAAGTTAGTTTAGGTAAGGTTTCCTCCTGTAGTAACACTGGATCAATAAGAGATGATCCTTACTGGACCTCTAGGAGGAACGGTTTAGAACTGAAAGAGCTATCTAGTATAAATAAAGTTTGTTTAGTTTTGGTTTCCTCCTGTAGTAACACTAGATCAATAAGAGATAATCGTTACTGGACCTCTAGGAAGAACAGTTTAGAACTGATAGAGCTATCCAGTATAAATAAAATTCGTTTAGTATTGATGCTCCTTGCGGTCGTATCCCTGAATAATAAGTCTTCTTTAATCCACCAGAGCGGAAAAGCATCCAGTGGGACAGTACTCGTTCAAGAGTAAGAGACTTTGGGGAACCGTGCAGTCCTTTACTGAGGATATACAGGAAAGTGTCAGGCAAAAAACGATAGAAAAAAAATAATGTGGATGTAAGATTCGATGTTGAAAAGACTGACCGTGGTATATGACAGCGAAGGCGTATACCTGTGTCGCTGTGAGACCGAATATTATGTTTACATAAAGTTCCGAGCCATGCATGGACAGGTCATGATTATAAATAGCTTCATGTATGTGACAAACATCAAAAATCATGTAAATACACATTAGTAGTAGAATCAACATGGCGAACAAAATAAATTTGCGGCAAAATTATGCGTCTCAACTTCCCATTGTGGCACCTCGGCGACGAAATAAACAAAAAACTATACTTTGTGTTATCAGACTTTGTAAAAAATACCTGCATATAGAAATCCTTAGTTATAAATCGTCTTTAGTTATACAAAAAGTTCTCTCAGTATTAGTCTTCAAGTTCTGCTTATAGATCCCGCATACTACATCTCAAAAACTCTTAATCTCCTGTTGATCCAGGCTAATCTCTTGTATCTGATTCACGTTTATCACAGGAGGAAACTGCATGATTCGGCCACGGATTTATACCGGATAGCTCTACTGTTCCAGACTGACCAGACAGCTTTTCCCGTAGGGTTAGTGCATGTTACTACAGCAGGAAACCTAAACTAAACTAACTTTATTTATACTGGATAGTTCTATCAGTTCTAAACTGTTCTTCCTAGAGGTCCAGTAAGAATCATCTCTTATTGATCCAGTGTTACTACAGGAGGAAAACTAAACTAAACTAACTTTATTTATACTGGATAGCTCTATCAGTTCTAAACTGTTCTTCCTAGAGGTCCAGTAAGAATCATCTCTTATTGATCCAGTGTTACTACAAGAGGAAACCTAAACTAAACGTGGATTACTCTTCTTCGAGATCTGCAGAGAAATTATCTACTTACCGTATTTGATGACTGTATGCAGCAAAGCGCACGAGAGCATGAATCTAGTTCCGTTTTTCTTCTTGAGTGTTTCAACACGGTGTAATTGAAAACAATCATTAAACTTAGGTAACTATTAAAACTAAGTGACAATTAAACTTAAAGAAACCTTGAATATAGGTATAATTTTTATCGTAATCAGCTGAAATTTGTTGAAAAAGTTGCCTAACTTGGTTACCTAACAAAACATCAAACAATAGTCAATTGTGCAATAGCCGACTTCAATATTGATCATCTTATATCTTGAACCTACATTCTGTCAATTTTTTCTCGAATTTTTCAAATAATATATTGACATCGTATAAGATTTACTATATTGAAAGATTTTGAGGATGTCCGTATGTGGGAACACCAGAATGCCTGGAGAAATCTTCACTACTTCTCTCTCACGTGAGTTATTTGTTGTGTTTAGCTCAACGTGGATCAAATTCATGATATCGCAGTGGTAAAACTCTTTAAAAATGTTTGGTAAAACTTGATGAACCGTTCTTCGAAGTCATGAAAAATATAATTGGCATATTCATATTGAAACAGCAACAATATACATCAGACACGGTGCATGACGGGAATAAGCCTAAACGTGTATTCAAGTAATTGCACTGATGAAGGTCCGGGTTAACGGACCGAAAGCTTTGCAGTATTTAATACTTACGTGGTGTACCTACAAGTTATTATAATTAATAAGCCTAAAGATTGCCTAATTTCTAATAAAGGACCAGATTGGAGTGTGCCAGGCTTGGCTAGAGTATAACTGGCCATATTAGATACAGACCAGGTTGAAATATTACCATTCAGAGTGTACTTGCATGATAAATGCATATATGACATTTTGCCACAAGATTCTAAGAATTCCCCCCCAGGTCGAAGTTTACATAGGCCGGGTCGAATTTCCAGACTTATGTAATTGCGTATAAAGAAATACTGTAAAAAGCAAGAAAGAGAGTAAGTGAAACAAAACTATGTTCACACAAGCTCGATGCAATATCCGGATGTCATTTGCTACCCAATTACAATAATTAACGAAAATCACATGAAATGATTGAGAAATCTGGCCTTGAAAGTCTGAAGTTCAAGAATTTCCAATCATGGGCTAATCGTCATGCATGAATGACTATCACTTGGTGTTATATATTTCATCTTGACGGGATTTCCCAGGAAATTATAATAATCATTCATAATTACATCGATTGAGGAAATTGTGTCATCAAATACGATGAGTGGCGTAGGCTGTGTCTGGTGATTGGTTTTTGGAAATGCCTTCACCAAAACGTATTTGCAATTTAATGCGTTTCACACTTATCAAAGAGAGTTGAACGTAATGCTGTCTGTACTGATCCAGTTGAAAGCTAGATTGTATGATGGCAAATGGAGAGGACAGAAAACACCATAGATTCTTTAAATCTTACACCATCGTTGGTTGCAATTGCATGTCTCATTCTTCAATATACCTTTGGCATTGCGTGATATTGGAAATGTTTAGGACAGATCTTCATGCAATTTATTATATTGCCTGTTGTTTCAGCACGAAATTTGTATCGGTTTCTAGGTTTTTCTAACAAGAGATTCGATCCAGTTTTGTTTCCTTGTTTTTCGCAGACCTTGAGCTGAAAATACAATGAAAGAAGCCTTGTTTTTTGACCACATCATCCGACACTTGGTAGAAGAAAAAGTTCACTTTAGTGTCAATGTTTTGAGCCTGCAGCTATATACAGCTATCAAAAGATTTATATTGCACTGAACTAGTTCTACAGGTGATCTAAAAAATATTGTTTTCAGTAGTTAAGACGAAAAAAAATCAATATTCTGCATGTTAAATGTTTTTAAGACATACTGCTTCGTAGACAAACTAGATTTAGGCTTGCAGTTCTGAGTTCTGACAAGATGATGAACACTAAACGTTTTGAGAGATAGCGGCACAAAATATTTTGAAAACGGTTTCATCATGGAAAAAAAAAGAAGGAGACTGATCGAAATGATTGTAAAATGCTTGCAACGTTAAAAAAACATTTTCATTTGAGTTGTCAGGAGCTTTTTTGTAATTCCAGTAGTATATAGCAGTGTCCAGGTTTATTTTTAAAATATATGAGATAGAGTTCACCTGCAAGTCTTCACCTCACAGCATCACACATTATTTAAAATTTCATAACCAATTTGCAACAATTTGATACAAACTTGCAAATTAAGTCACCGCTTTGTTTTTCAATAACTTTGATGAGCCAGATGAATTAAAGTGACGACTTTCAGAGTAAATAAATGAGTTTTGACGTGCGAAATAAAGAGGGCCGCGCTGCATGACCTTGACGTTGCCGACAAAATTTCGCCGCGTCAGCTATTAATAGAGAATGATCAGTTTATTATTTTTCTATCTTTCTGTTACGAAAACATGCATGTCTCATGCATCCACGGTCAAGTTTAACAGGAACCACTACCATAAATAACAAAGTAAATATTTTATGCAAATACGGTTCGAATGAATAATTAAAACTTTCGATTGCTATACAAACGAGCAAGTTTGGAGATGAAAGAAGGCTTTGTCATGATAAATATTGCTGCGCAGATATCTCAATATAGACGAGAGAATTGGTTTTCATTGATCAATCTTTGCCCGGAAATATATACAAGTTTAATTTGCGATCTTATTTTAATAACAGTACGTATAATTGTACAGGAGGTCTTGTGTTTGTATTTTGCAACTGGTGTTGCGGGTGATGGCAATATTCATGTCGGGAAACGAGCGTTAGAAAACTGAAACGACTCCTACACAGTGGGCGTGAGGTGAACATACATTTTAAACAAACCAGGTTTGTATTTGAAAGAAAGCCCAAAATCTTTGGCACGATTTAACGGGTTCATTTTGCCAGGGAAAACACCTGCGCATATGTCGCAATGCCCTCTTGTGATTGGCTAATCAAGCCCTTGTGTCGTCATTGAAAAACATCTCCGGGCGACTCCTTATAGTCTGGTGGGAGGCGCGATTGTAGTCCAACGCATTTCGCCGAAGCAAGCAAGCGAGCGCTTATAAAGAGCAAAGGGATCAATTGCGAGCGAACACTTCACGAAAGTCCTAACTGGGAGAAAGACCTGCAGAAGAAAACGATAAAACATGTGGTATACAATCATTTATCTGTTGTCAGCCGTACTACAGGTGAGAAGGCTACGCAATCAGAATTTCCCAGAGATTTATTGTATCCGTATGACGGTACGAGTAACTGCTATTTACCTTCATTTCTTTCCAATAGATCGACACTGTTTCAAGCACCAGAACAGGTATGCAGTTTCACCAAATCATTTGTAAACATTAGAGCGAGGTTTGCACGTTGCCACGCAAATATATCCGTGTGAATGTTCTCAAAGGATATGGTACTAGCGCTGCGCGGCGTTTGTCACAGGAAATAGCCAATGTTAATCTCCAAGCAAAAATGCACGCGAAATTGCGGCTAGAATTATGAAATAGTTCAATCTCCCAACACTGCGAAACCTTGAATAGTTCTATTGTTGATCTCGTGGACAAGACCTTGAAACGTACGCCAGAGATACGTGCTACGGCAATTGTAAATATCGAGTTCTTTTTGTCAAAAAACGTTGAATAATGGATACGGTTCGTTTCCGTCTTTGCACGCCAATGTACGCCAGACGTCAGGTTTTTCCAGCTACGAAATTCTTGACACTGAATTCGCGTGCGTTGGTAACCGAATTCGTAGTGTAGTATTTGAAAAATGAGAAACATTTCTTCTCTGCGTCATTACGGGGGATAATTATTTCAGCCAATATAACGGGGAAGGTCGTCGATTTCATAGAGTGCATGGGAACGTGTGAAGAACGACTCTTCTACAAGCACAGTCGAGTAATGGAGCGTGCGTTCCATGTCGAGAGATACGAGATATATTCCTTTACTCAAAACCTGATACGCTTTCGTAAGATGCTTTTGCCGTACATAGTAAATAGGGAACTGGTGGTCTTGAGCGGTACGGATATTCGTGATATTGGGAGTGTCATTAGAAACAGCAAACAGCTATAAGTGGCTATATAAAAACTTTCAAGCGATCCAAGCTACGCCTTAAATACCATGAAACTCCCATCTCCGTATACGCCACGGGTATTAATCCCACGGGAGCCGTGTGTGGAAATACTTGGCGCGTTTTAGGCAATTCAGACCGCAACGGATACAAAAGGAACTGAATATTGTTACAAAGTTACAAGCCCGTATCGTGCCCGTACTGCTGGATGCCCGTTATAGGATATGCACTCGGAAAATTCCTTAAGCTTTTTGACCACAATTGGATTTTTCAAAATATACACATCGTTGAGCTTGAGTGAAAAACGCAGACATAAAAATGGGAAGTTTTGAAAAAATTACGCGCGACAATTATCGGAATGCAATATAAAAGTACCATTTTAATACAGTTGTGCAATAATCAGCGTATAATATTAGGCAAATATTTCGTTGAATTATTGTGCAATCGTAGGAAAAAAAATGTGTAAAAAAGCCTTAGTTGAAACTGATTATTGAATTGCTACTCTTTGTAGGGGGCATTATAAGTTAACTTAGCTGTAATGTCTATATCTTCACTGCTCCGAGCCAACCTAGCTGTATTTCGTGAGAAATGAACTCCCTGTAATTGGACTTTCTAAAAGAAAGCAAATGACCTCTCTGCGATTTTCTTTATCTTCTAAATCATCTTTGTCTTGTACAATGGAAGATGAGCTTCTATTTGGCAATGAAAGAGTTGCATAAAGCGATATTTAGATGCATATAAATGCGATGACTCAAAAGCCTCGCAGCATTTCTAATGCCAATGCAGAAAACCTCATCTTCATGACTTTCGCAATTTTATTTGGCGCTAACTGAAGCTTTGTTTTGGCCATTAAAGGATTAAGATGATTCAAGCGTATATTTACAATTAAAAGCAATTCAGACACCTCGGAAGTTTAAGGCACTTGTCCTAAGAAAGAACATCCGAATCATCTTGAATTCAATCTCATGACATAAGGGGCATGTTGCATAACTCCGCAGAAAAGGCGCAAAATTCAGTCATAAGGATGTATTTCATGAGGTTTTAACAGTTTGAACTTATAAGGCTGTATCGCAAACATGAAGTTTCGTGATCCAACAAATTATAGCCGCCCGCTGTTTGCTCAGAATAAAAAAATTTTTGGAGAAAAATGTAATCAGCTATATTCGAGATTGCAAGACGATTTTGACTGAGGAATCATGAATGGCTGACGACACGTTTCAAAAATATTAATGTCGACTAGCACGTAGTTCTGTCGATGCACTCAACGACTAACCTTGAATGGGGGGTGGCACCATATCAGATCAATACAAGCAGAAGAAACTAAGTTACGATTCGCAGAATTTATACGGTTTCCTCCTGTAGTAACACTGGATCAATAAGAGATAATCCTTACTGGACCTCTAGGGAAAACAGTTTAGAACTGATAGAGCTATCCAATTATAAATAAAGTTAGTTTAGTTTAGGTTTCCTCCTGTAGTAACACTGAATCAATAAGAGATAATCCTTACTGGATCTCTAGGAAGAACAGTTTAGTACTGATAGAGCTATCCAGTATGAATAAAGTTAGTTTAGTTTAGGTTTCCTCCTGTAGTAACACTGAATCAATAAGAGTTGATCCTTACTGGACCTCTAGGAAGAACAGTTTAGAACTGATAGAGCTATCCAGTATGAATAAAGTTAGTTTAGTTTAGGTTTCCTCCTGTAGTAACACTGAATCAATAAGAGTTGATCCTTACTGGACCTCTAGGAAGAACAGTTTAGAACTGATAGAGCTATCCAGTATAAATAAAGTTAGTTTAGTTCAGGTCTCCTAACCTGACCTAAATATAAGAAACCACCAAATTTTAAAAATAGCGTGACATACTTTAAGTGAACGAGACACGCAATATATTATTAGTTGTTTAAAGCCAAGGTTAACAAATATATTTCCCTCAAGGTTAACGGCTCAAGAAGCGGTATTGATAAAGTACTGATATAAACCATTAACCATGGTATTATGACTATTATGGATCTAACTTCGATAAATATAGTTAGGTGTATATGCATGCAAGGCTTATCGGCAAAAAGCAAAGAAACAGGTGTTTCAATTTAGGTGCAAATGTTGAGTCAATTTAGGTACATGCATAGCGGCAGCATACGCTCAAAACGGTAAAAAGTTTTGCATTTTTAGTTCCTGTTAAATTAATTGAAGTAGATCGAGAGAGTATACATACAGTATCGCGCTATTCTAAATCAATTCATTCAATGCAAACTTTTCTTCTGGTTTAAGTTTAGACAAGGAGAAATAGTTGATTAGTTGGAAACCTTTTACAGATCGGTTAAGAAACTAAGAACTTGTATGTTAGGGGTATATATACATATAGAATCCTTGGGGAAACTTAGAAATGTTGCATGATGTCCATGCTATAGGGTTGAAATTATTGTCTAAATATTTTATTGCGTGTGCTGTGGGAACCTTATGTGTATTAATGAAGGCATTAATGAATGTATGACTGCGGTTTAATTAATTCGGATTATTTATTAAATAAATGGCAATGGAAATAGCGCAATCATTGGGGTGTTCTAGAAAATCAAGCTTACTCAGACAGCTGAAGTTTAAGTGCGGCTAAGCGGCCATGCAGGAAGACGGACCTCGATCTAATAACGTCGTTTCGGCGCCAAGACAACAGATAATTTTGACGTAGATAACACTCGTGAACACGTAGTCACGTACTACCTCTAAAGTATCCAAAATGCTCAGCTCAGCTAAGAAAAAACACAAAAGAGCGAGAATTTGCAGGGATGAATTCCGCCCGTCAGATTTCTTTAACGTAAATAGCTCATCTTTTTGAGTTCAAGATTTAAACCGAGTTCTTTCAGTTTTATAAAGCAAAGCCTAAAAAGAAGACTGAACAATAGATTTTTTCTTTAAATAGCAAGACCAAAGAGTCGATGCGAAAAATGGCGGATCGCTAGTTTCAGAGTGCCTTTCAGCTACGTACCAACTTGCAATTTGGACGGAAGTTTTACAAGGAGACAATGTCACTTTACGGCGAAACAAATTCTCTGCTGGGAAGTGGACAAGTTTGGCAACCAAGTGAAACCTAAAACTCCATACAGGCTGCCACATACGAAGCATGTTACTGACAGACAAAGAACCAGAACCTTACAACCGATAACCAACGACGCCAGAGCATCGGACTTTCTATTCGGCAGATACTCGAAAACGGACAGAACTACTGAGAATGAAATTGTCGAACGATATACGAAAACACAACTGCCAATAAGTAAGTATAGCAAAGAACAAATTCCGAAAAGAATGGGACATGCATCTTGCATGGGAGTCAAAATATGAATCAAGCAAGACACAGGTTGAGACAGTATATTTTTGACTTTATTTCAAAGTTATCTTCAGACAGAATGAAATTCCGTATAGCAATACGTCCGCCAAAGCATTAAGATCTCTTCCCGTTGTAAATGTATCTATCATATTAAGATCCTATAATCCAACTTTTATTGGGTTTTTTTCCAGCTACAAAACCTTTAACAAAATGTGAGAGGATGAGGAACCGCAGAACACTGGCGCAGTTCAAGACACACAAAACAACAATGATACCACAATGCACCAGAGACGGGCATTTTCAGCGGGAACAATGCAATAGCGACAAGACAAAATGTTGGTGCGTTGGAAAAACAGGGAAACGAATTCCAGGAACCAAAGTTCGCCATCAATTTCCAAACTGTTACCCAGGTATGAGACCAAACTTAAGGCAGAAAAAAAGCTCTGAAGAGACTGATATAGAGTTATATCGTAAAGAAATTGTTGCGTTTAGAATTTCGTTCTGGATCAATAAGAGATGATCCTTACTGGACCTCTAGGAAGAACAGTTTAGAACTGATAGAGCTATCCAGTATAAATAAAGTTAGTTTAGTTTAGGTTTCCTCCTGTAGTAACACTGGATCAATAAGAGATGATCCTTACTGGACCTCTAGGAAGAACAGTTTAGAACTGATAGAGCTATCCAGTATAAATAAAGCTAGTTTAGTTTAGGTTTCCTCCTTTAGTAACACTGGATCAATAAAAGATGAACCTTACTGGACTTCTAGGAAGAACAGTTTAGAACTGATAGAGCCATTTAGTTCGTGTCTCCTCCTGTAGTATCCTAAATGATTAAAACATTTCAAACAGCGTGGAAAGAGATCATTTTAGGCGTCTTTCAATAGACAAATATCGATAACGAGTTTTTTCATTTGTAGGGACTTGTGGTTTAAGATTCAACAAGAGTCCATCCCGACAGCGTCGTGTTGTTGGTGGAAGAGAATCAGCACCAAGGACCTGGCCTTGGCAGGCTTTGGTTCTCTTCAGTGATCCTAAGCACATTTGTGGCGCAACGCTGGTCAGACGAAACTGGCTTGTGACAGCTGCCAGTTGCTTTGGTAAGAGCCAGTGTTCTTCCAATGGCGAATATATTCATCTGAAGACTCTTTTCTAATCATTGCAATGACCAACTTACAGAGAGGCTTTTGATCAGATGAAAATGCTTTTGTGTCAGTTGAATATTGCAATTAGCTAGCTGTAAGCTTGCGAGTTGGTATTTGCGATGAGCGTAACTTCAGACATATATGAATAATTGAATATTGGGAGAATCCAACGACTGTAGTTTTGGGGCCGGTTGTATCAAGCCCGTTTAGCTTAAACGGTGGTTAAGTTCAGAATAGAAATTCATATTTCATATACGATTTCATATTCAGTGCATAATATTCAAGTTGACTCATTCAAGAAAGATGTAAGAGTGTTATTTAATTTTGACTTATCCGCCGTTTAAGCTAAACGGGCTTGATAAAACCGAATCCAGGAAAACATTTTTAAAACTTTTGAACAGCTTTAGAACAGTTCTTGTTTGAAATTAGTTGAAAAGCTTAAGTGTATCTCACAACTCGTGTATCTCACAACATTGTCATTACTTTGCCAGATGGTTTCACAAAGAGAAGGACAGAATGGAACGTGAAGCTGGGAGTACACAAGTTAAACTCCAGTGATGACGAGAAACTGAGTGTTGAGACAATTCATATACATCCAAAATATAAACCAGGAAATAAGACAAGCCCAGGAGATTACGATGTTGGTAGGTTCACTTTCAACACTTTTTTAAAGTTTTTTAATGTTTGTAAAGACTGAGACAAACTTTATCCCAGGAAGAGCAGAGATGATAGAGCTTTCCATCATGAATGAATACCAACTTTATAGTAATCACAAATTTCTTTTCAAGCTTTAATACAAGTTACAAGTTCAGCCAGGATTCCACGCAACATAATGCCACTCTGCCTGCCAGACAAGCTTGATTTCTACAGGCAAGGCGCAAGGTGCTCAATCACCGGCTGGGGACATACTTCGTATAATGGATCGCTATCAAGAGTACTGAGAGAGGCATGGGTCGACTTGGTCCCACTCCACGAATGCAATTCTGAAAAGTAAGCAAAGATTCAAAGCTTCGAATCCAGGGCCCTCTTGGGACTTGTGGTGATAGGATATAACTGGGTTACCAGTATTATGTATTATTGGGAAACCATCCTAAAATGGCCTTTGAGCTGTCCTCGAAATTAGTTTATGTTTATATTTTCTTTTTCTCTCAAGGTCTTACAACGGCACAATTAACGACAGGTTTATGTGTGCTGGTTACAAAGAGGGTGGAATGGACGCATGTCATTTCGACACAGGTGGACCGCTGGCTTGTCCTGTAGCGGGCGGCGTTTGGGCGTTGGCCGGCATCGTTAGCTGGCGACAGTCATGCGCGCAACCGTTCAAATATGGCGTGTACACCAATGTCTATGAGGTAAAACCATGGATCGAACGAATTATCAAGCGATGAACTCATGTCACCCTCACGTAACCCCCGCACCGAATGCGTCTCGCGCGTGGGATTTGCCACGCACACGATCGGGGAAAACGGGTTGAGCGCAGGAAAGATTGAACGGAATTAATATATTTATAAAATTGCGCATTTTATTCAAAGATAAAAACGAAAGCGGCACGTGTTTTCTTGGTACATTGCACGGGATAGCCACATGATTAATACATGCAATATTATATCTGATAGTTTTACTTTGCTTTAGCCAATGGTGAAGATGTGTTTAGATCAATTACTTCAAAAATCTTGGATATTTCTAGTTTGTGCGAATTTCGTATAAAAACCCTTTGCTTTGAAGTTCTGCACATTTCTAGGTGGTTCACCTAAACACATCATGCGCTGTTTTGAAATAAACACAACCAAAAATTGATTTTAAGATAATACTGTTCGCTTAGACGAGTTTAAGTAGATGTGAATTCTGGTCAAAATAAGCTTCTAGTGACATTGGATGAAAATTGACCTTTCATTGACATTTCATCGTCTTCAGAATGTGAAGTGCTTAGAAATGCAATTGAATATTGTTTGGGTTGTCAAGTAAGAATGTCTGACACCTTTTTTGTGAAACGTGCATTGCATATTTTTGCATAAAAAAATTGAACCGGATTCGGTGAAAATACTGTACGTTTATTTTCGGTATGACCTAAACTCACGATCCTGAAAACTTCGTTTTCTAAGCATTTCGTCCAATACAGATTCAATGACTTTTTTCAACTACAATTTAAGGCAGTACGAACCAGAAAAAATAACATAATGCTTCACAGCAATACTCGCTGTAAATCGTGAAATTTAATAATTTCATAAATTGTATATTATTATCAGTGATTATTATCTAGCATCTGTCTGTACCACTGATCTGTAAATAGACTGGAGAACTAGTGTATTTACACACCTATGGTTGGCACATACGTCATGTAGATGTGACTTTTGCATAATTGTAATTATAGCTAACTATACGTTAAATTAAAATTAAGATATGAACCGACAAATATGCGATCCAGTTGAGGTACTGAATGACAAGCAGTATGAAATATTGCTGCATTCGTGAAAGTTATATCTTAAAATATATGGTTGTAAAGCAGAACACTATGTCTGGATTCTGAACAGTTTGTGACATAGATATCGACCGAAGCACATTCAAATACTATTTAAATAGAGAAATAAATAGTCTCCCATATCATATAGTAGAAACAAGGCTTTCTTCATGAACAACAGAAGCTAAATTATTCGAGTCAACTGTATATTTATGCAGAACAGATAAGGGCTTATCGAGAAACGTGTGTAGTGACTTCTTGTTTCCACGCCAAATACTATTTATACGCAAGTTATTTATATGAAGAAATAAAAACGCAATATTTGAAGATGTTTTTGTGTGATATTTTAGCGAGGCATTCGCTTTGATGAGCTGCGATATCCCTTTGTCATCGTGACTGCAACAATTTAACTTAACAAGGGTAAAAAATGCAGCAAAATGCAACGTCTTAATATTTTCAAACACCGTTTCGTTTTTGCAGGGAAATTCTATTCACAAAGCGAGTTGCCTCGTGAGTGAACTCAGACTGTCACCCTGGAGGTAATTTTAACTGGAATCAATGTCTAAGACAGACCACTTGGAATGTCTCAGACTGAAAGCATATTTGATGAAAAATATCCGTACAACACACGCAGCGTTTAAAAGCATTCTAGAGAAGGCGTTGTGAAGAGCTTCAAGAGACCCCAATATTTTCAGATATTCCGACGTGAATGCTGTTGAAAAGACGCAAGCGTGAATTCGTTTATAGTCGTGCGTAAACCACTCTCGTTATTTTACGACGGATTTACACCGCGCGTGCTGTATTCCACCGTGCGCCAATTCCAAATTTCACAATCATTTTCGGATCTTAAAAAATATTGAAAAATCATATTTGGTTTCAACAAATCTAGACATTGTCTTCATTCTTGTTATTTTTGAACCAGTTGAGATATATCTTTTCGTATTTTTTCATATCGTTCGCGATCCAGAGCAGCACTTTCTAATTTCTCACAAACTTCTTTCTCAGTCATGTTTTCATACCATGTTCGTTCTAATGGAAAGAAATCTCAATTACACCTATGTTTCTATCATCTCGTATTGGCTCGATGTACCGCATGCTAAGGATCATATCTCTTATTGATCTAAGGTATATGCACATTATCCACGCGTAAATTATTAAACTATCATCATATCTAATCACAAGTGCACGGGAACACACAAGAGGAAGTTCATACCACGTATTGGCAGGAATCCGCCAAGTTCGCAAACAGCAATATTAAATACATTTTCATTTTTCACTCCTAAAAAATTCGGGAAACTTGATTTGTTGACTGATTTTGATTGGATGCACTATGAACATTGCAAAAATCTAATGTCTTACATACCAGAGGAAGGCTTTCTGACCCAGATGAAGATTCTTAAAGTATCACTTAGAGTGTGAGTGACATCAGTTAAAAAGTTGTTTCTATCTGATAACCGCTGTCCTCGAGTGAAGAAGACATTGTGGGCTAACTCGTTATTATGTAGGTATGACGTCACTTTGTAAATCTGACTAAATATAAGCAAACTCCTATTTTAATCATAATAAATCACATCAGTAGGCCAGAGGTTTATACTGGATAGCTCTATCAGTTCTAAACTGTTCTTCCTAGAGGTCCAGTAAGGATCATCTCTTATTGATCCAGTGTTACTACAGGAGGAAACCTAAACTAAACGAACTTTATTTATACTGGATAGCTCTATCAGTTCTAAACTGTTCTTCCTAGAGGTCCAGTAAGGATCATCTCTTATTGATCCAGTGTTACTACAGGAGGAAACCTAAACTAAACGAACTTTATTTATACTGGATAGCTCTATCAGTTCTAAACTGTTCTTCCTAGAGGTCCAGTAAGGATCATCTCTTATTGATCCAGTGTTACTACAGGAGGAAACCTAAACTAAACGAACTTTATTTATACTGGATAGCTCTATCAGTTCTAAACTGTTCTTCCTAGAGGTCCAGTAAGGATCATCTCTTATTGACCCAGTGTTACTACAGGAGGAAACCTAAACTAAACGAACTTTATTTATACTGGATAGCTCTATCAGTTCTAAACTGTTCTTCCTAGAGGTCCAGTAAGGATCATCTCTTATTGATCCAGTGCTACTACAGGAGGAAACCTAAACTAACTTTATTTATGCTGGGTAGGTCTAACAGTACATAGCATTGCTCGCGAAAATCTATTCGATCAATCCAAAAGTTGCATACCTAGCAACCGTCAATATATGTTTGCTGTCAAAACATTCAAATACAAAGGCTGTTATGGGATAATCCACAGTTTCATAGAGACCATCACAAATACAAGACACGCCCTTGAAAACACGAGGACATACAACAATATTGAAGCAAGCTTGATCTATTTTGCCTAAACACATGTCTGCTTATTTGTCATCAATCTAACAGGCTGCACCCAAACGTAATGGCCTTGAATAAGGAAAGAAAACGACTCACCACGGATTCCATGGGCAGACGATAAGGAGTGTAGAAGGCGTGAAGGTGGAGATGATTGACTGAAGCGAACGCACAGAGGCTGTTGAAGCCAACACGGAAATCTCTGGAAACACAAAATTTTCATGATTGTGAAATTGTGAGATTTTCAAATGGATAGATAACTCGTGGTTTAATTTGAACTATATATCACGATATCACTTAGTGCCGGCTTTTGTCAATTGTCATGACGTTTTTTCAGCATGACGAGGGAAAATTGGGCCGGTTCTAAAAACAAGGAGTGACGTACGGTACTTAAAACAATATGCAACAGAAAACACTCTCATAAACTAGAATTTAGTGGTGTGACAATATCACACCACTTCACTTCACATAATTTCAAGAAACAATGTCGCCATATTCACACGATTCAAGGACACCTGACTTAAAAAGTGGGGTTTTTTTATATTTATTTTTTTTCTCTATATATCAATATGACGCCCGTCAATGACGTTGAATGCCTTCTCTCGCATTTCCGGATAGTATAAAGTAAAATACGAATTCACCTTTTTCCACTCAATAAAACCATTTCAAGTGACAAGCGAATGGCTCTTTCCGTCAGCACCTAAACGGGACGAGGGGTTTATGTATGGTAAAGAGTAAATAAATTCGCACTGACGAGATTATCTTATGTATCACCTCAGATATTTGCATGACCAAACTCAAGTATATTGGCGAAGATTTTGTTTGAATTCAAAATGTGTCTTATCATGAAAACGACAGGTTAACTTCTCCTGCCGAGTCTCTCATGCATAAACAAGGTTTTCGGGAAAATCTTTATGAAATGAGTTTTCTGTCGCAACTTCTCCGCTTCTCAAGACCTAATCTGCATAGGACGTCCATCACATGCGCCCGCAGTCACCTCACCTGCGGAAACTGCCCATCAACATCTGGTACAAATAAAATATTCCCGTATTCCAGTGGGCTGACATTTATTACGACGATATTTCCCCCAAGGCTCTCATCCTTGCGTCCACATAACGATAGCAGAACCTGAACACAAAGCCGTAAATCATCCACTCACAATGAACAAATTTGCTGTATATTTCATCAAACCATTTTCCTGTTAAACTATAAAGCTTGAAACTAATGAACAAGAATAACTCAACGCCATGCATACAATTGAAAAAAGCAGGAACTCGGAATTGCAAAGTTCTGTTGTGAGATGTCAAATGGGAAAAATATTGCAATACGAAGTTGGCAAATTTTATACGAATGCTATCTTTCTCCGGAAAAGTGTTAAATGTTAAACCATATTCTTACCTCTTTCTTCGGAATTTTTGTAAAGTTAAATTTCTCAGAATTGTACGGCTGTTTGAGGCTAGTTATACTCTGTGGAGCTCGTCTTTGCGTGAATCTTTTCTCGTTTAACTAATGAAAACAATAAAACAATTCACGACTTTCTTGGAAGCACCAAAAGCAAGAAAGTATCAGCATTTGACTATACCTGTGCAACAAAGTTATATTTTCCAGGAATTATTCTTCTTTCGACAGAATTCAGGTTGTACTTAAAACATCCAGAATCCATTGCATTGTCCCATCTTTTCATTACTTCCTCGTCAAACTAATAGGAAAAGTAGTAGCTAAATCAATTAACATATTTTTTCTGAAGGACAAGGAATTTTCTATTTAATTTATTTTTTCCTAAACATGCCTAGAAGTGATAAATGTCGCTGCAATATTGGTTTGAACAAGGTTGTGTTTCCACCTTACTGTTTACAGTTGTTATCGACATTAATTGGACAACAATTATAGCAACAAGTTTCAACAATACTGTACAAAAATATGTTGACAAGTGCGAACGAAATGAACAGCATATCTTAACATGTTGAATGCTTGAATGTCGCATTGCCAAAATGCTTGAATTTCTGTTCATTTATCGCCTTCCAAGAAAAGATATATAGCTTCGCGGCAGGGGGCTGCCACGCAAACTAAATATTTTGCTTTAAAACAATTGTACAACGGGTAATGCGTAAATTAAACCAGCCGGAAGATATTTTCCAATGCAAAATCGTTCAATTTAATTGATAGTTCAACAATATGACATAATTTCGTGGATATACGATATGTTTAATCCTGACATAGTTTCGCAATATACGCTTACCTCCCATTGTGTGAAATAAAATGTAATTTTAAATGGAAATTTAATATTCATGATATTTTTCAAATTTGACTGTTATGTGAACGTTCGCTTGTCGTCTTAGCCAAACGAAAATGTTCCGTAGAATGGGTCTAATGCTCTGTATTTTAACATCATTATCCTTCATCATACAGATCAATGCAAAGCTTCTAGAATTCGAGGCAGAAAATGGCGCTTATGACGGATCAAGAAAGGATCGAAGTCAAGCGTCTGGTCAGGCGACAGTACTCCTGTCAAAATCGCAGTCTTTAACGAACACGTTCATCACAGGCACGTCGTGTTCGGTAGCAATACATGACGTGGCGTACACCAATGATGGCGCCTCTGATAGCATAGAGGTATATATTGACGACTCTTTGCTTGGATCTTTCAACACAATATCTGCATCGAACTTTGGTCGAAATTGGAACGTTGTACGCAGCACTGGAAGAGTTGGGGAGAGGAAGAGAGTAGACGCTGGCTCACATACCCTTCGTTTAACAGTAGTGGCTGCAGATTCGTTTGGGGTTGAGCTGGACAAGTCAACCTTGAACATCACCTGTAATTCGTCATCTCAACCAGGTCCAACGTGCACCAATATTTCGGCGCTGACCAGCTCTTTAAAATGCAATAGTCTCCCGTACGCGACGCGTCAGAGCGCCAACACAAGCTGCGCAGAAGAAGACAATGTAAACATTCCCATCTTTTATAACGGAGTTAAAAGCTTTCAAATCTCCGCGACAAAACCGGAGTATTATCCGTCGATGACAACGATGAACAACCGCAAAGAAAACTTCGCAAACTGCAAGTTCACAACGAAAAACATTTGGACCATAGCAGTCAATGATAGCAAACATTCTGAGTTTTCCAACAACTGCACGTCAGGTGGCTACAAAGTCGGAGACCCACATGCTACATTTTGCAATAAAATCAGCGATGCGTTAAACGATTCAAAGTACATTATACACTTCACTGCAAAAGGCATCAAGAGCGGCCTAGTTGAGGCCTCAATTGGTTCAATTCTGACGGTGAAGTTCGCTCAAGTTACAGGTGATTTGGTTATCGAAATCCGATGTTTTGGTCGGGATAAGAAATGGATTTTTTTAGGCAACGAAACCTTCAGTTCGGGTGATTTAACGAAAATGTGGCGGGTGCCGGATCTTACATGGAGCGAAGAACCAGATTTTAACCAAATTGAAATGAAAGTTGTCAGCAGAAACACCACGGGTAAATTTGATTACTTGAAGCTTGATAAAAGAGATGAAAATGGCGAAAGTACTCCCGTGACTGTATTTAACAATGGCGCGACCATCATAGAAGCAATATCAATCGATTTCTGGTGGTTGTATCCGAAAGGAATGATCATTAAGAACTTAAGTAACAATAAAGAATGGCGCGGAATCTCATATTTCCGTATTTACAGAAAAATACCAGGAACAAGCGGTTTCTCTCAATTGTTCGTACTCTATCAAGATGGGAACACTCGTATCCTTCCGTTTCCCCCTGATGGCATTGACTGGATCCCCTTTGGTTCCTCAGTAATTATTGGACCTGCGCCCAGCAACTCTGTTCGCCCGCATGCCTCTATAAGTAGAGTGAACATCGACGTCTTCAGTCTTCAAATGGAGATACACTACGAGTCTGGTGGAAAAACCAAGGCAACACTTCAATACACTGGAAAGTCAACTACCGTTAAAGTTGAAGATATTTCATACACTACAACCTCGAGAATACCTTTCACCACGTTTCGCTCGATGTGGGTTGCTGATGGAAACGCCGACGTTGATGGCGTACAGAATAGTAGCAACTCTTGGCACGTTCAACATGGATGGCGATCGATTACTGGTCTATCCTTCCGGTTCTTTCGTTCATGTGTCTCAACGCATAACACTTTAAGTCCAGATATTCTTATCGTTGTTGAATGCGCCAACCGCCCTAGCAAGCCAACCTCATCAAGCCAATCAACAACAACGGTTAAGAACACCAACCACTCTAGCAACCCAACCTCATCAAGCACTAAATCAACAACTTTGTCATTGACAACTTTATCGATTCTCGTCATGTTTATTTCTAACATTTTTTAAAAACAATTGTTATCAATATTACCCTGCGCACATTCTTATCACTGCGACCAATACACTAATAATCGGTTGTGATTTGCAGTTATAAAGGTTTATACATTTGTCAATAGACAGTGTTACTCCTAATCGAATCAGAGTGAAACACAGGCAGTCACCTGGCAGCAATGTCCCCCTGATAAGTAAATGATTTTAGACTAATGCCCTAATACAGTTATTTCGCTAGTGTAACACTTTTACAATGATGAATTGGCACGTAATTCTATCACAGTAATCAATATATGTATCTATCCATTGTTCTGCTTCGTTTATGAAACACGCATTAATAAATTCGTCTTATGCCTGACTGATTTCTTTTGAAAGCGATCGTTTTCACGGTATTTGAACATGAATATATGAATATACACCTCATCAACAACTCTGTGTGTTTCTTACCTCATTATCATCATAAAACTTTATTATACAAGTATATATAACTAAGTCTACTTCAGCATTTACCAGTGATTCTGAAGTGACAATAATTCGTAGCAAAAGTAAAAAAAATAAAGAATTCTTTATATTTTCTCCAACATGCGTGCTAAACCTAATGTGCAGAATACGAAATGCAAAAGTCGTAGATTGAATTCTCCGCAGTTCCTGGGGGAATTTTAGGCGTATTTTGTTGAAATATTTTGCCTGCCTGGGTTCGCCGTCAGCTTCAAAGACTTCAGAAATCTTCAACGTGCCAACATACCAATTACCAAACTACTAGCGTGTTTTACAAATTATAATTCCAATCTATGTAAAATCCAATCAATCCTTCTAGACCTTCATCAGCGCGACTCTAACCTAAACCTGTCATTACTAAAGTCGTAAAGATTTCAAACCAAACCAATTATTATTTATTAGTTACATAACTAACCTTACTTGCCGAGCTCGAAGAGTTAAAATGAAAATCATCCTGATCATATGTGAATACAAATGTTGCCTGATAATAAAACAAGCAATTTCTTTAAAACGCGCCCAGTTTTAGATAAAATTTGCTCAAGAGAATGTTCAAAATCTTACCTCACTTTGGTCGGCCATGTTGGCTTTGACGCGACAGATACTTCATGTAAGCGAGAACGAAAAATTGCGTTCGTGGCAATTATTGTAATTATTAATTCAATCATTACTAGTTAATTACATTTAATTAGTTTATTTAACGAAATTTGGATAATTGGAATGTGTCAGGCAAATCAGGGCTCTGTGGAGTATCAACTCCAACAATGAAATATTTTATAACAATTTGCATTATTCTTTTCATTCATCAGGAATACTGAACAATTTCAAACTGTTCATCGTAGTTTCTGTTCGTACCAGTTGGGACGTGATCGCTTTTTCCGTTATTGCTTCTTGTCCGTCACGTCAGTGTCCGTGCTTTGAATATTTTCCAACACGATGTTTTCCATTGAGCGTGATGTGGGTGTCCTGGAGGTGGTATTTCCACGAGGTTTTCTGATAAAAGGCAGATGACATCGACCCTCACAGCTGCACAATATTGATTTAAAACTATCGCGGAAATTCTTGCCGAGTAAACAGTATATGACAGGGTTGCACGCGCTACCCAGGAATGCCAACAGCAGTGCAGGATACCACACATATCTACAATTCAAACACAAAATGAGTCAACAACTTTTCAGCAGTAAAAAAGTTTCAATGGCCACAGTCCACAAATGCTCGCGAAACTAAGTTCACAGAGCAAAAATCTCACCAAAAATTTGTTGAATGTTGAAATTTCAATCTATTCGACTCTAAAATCTGAAACATACTTATATACACTTCTGAAATCATATTCAATCCTCTTCAGGAAGTACAGAATATTATAAGGAGTCCAGGACAGGAAAAAGACGACAATTGTTACAAACAGCATCTTGACAACCCCCCGTCTCGATCTATAGGCCGCCACACTTGCATCACTTTCGCCGGGGGGTGCTCTCCTTAATCTTCTAATCACATTAGAATAGAATCCAGAAATCATGGTGAGAGGGACTAGGTACAAAGCGATGACAATGAACACGCCATAGATGTTCTTCGCCCTCAGACTTGGCCAGCGGTATGTACAATCACAGCTGAGCTGGTCTTCTTCAGCATTCCACCTGACACCACAGTAATACATCGTAGGGAAATAGATTAGGAAAGACAGCAGCCATATTGAAGGGATGATGTATTTCAGAAGCGCTTTGAAATCACCGAAGAACAGTGGTTTACACACAGCGCAATACCTCTCGATTGCAATCACAATAAGTGTCAAAACTGATGAACTGTAGGGAATGTTGACCATGTTAATCTGAAACTTGCAACCGACATTTCCTAAAAGATATAAATCAATTGAAATTAAAGTGGGATCCAGCTCTTTAAAAGATGATAGACGGACCGGAATAAACCTAAACGAACCTGGATTAAGAATAAATTCATTTCTATGGATTACTGCCAAATTTAGTTTAACTATTCGAATCCTGCGGCAAATTCCTGAGGTCCACTGGAAGTACTAATATCCACGCACGACAGAAGCAAAATATCGATTCAGAATTCAGAAGACGCCTCGTTCGTGCCTTCCGGAAAGATCTGTTTCTATAGCTGGAGGCAGCAAGGCCACATACGTGCAAAGAACAGCAATTGTTTTGATTTCAGTTGCATAATATTGACTTACGAGACAATTGATACTTATAACTCCTCTCTCTGCTTGAAATTCTCTTGGGAAACCTTTAACCTTATGTTGTCGTTAGTAAAAAACAGATAAACCAAATGCATCACTTGTGAACAGCACAAAAGTAGACAATCGCACAAAATAGCCCGGAATTACAGTATCATTTTTGCTGTCCAGATGGACAAGAAAGAATTAAGTCCATTCTCTCATTATCATGCACTGGACTTGTCGAAAAACTTACCCAAATTTAGATCCTTTACAATAAAATCAGTGACTTGAAAAATGGTCGCCAATGCTTGTATCAGATCACTGACGCTCAGATTCACCAATAGATAATAAGTCACTTCGTGCATACGACGATTAATTGCAACGATGTAACATACCAATGAGTTTCCCACTACAGCAAACATAAGAATTAGGGTATAAACTGTCAGGAATATTGGAACGGAAGCACCAGACAGAGCATTGTAAATATCTTTGTCCGTATTGTTGCAGAATGTGGTGTTGCAATATGACTGGTTTGGCGAAGACATATCTAGCAACGAGTCTTTTTAATTCACTAAGATTCAAAGACTTCCTGAGTATTTCTTTATCAAATTGTTTGTGGTTACCATCCTGATATTCCAAACAAGTTTTGCGCAATTATTTTACGAAGTATTTAAACGGAAGTTAATTGAGCCTTAAAATGTTTACATTCGAAATGCACAATTTACATTCCAAAAAGAATTTCCTTGTTTACATTCCTATTGCCGTTTACCACAAATTTATATTGCTAAACCAGTTAATGTGACTGTCTGTATTTTCCCTAACATGATTCACGAATAGAAATGTTTCTTCTTATTTTGCATACACGGGTCAGACATGGGTACCGGAAAGCCCGGGTGCACAGAGAGGTGTCACCTAATATCTGTAGTGCATCGACGATGTCACAACATTTAAAGGAATTTTAAGTATTTTGGGTCACGAAGTTGATGATGCTAACTTATCTCAATCAGTTTATCACTAATCTATTATGTCAAAGATGAAATATACTTCTATACTATACTATACTTCAATAAAATCACTAAATTCTCTGCGAGTTCTGTTGTTTCTGATGATTGTTACAGGTCGACAATTGTTTTTGCACGAGTTACCGAAAAACTTCAGAAAGAATTTCAGGCTATGCATGAAAAGATACGTCTTCATATCTCCTGAACTTATTCGGGAACCTGCATTTTTTTAAACATGAATGAATTTTATTTAAATAAGTTGTTTAAATTCGCAGAATTACCTTCCGGGTAAAAACATATATAGTTAACGACAGTTTCAACAAGTCCACTTATCTTTTGAATTTTATCGACGATATCAAATTTTTTTCTTGTTGTTTCAGAAATTCTGTCTACTCTACTAAGTTGAGTTTATACATATATTGACTGTGATATTGTTTTTCCAGTCGTTTTGCGTTTCTGGCATTATCACCAAGATGACTTTAGTAGGGTGACATGAGATGACTTAGGTAGATCTTTAAGAAACGATCAGTTCTTCCCCGAGGTTTCTGGTTTGCTAACTCATTCAGGTTCTCAAGAACCGACCACAAAGTTCGGAAGATTCCCATCTCTTTAAAAAAACACAGATATTTCCGGGAAAGCTTGTACATTAAATCAAGCTATCATTTGCATTTCATTGATGTGAAATTGACGTGTCGTTTGACGGGTAGGTGTTACACTTGAACTCTGATGAAGAAAATCTTGAATGAAGCCAGGGACGCGGCAACTTTGACAACAAAGTATTGTCTTGAACGCTTTTCGGAAATTACTTCCAAGAAGGCAGTAAATAATTGGATTGCACATACAATGGGTTGTGGCCAGAAGAAGAGATGGATACCACACGTATCTAGGAAAGAAAGCCAGTCATTTAGAATTTTCGTCATGCTGAGGATTGAGTTTTCGCTACAGGCTTTTTAACGAAGCTAAATCACACAGAACTCACGTGTAGACGCTGCGATAATCAACCTCCAATCTTTTCAGCATGTAGAGAATATTATAAGGCGTCCAAGCGACAAAAAACACGATCAATGTGACCATGACCATTCTAACAACGCTTCTCCTTGATTTATACACAGCAAGATTACCCTCATTCTCCCCAGGGATCACCTGCGATACACAAATGTACGTTACGATACAGTACAGTGGATTGACCTCATGAACACCTCTCTATGGACAAATAGTCTAAATTGCGGTGAATAGCGGTGGAAATTGCGGTGAAGTGCGGTGGAAATTGTGGTTGAGAAACCTAGAGTTCTAGACTTTTCAGCGCGTGTGACAATCGTTATCTGAGTTTTGCGTTGACTAGTTCAAAGCAGACTTATATAGTATACAAACAGGTGTCTCAGACTCTGACTCTGACTCTGACAGGGGGAATTTGTGATGAGTCAGGGTGCTGTAAGTGTATGATGCAAGGTCCAGGTTGGTTATGAAACTATTCGCAATATCAGGACGAACCTGTTTCAGACGACGAATGACTACAGAATAGAAGCACGACGCCACTGTAAACGGTATGAAATACAAAGCAACTACAATAAAAACACCGTGGATATTCTTCGCTCTAAGACTTGGCCAGCGATGGGTACAATCACAACTAAGCTGATCCCCTTCACGCTTTAGATTACTTCCACAGAAATACAGAGTTGGAAAGTATATCGCGAAAGAGAGCAGCCATATCGATGGAATGATGTATTTCAGGCGATCTTTGACATAATCTAAGTCCAGTGGTCGACATATTGCATAGTAGCGCTCGAATGAGATAAAGGCAATGGTTAGACAAGATGCACCGTAAGGAATGTTCACCATATTCACTTGAAACTTACAGCCGACGTCACCTGGATGTGGATCAAATGTAGAAATTAAAATTCAGCAAATAAGTTGATTAGATTAATGGATTAATAAATCAGTGAGGTTTTTCGTGGGCTTATCAGTGGGGATAATCGCCAGCTGAGGTTTGGGGTTAATTCAATGATTTCCCGCCAAACGATATCTTAATTACTGAATATAAAATCGTGTTAATACCGCCTTGTATCATGCGTAAAAAATCGGCGGACAAAAAAAGCGTTTTGTGCTCCTGGATTTATGTTTTCTGTATTATCTGATTGTTTAGTGATCCTCTAATGTCATTGATATTCCACCCACTCGCAGGCGAAATCAGATCTCTTCGGCGTGGGCTGATTTGCGGCGGTTGCTAGGACTAATTAGCATATCTCGCGCATTGTTACTTTCGAGACCGAATGAGCAAGTGTAACTGCCTTGGACGGTAAAAATATGGCGCCTTACAAACATTGGAATAAAAAAGATGTTGTTATCTTTGATTTAAAAAGAGAAATATGGCATGTGTGGTCAATTTCGTCCCTGCTGTAAGAATCAAAATTTCTGTTGATGGACACCAACGTATTTGTGATCGTATCATCAACTGGTTACGTCTTCCGAAAAACTCCTCCAAAATGGCGTCATACACCCACTGACTCACTAACAATCATGATTCATCGCGAATCAGATGGTTGTAGGTTGATATACTTCAATTACTGCCGTAGCTTATTAAATACAATATCTCTGTCGAAATTTACTATATCATTTGCCTCGGTCTGTTTTTAACTCGGACAAACAACTTGATGTAACTTATAAACTTGCAGCAAACTTCGTGAAATCATTCATGTAATAAACATATGTCGATAACTCCAGGTACAAGAAGCTCAGCGACGAACAGAGACAGAAATTCAACTCAAAGATTGCAAAAGAAATTACACGTCTACGTTCATTTGGCATTCGGTTTGGGAATGAAAATGAATATGTTACAATTAACATTCAAGTTTAATATCATAAACTGAGACACGCTGAGACAATCATCTGATCTGATTAATATCAGGTATTAATTGTGCCATCAATCTAAGTGAGGCATCATATTAAATGTCGTGCGTAAATATTAAAGACGTGCAGAACAAACTATATTAAGACGCCATTGAAATGCGTTTCCTATGAGGATGAAACAAGCGCCCTGGATGAAACATGAATGAGCGTCTTTGGAATGTGAATTACATTGAAATACTATATTATACATTTCGCAAGTCAATAGGGCTTAATCCCATCACCCCACTCTTAAATGATAACTTGAAACAAAATAGCCACAATTATTTTCCTTATGTAACTTACCCAAATTCAAATCTTTCACTGCAAAATCTGCGAATTGAAAGGTCGAGGCGAGAGCCATCAGCAGATCGCTCAAGGCCAAATTCACCAAAAGAATATTTGTCGAATCGTGCATTCTACGATTCGTGAGGACAATCCAGCAAACCAAACCATTACCAGTAACGGTGACAACGAGGAACAATGCGTAAATAGTCATAATTATCGTCACTGAGAAAAGTTTGTTGTAAACTTCTGCTTGAGTTTTATTGGACGTCGTATTCGTCCAACCCGTGAAGTTTTCAAAACTGTTCATGCCTGCAAACTTTTTTGTAATGTTTAACAATTTTACGTTTGATTAAAAAGGAAGTCAATATGGGGCGCACCTGCTTCTGTAATATGACCTGTCAGTCGTTGTTATCGCTTTAAATTACCAAAAGCTTGATGATTATCGTAGGATATCACTTCCTTGTTGTTAGAATGAAGTATTTAGGAAGAAAGGCGAGTTTTTGATGTGTATTGAGGAAGTGTTGTGAATTGAGCTTATTAATATGCAGTTCGGAAAGCAAGTTTTGTTAGCAAATATTTATGACAGCAGACGATCCAATATATAATATATTCTATGATTTTACTAAACTGAACCTTTCAATTATAGACTTCTGTGTCTGTGATGACTATTTGTTAATACAATCGCAATAAAGATTATATTCGGATATTGAACAGTAGATATATTATATACCAACTATATTTATGATCGAGAAAGGCAAGTAGTGTTCGATATACCGGAACAAACAATAACAAAAACTTCATTTTCACTTTTTGACATAATTTACGACGATTAAAAATCTTGAAAATCGCGAGTCTTGAAGTATATCAACATTATATGAGGCGATGATTTATGTATTTAAATATCTATATTAAAAAAAATCTAATTAAAAGAATGGCAACGGAATATATTCAAGAATGCTTGAGTTTTTGCAGCTGTGTAAACCTCGTTTAGTTGCTCAAGTTAGTTGTTTCAAAGATGGTTAAGGAGTATTTTTGAAATACAAAAGAATCCTTGAACATTCAAAGATAAGTTTCCTGCCAAAGCTCGCAAAATACATGGTCATTGCCAAACAAGAAATCCTTTTAAATTTTAACGACGTTGTATTCCATCCTTCATCCACAGTTCATCTCCAACATTATGAATTTATGATGTCAGTTTGCATGTGTATAAATCTTATTTTTTTTAAGATTTATAACGTGTAGCCTATCAACATCACGGCTTAGTTGCTATCCTAAATCCTCGTCACTCATCTAAATGTTAATCTTGTACGGACAGTTCTCCGTGGAGTTAACGGCGTTCCACTTGACAAAATGCCACCGATTTTCGGGACTTTGACACAGCACACGATAGACCTTAAAGCCTTTCGGAAATTCTTGCTTAAGAAGCAATATATTATTGGGTTGAATGCACAGCTTATGAACGCCAAAAGCAGAGCTGGATACCAAACGAATCTACAGATGAATAAAGAACATGTATCAATCATTCATCCATTGTTATTACAAGAGGAGAATTGAACTAAACTAACTTTATTTATACTGGATAGCTCTATCAGTTCTAAACTGTTCTTCCTAGAGGTCCAGTAAGGCTCATCTCTTATTAATCCAGTGTTACTACAGGAGAAAACCTAAACCGCTAACTGACTAACTTTATTTATACTGGATAGCTCTATCAGTTCTAAACTGTTCTTCCTAGAGGTCCAGTAAGGATCATCTCTTATTGATCCAGTGTTAGTACAGGAGGAAACCTAAACTAAACTAATTTTTTACTGATAGCTCTATAGCCAGTCAATTGAGCCTGATATCTCTTTCAACTCACCTATATATCCGTCGGAAATCATATTCAATTCTCTTCAGGAAATACAACACGTTGTAAGGTGTCCAGATGACAAAACAAATCACAGTTTATAAGAAGCATCTTTACAATTCCTTGTCGCGACTGATAAGTCGTAACTGTCCCATGCTGCTCCCCAGGGATGGGCCTTCTGAGCCTGCGAATTACCACGAAATACAGTCTAGAAATAATGACCAGCGGGATAACATACAGGAGTACGACCAGGAATATACCGTAGGTATTCATGGACCTCAGGCTTGGCCACCTTTGTGTGCAATCACAAGTCAGTTGGTTTTTCTTCGTGTCCATTCTTAGACCACAATAGATGATGGTTGGTATGAAAACGCAGATGGACACCAGCCATATTGCTGGTATGATACAACGAACTCGATGCTTTACCTCGGTGAAGAAGACAGGTTTACAAATGGCGCAGTAGCGTTCGTAAGCGATGAGAGTAAGAGTTAGAACCGAAACAGCATACGGAATATTGAACATGTTGAGCTGGAACTTACAACCAACGTTGCCTAAAATGGAATCAGTAAAAATGATTCAGCCAAGCCCTGCTCAATCTCGTATTCACAGGGAATTTCTCCGGGCTCTTGAAGAGAAATTTCTCCGGGTACGAGGTTGAGTCCATCTTAGTTCAGCTGATTTAGAAAATAAAGACTTCCATCCTATCCTATCCCATCCTTTCCTTTCCTATCCTATCCTATTAGGCTGGATTTAGCACTATGAGCATCATTTCAAAAGTAACAATAGTAGGTCAGTAGTAGGATTAAAAATTTATAAGTAAATCATTTGAATAAAGTCAACGAGCAGCAGTTATCACTAAATATTTCTTCTTGAAGTGCCACTCAAGTTTAATAAACCTTGTCTATTATTCCGAAATACCTTGGAACGGATATCTATGATAAAACACGGCCTTCAAAAGCGACAGTGAGGTACAAGATATCCGTGATTCACTTCCTAAAACATGGGCAACTATATACGGGCATGACTGATGACTGATTGCATACGTTAACTAAAAACCTATTTTTATACTCATTTTACACCTGAGCTACAGTTTTAACAAGTGGTCGTATTGTGTGGTCAAGTCAGGGATTATAAAGTTTTTCTTAGTAGCTATCAAATAAAATATTTGGGAAAACGCGAGATTTGGATGTTTTCCAAACTTTTTACTTCCTGAAAAAGTTCTGGAATACTGAGAAAGCAAAGCGCTCTTAGCACAGCAATATTGATTGTCAAAAGTTCCGATAACGGCATGCTCTTAAGTCGCACTCTATTTCATGTAATTCGGCACGACTTCTAACAGCCAATACAGATCATCTTATATCATTTCACGACAGCCAACATCTTAAGCGGGAAATCAAAGCACACTATCAACCAATATCAAGTTGTGTTTTAGCCAAATTATCAAGAAGAACATGGCCAAATTTAGTATAAACTCCTGTAGCGTACAGCATTTTGTATGGCACAATATTTATAAAGAGTCACTATATATATTTACCATTAAAAAATCCTTCGGAGAAAGCCGTGCCTACGGTAAATGACACCAGCGGTTCCCTGTTGCGAACCACATCGATTAACTGGACTAATCTTAATGCGTAGATTCTCAAGAAAAAACTTACCGATATTTAGATCTTTTACCATAAAATCCGCGACATGAAATATGCTCGAAAATGTTTGAATGAGGTCAGCTACAGCAAGATTGACCAGCAGATAGTTAATGGTAACTTCGTGAAGTTTACGATGTGTGGTCATAATCCAGATGACCAGGCAGTTACCACCAACGGCAACGATGAATACGACAGCATATATCGTCAGAAATAGTGGTGCCGCAGATAGTTTGTTGTATATCTCATGATCTGTGTTGTTAACAGCAGTTGTGTTTGAGCCATTTCTTGTTGATAAATTACCTTGAAGTTCCATGAACATCGTTACAAATAACACCTGAGGTTTAATTCAGACCATAACAAAATATATCACTGTAGACTTTGAACTTTATCTGTGTTGTTGTTGAATGTGGTTGGGCACTCTTTGGGCAGTCTTTGCTGACACGACTCAGAGTTTTCTGTCCTTGAACTTTCTTGAGTTAAAAATTGATGCAATTAATCAGACGACTAAGTTAAGCAAACAAAATTCAAAGCACACACACTTCTAACCTCTTGACGAATCCAAACTTGAGTCTAAAATCATGAACTGAATCAATATTAATTTGAAGTTCCGTACGTGTTCCACATCACGTCACGCTCAACTTGCAAAAAACAGGAACAATGACACAGCTCTGAGCTCTCGTCTTCCTGGTTTGCACTGATTTGTTAAAACACGGGAAAATTTTTTGCCGTTGACGAAACATTTGTGGGTGACGTTAATGATAAAATTCTAGAAATGGAGTTTCATATTTCAAAAAAATCGCACGAATTTTATATTTTTGTTCGCTTTCAACACTCAACGGAGATGAAATCTTTTATTTATAAAATCTTTTATGATGTTTACTAATCGCTAATTAATGAAAGAGATATGTATTGTCTGACAAAGGCTTTGAATTCGCCGCTTCCGAGTGTGCTATACACAACTGCTTAACATTTTTTTCTTTAAAACTTAAAAGACACACCAAAAATGGTAAAATGCGATTGCCTTTGGCAACTACGACATCGAAATTAAGAAATCGATTAATGAGACTTATAACAGGATCTTACTGGACCTCCTAGGAAGAACAGTTTAGAACTGATCAAACTATCCAGTATAAATAAAGTTAGTTTAGTTTAGGTTACCTCCTGTAGTAACACTGGATCAATAAGAGATGATCCTTACTGGATCTCTAGGAAGAACAGTTTACAACTGATAAAGCTATCCAGTATAAATAAAGTTAGTTTAGTTTAGGTTTCCTCCTGTAGTAACACTGGATCAATAATAGATGATCCTTACTGGATCTCTAGGAAGATCAATTTAGAACTGATAGAGCTATCCAGTATAAATAAAGTTAGTTTAGTTTAGGTTTCCTCCTGTAGTAACACTGGATCAATAAGAGATGATCCTTACTGGACCTTTAGGAAGAACAGTTTAGAACTGATAGGGCTATCCAGTATAAACTATAAATAGATCCAGGCAGGAAAGGTGGGGTAAAGTTCCGATCTCGGAAAGGCGAACCTTAACAGCCACTGCGCATGTACAAAATGTCTTGAAGCAATGTCGAATAATCAGCGATATTTTTATCGGCAGAAAGGCGGCGTGAATAATGCGACTCGGGGCTATGTTAATGTCTGCATGTGAATGTTTGTTGTGATGTATAAATATTGGAAATTTAGAAAATAATCGAAAATAAAAATGAATGTTGAACAAGAAGTAGCGAAGCTAGCTAAACAACTGGATAAGATTGTCTCTGAGGAGAATTCTGTGAGTATTTTATGTCTAAAACAGCACGCGTATGGTTAATTGTATCATTTCTATGAACGTGGATTCATGGAATATGTCTTCTTACTCTTCTATATTTCATTCAATTTTCCTTTACAATCTATGAAATAATATATTTTTGTCATCGATTTATCGTGTCGGTTTAAACCACCGTTACATAGAAGATGTATTTCATTTTCCACTGTCATTTCTCGCGTATCAAACCCAGGTTAATGTTTATGAATGATTGTAATTTAATTATTGGCGGCAATTTTTTTTCTCCTTTGAATGAACATCCAAAGCATATCAGTTGTCTGGTCGTTCAGATATCATGGTGAGATTACAATGTATATGCTTCCAGACAGACCTGGTAGCATTTCACAATAGTATGTCTCTTACAGTACCAGAAATCAACTATTTCAATATCTATGGTGCTTTGACCATAAAACTCAAGCTCTTTTTCTATATATGAACAAACAGAAGTCTGTCCCTGACTAGAATCTAAGCCTGATCCATATTTATGCATCTACATTTTGCAAAATACCCAGTATCAATTCATCCATTGTCACAGGCAGTGTTTTATAATAAACCTTTCATACAAATATCAAAATATTGTATAGAGTCAAGAGGTTGCTGTTGATCTATTGAAGACACTTAAAGATCTCCCGATAACACTGGATGTGTTGCAGGTCAGGTTACGCCAAGGATGCTAGTGTTAATTGGTTCTTATTTTTTATTTTTATAAAATCTATTTGAACCATTTCTACATCTTGCTAATTTTGGTGATATCTTTTTAAATGCAGAAAACAAGAATTGGAATGGCAGTAAATGTTCTAAGAAAGTCCAGCACAAGCGCTGAAGTGCAGACCATTTCAAAAGGTCTAATAAAGAGTTGGAAAAAATTACTAACAGGTAACATTCTTGCAAACAAAACTATTGTCCAGTCTGTCAAGTGTCAACCTATAAATGCCCTAACTTTTGCTGCTGTATTAACCTATTAGCATGCAATACACCCAGATGTGTCCTGCTGCCTAAGATATCAGAACTATCACATCATTTGACACTCTTTTAGTTTGCTTTGCTTCCAAATGAATATAAGAAATCTTGGGAAATATACAAAGCATTAAATTTGAGCAATGTTCAGTGGTTTGTGAGCAGAGACAATATGCAAAAGACACTATATAAACCCCTTTCAATTCTGTTACAAGCTCTTGTGAAGTAAAACAATCCATTTCACCCCTTGTTAGATAAGGAAAGCTCTAGCAACAGCAAGGGGGAGACTGAGTCTGAGAAACCATCCAGCAAATCTAAGTCTTCAGAGACCACTGTCAAAAATGAAGTGGAAAAGAAATTTGTGCCAGCGACCAATAATGATGTGAGACAGAAGTGTCGAGAAATGATTAAGAATTCCTTAAAATCATCAGAAGAGGAGGGTTGTGGAGGTAATGTAGAATCTTGAAATAATACATGAGGTTTTTGTTTAGTTTTGAGAACTTGTTTTGCTAAGTAAATATTGTTTATCCTTTTGTAATATTTAGATGCAGAGAGTATAGCTGGTGCTATTGAGCATTGTATCCTTAGTATTTGAAAGTTTTATTTTCAGTTTATATCCATTATATGTACCAACATTTATCCCAGAAACCACTTCAATTAGTTTTAAGCTTCTCTTTCTAATAGTTCAGTAAACTCTATTCCCTTTTCCCAAAATGTTTTGGCATGTGTGTATAAGAACAAGTTCAGGTCATTCCTTGATGCATTTGTGAAGGTATTTTCGAAGAATTTAATGATACAAATACAAAGTACAAAACGAGAGTTCGTAGCAGGGTTTCAAATCTTCGTGATGCAAAAAATTCAAAGCTTAGAGAAGCAGTGTTGAATGGTGAAATACCACCAGAACGAATGGCGAAAATGACGGCAGAGGTAACACAAAAATCGTTCGTTTTTCACCAAGGAGCTTTAGTTGTTGGTTTAGCAAACAATCCTGTTTATGTTTTATTTTCCCTCAAAAGGAAATGGCAAACGATGAAATTAAAACTTTGCGAAAGAAATTCACGAAAGAAGCGATCAATGATGCTCAAATGGCGGTGACAGCAGGAACACCGACGGACCTTTTCAAATGTGGAAAATGTCAGAAAAGGCATTGTACTTACACACAGGTAAAGAGGACCATTGAGAATCTCTTCATCCTTGATAACTTTTCTCCAAGTGCTGATACCATAACCAAGCTCCTCCCAACTTGAAAAGCAGGTTTCTCATGCACAAAGGTATATTTATTAGGTTCAAACGCGAAGTGCCGACGAGCCGATGACAACGTTTGTGTACTGTCAAGAGTGTGGCAACAGATGGAAGGTTTGTGTCAAATTATCAATCTGCGACTTTCCGTTGCTTGTTTAGTATATCTGAGGTGGTAGAACCTGCGGGGATATGGCTAATTGTTTGCAAAGACAAACACAAAAATAAGAGCATCATTTTATAACTAAAGAATAGCCAGTATTTGCTTGAGATGAAATCTTGCGTTTTGCAATTTCTAATATCCTATTTTCTCTCATTTCTTTTAGTTCTGCTAATGACGTCATCATGGCGAGGTTCCCGTATGCTGCAAGCTCATCGACTGGGGAGAAAGATTTAGAGTTTTGTGATAGGACACTGTTTAACAAATTATAGGAGAATTTCCTAGTATTTCTCAAGTATTTTACAAGCGGCTGGTTGTATGAAAGCCGGATAACGCTATCCACTGGATAGTGGTTTTTTCAATCGCTCTGAAATCGCCCGTGATTTGGTATAACTTTGATTAAATCTTAGGTATTACTAAATCGAGGACCTCTTTAATAATTGTTGGTTGCAAAGTTGAAATTTTATCGCTTTTCAAGCATTTATAGTACGATTGAAGACAATCACTATCCGGCTTTCATACAACCAACCCCAGATGTACAAAGTTAGACTTCATGGATTGTAGAGTGTAGCTGCTAATTGCTGTTTTTTTGCCATGGAGAAACTCCCTTGATTTTATGAAAAACTACAGCTTCCGTCACGCGACATGTTATTTAAGTCTTAAATCTTCTCGACTGTTGAAACATTTATAGAGTTACGATTTATATTATAATGTGTTATGGTAAGATTTGTGATGTTGTTTTTCTAATAAATAGCGGTTGCTAAAGGATTTTTGCCTAGCATTTGAGGAAACATTACAATATACTAAACATTTTGACCCAGTGCTGTTGATAAACTGGTTAATACTGTCAGCTCTAATGCACCATATGGCTTAACTGCTGACATGAGCAATATAAGTGATTTTTTATCGCGACAAAAATATCTCAAAGTACATGATAAAATTAATTAATCATCGTTTGAAATATCATCCGCGTTGCTATGGAGATTCCTGCAGCTGACGTAGTAAGGCCATTCTCCTGTTCTGCAGCTCACTTTCACTCTCACTAGATGAAGTATTCCAGTCGGTCTAAAGAAAGAAATCCGATAAGAATTTTACGATGCGAAATTTGGAAGAAAATAATCAAAAAATTATTTTACTTTTTTCGTTTTTTGTGCTTCCTCTTCAGAGTGAGAAGCTTCGGATTCTTTTCGAGTTTTCTCTTTCCGTTTCTTTTCCGCTTTCTTTTCCTTTTTCTTCTTTTCACTTCGTTTTTCTTTCTTTCCTTCTTTCGTTTTCCTCGCTTCCTTCTCGCGTGGTCTCTCGTCTTCTCCGTCTTCGCGTTCCTTCTCGCGCGCATGACGTTCCTTCTCGCGTGCTCTCTCGCCGTCTTCTTCGCGCGAACGTTCTTTGTCTTCGTGCTCACGTTGTTCCTTCTCGCGCGTGCGTTCTTTTTCGCGCTCACGGTCGTCGCGTTCCTTATCCTTTCGTTCTCTTTCCTCGTGCTCACGTTCACGAACACGTTCTTTCTCGCGAGCACGTTCTTTGTCTTTACGTGTCTCGTCGGACTCAGAACCTGACGAGGGCTAAATTTTGATATGATAAAATGCAACGTTTAAACCAGCGTTACTGCACAGGGGCCGGTTGTATGTATAAAACTCGTTAACTACATTTTGCATAGTTAAATCCTGGTTAACTCAGAAATGCACAACTCTGATTACCCAATTCTCTCCTTAACTTCTGTTAAAAGTTAATTAGTTTTTTATACAACTGGGCCCAGTATGTTCACGTTTTAAAATATAGATAAAGTGACGTTTTTCTTTTTCAACTATCCAGGCCTACTGACAGCTTGTGGATTACAATGCATATGTGATTATGGTTTAAAATGACGAATGTTCTTACTGAATGACGTCGTTTTTTCTTTGCTTTCTGCAAATATATGACATAATTCATTATTTAGTTTTCAGTGTCAATAAGCAACGTACAAAAGCGTTAACAACAGATATTTCGTGTTGCATTTCATATTTTACCTTTTTCTCTTTCTTGTGTTTTCTTTTGCCGGAAACATCCTTATCTAAAACAAAAATTTATAGACTTGCTGTTTAGATAAAATATACGCTTTAAAAAACGCTATGAAACCCAACATCAGGCACAGGCACATGGAAAAACAACTACGACTAAAAAACAACAAAACAACAAAACAACAAAACAACAAAACAACAAAACAACAAAACAACAAAACAACAAAACAACAAAACAACAAAACAACAAAACAACAAAACAACAAAACAACAACTTACCTGTGTCAGATTGTGAGGAAGCCGACGGTGATCTTGATTTATTTCTGTGACGCTTTTTCTTGTGTGATTTTTCTTTGTCAGACTCGTCTTCGGACTTTGATGAAGCCTGAAATTCAAACGAGGTTATATCAAGTCATCGTTTGACGCTGAAGTTGGTGGTAATCTTGTGAACGAGAGTAAATAAACTGACCGAAGGTGATCTGGAGCGTTTTCTGTGTTTTTTATTTTTCTTTGCTTTCTTGTGGGTTGATCGGGAGGTATGGTGATGACCACATTCCTGTAAAGCATAAAATGCGAGAGAACTTGAAGTTGTTGCTATTTTAGATAAGAGTTCATTACAAACTCTCTTGTGATTATTCGGACAATTTTTGACTCGCGCGCGCGAGGTACAACCCCCCCCCTAAAGCAGACATGATCTATGTACAAATATCATCAAACCTGGAGTAATGAAGAAATAAATTCTTTAAATAATCGTATTCTTTCTGACTCAACAGTCATCGCCAAAAATGCTGGTTCGCTGACGAATCTTTCACGCACCTAATATAATATAAACAATGATTACCGTCCAAACCTATGACGCAAATAAAGAGTTAAAAAGCTACGTCAATTGAATATATCAAAACTGTGCTGTATTAAAAAGAAGAAATCTGCACAGTTGGCTCACTTAAACACACCTCATCCCATGAGCTGTTCTCATCCAAGGAGGGAGAGGATACTTTCAACATTTGCTTGAACGATGTTTCACGCCGACGTTGCTAGTGGAGAGCATTGGAAAAACAAGAAAGAGAAATTCAAACCACGGCAGGGAGAACAAATCTATAGCTTACGTTGGCTTGAATAAAAGCTTACGTCTCTTTCTTCTCTTTTCACTCGTTCCTTTTCACGAGCTTCCGCTTTTTCCAGCAACTAAAAATAGGGCAAAGGAATAATTGAAAACATTTCATGCACGATGGCTTTGTGGCAAATAGATTAGCTAGATTAATTAGATTAGCGACAGTAGATTAACTAGATTAGCTAGATTAATTAGATTAGCTACTGTAGATTAACTAGATTAGCTAGATTAACACTACTCGATTTCCATAATAGCATACATAAACCGACTGGCTTTGATAACTCAGATTTCCCTCCGTCCTCAACCCCCAAACAATTTACACTTTTAAAACATACCCTGGTTTCCTTTAACTGGCCCATTTAACTTCCTTACATAAAGTATACGCCAAATTCTTACGTTGTTAAAGGTCATTTTAATATTCCCAGGATCCAACGTGGCTGAGCGGTCATCTCTTTGAATCAAGTTATAGAAATCGTCGAAGTTACTGTTCAATTCAACCGTACAATCACATTCCTAAACAAGCCAAGAAAACATTACCCACAAATTAATCGTGACAGAGAGCTTTTGCTGTGTTTAAGAACTAGTTTGCAATGAACTTTGCTGTTTCAAGAGCGAGTAGGTCTGGTTGATGGGTTAACAATTTTGTGTTTTTGTGACAAGGAGCAATAAACTATAAACTAAAGTAAGATATTTATTCCTGTGTGCGATTTTCTTCTTTTGATAGATGTGAACGTGTGAATTAGTTACGGGTGTTCAAATAGGAGCTCGTAAACATCAATGCTTTCGTAACTAGCCACTCATTCACATATACCAAAAGACGAAAATCGCACATGTACAGTATATGTCATAAAGCATACGGACCTTCATTATTTCTTTAATGATTCTTTTCTCATCGTTGAACTTCGACTTCAAGTCTTCCACGTAAAACTTGAACAGATCAAGTGGTGTCGATCCTGCGATGAAATATTTGATTAATTTTGGGATGCGAATATGATCACGTCTTGTAATAAGAGGAAAGCGGTGAGTTGAGAGTTGAACGTACCAGGTTGTCCCAGCATTTTGCTGAACCTGAGATCAGCGCTGATAGTTGGGTACATCTCGGACCACAGGGACATCGAGTGGATCTGGTTGGTCTTGTGGAGTTCGTCCAGAAAGGCCTTCAAAATACAAAGGAAGATATGATTTTGTACATGACATTGGTTGACTGGGAAGGGGAGGGAGGGGAAGGGAAGGCAAAAGGTTGGTAGAGTTGGTGGAATATCCTTATAGGATATTTATTTATCCAAATATTCAAAACACAAATTCAAAAATTTTCCCGATCCACTGGGCTGGTTTATGTGGGAATATTGCGGCGTACTCTTTGCCGAGTACAACGATAGAAGCCTCCTGCAAGAAACGGCATCGATCTTGTCCGTCCTTGCTCAGGAAACGCTGGGAAACAACTGCCTCAAACTCGCATGGAGAGAGCATTGGAGCCGCCATTTTGATGAGGAATCTAACGAGATTTATTGTCATGCAGATGATTCATGGCGGATGTTTGATCTTAAAGCGGAAAGATTTCTCACAAGGAATCCTTCTCTGTTCTTCCTCTGTTGTCTTCTCTTCTTGTTTTTTTCTCTCTGTTTTTCCTCCACCTGGTCTTGTTCGAGAGCTCTGATGTGATCCTCAAATGCAATCAACATATCCTCCTTATCCATGTCTAGAAATGATCAAAACTCGTTGTTCATTCATAGCCCGCGTCACAGACGTTGATGAAGCGAGGTTGTTATTTTGGGTAGTTACCTTTTATTCTTTCATCGTCATTATACACTGCCATATCTCTCAGTTGTTCTTGAGCCTAAAAGAGATTGGTCACATAAATATAAAATACATCTCTCTAATACAGACATCTCTCTAATACAGACATCTCTCTAATACAGACATCTCTCTAATACAGACATCTTTCCAATACAGACATCTCTCTAATACAGAAATCTCTCTAATACAGACATCTCTCTAATACAGACATCTCTCTAACACAGACATCTCTCTAATACAAACATCTCTCTAATACAGATATCTTTCTAATACAGACATCTCTCTTACACAGAAATCTCTCTTATACAGGTATATGATAGTTCCTTCAATACGAATATTTCAAGCCAAAATACTCCACCGTTGAACCCACCTCAACCCAGGTCGTCCTATACGAGACTTCAGTCATACTGTTGAAGACAGAGATCATAAAATCTCTGTTCTCAATTCTCATTTCTTTCTCTCTTTCCTTCTCTTTCTTAGCAAGCAAGAAGATGACATCTTCAAACACGTCCTTGCGTTCTCGCTCTTTCACGGCGTTCCAAGCCTGCTCTCCGTCGAACATCTCCGTTGCGCGATGCCAGCGAACAGACGACGACATCTTAGGGTGGAATTCCAGGAATTTATGGAGGTCATCACGTGCTTTACGCGCCTTCTGACGAAGCTCTTCCTAGAATTTTGGGAAGTGAGAATATTGTAATGAAAATACGAAGATATATGTGATATTATATTAACCGAAAATGTTGGCCAACGTAGCACGACTAATGACAGAAATCTAATCCAATCACACTTAATCTGATTTCATTTAATCTATTCTAATGTAATCTAATCCAATTTAATCTAATCTAATCTAATCATAACGACTTCAAACACGGGAATTCTAACACGAAGTGCGATTTGCTTCGCCAAACTAAAACGGGTCTATTCTCAGGCTGTGTTATATAATATGAATATAAAGCAATAAAATATCACCTTCTCTTCATTTGCACGTTGTGTTTTATATTCATTAAAAGCTTGTTTCTTCTCGTTCATCTTTCTCAAGGCACCGTATCGTGGATCAGCCACAATCATCCGCATTGCAGCATCCCAGTTCATGACGGAAGACACACCCTACAAGAAAATAAGATTCGTATCTCACGCAGCGCTCTTTTCAAACCGCACCATGTGGACATTCAGTACAGATCATCTCTTATTCAAACTACTGCTCAAACCTTTTCCTTAAGAAGTTCTTTAAAGGCTTGTTTCGCCTCTTCCTTCGTGTCATAAATATAATCTCTCTTGGGAGTCGAAGCCGCTGGTGAAGACGATGCCTCGGTTGCTGCAACAGCACTAGACAATAAAGAAATATCTTTTATAGTAGAAGAACTTGAAGGTCTAAGAGCAGGTCTATAGGACTGAAACAGCATTTCAAATGTCAAGGTTTACATCACTGGGTTCTAACGAGGCCCAGCAAGCCATACCTTGCAGCTGAAGCTGGTTGTGGTCCATCGGTTTGTGTGACTCCTGCTGGTTCCTGTTTGGCTTGTTCCTTCGCCTCTTTCGCTCGAAGTTCTTCTTTTGCTCTTTCTTCGTCTCTTTTCTGCTCCTCCCTGGAGATAATTCACGAAATATTTCATAAAGAATAATGACTAGGGGACACTCAGAAGCCAAGTGTAATTGTGGTGGCGTTCTACCATGTTTCTTTGCTGTAAAAAAAAATGGACGGCAGAATTGCTGCATGCGGGAGAAATGAACTCTCAAGCTTTGCTTTGCCAGACCAATGCAACCCCAAACTGACTGAGCTGTGAGGTAAAGTAACCTCAGGAAATAACTATTTTAAAACAAATCTGAAATCACGTAAAAATTTTTAATCTGAAACATACTCTTCCTGTTGTTCCTCGACTTTGATGCGTTCTACAATGAAGAAAAAAAATTTGTCAGGAATTAAGTGTTTTTTAGGGAATACAGACGGCTGATTTCAGGAACTTTTATGAAGCTCACAAAATCTATACAAATTGTAATTTGAATAGGTTTGAATTGGTACTAGTAAATTACCAAGCCAGATCCCTCTCAATAAGGTCTGCTGGGAGCATTTTATGGAGTTACGCATGCTGTTGCAAATTTGCAATACGAAACAAGTTAGTTACCTTTCAATTCTTCAAATTCTTTTGGTATTGTCCATGTTGATTCCTTAGTTTCATTGTTATGATAATATGGTGCGACCACCGTCCGCACTGTGTTCTTTCCACGGACTGGCATCCAGGAGTCGCTAAAAACAAGAACAGCATGTCTAACACATATTTACATGTTGTATTCAACACCTCAAGTCACGCACAGTTAAAATTTAGTCCAAGTCATGATGAAATAACTGCCTGCCTTGCTTATAAATTTTGAAATCTTGCACAAATTCTGCACATCAACAGCATTACTAGAACTTCATGTAAGAATCCTTACCTCAGCATTTGTTTTTAGCTCATTAGGTTTTTGCCAAGATGATTGTTTTGTCTCTGAATTATAATAATAAGTTCTTCCATCAGGTGCTTTGTGCTCGCTCCAAACCATGGCTGCCTTTCTCTAAAGATTGACCAAACAAAACCAGGTTTTAACAAAGCTATAGATGTATAAAAAGCCTTGCACCGCCATCGCACCATTACAAGCAGCAGTATCAGTGTTGTAAAGGACCTACTCTTTCCTCTCTTTGTTTCCTTCTTTCTTCCTCTTTCTCAAGTTCCTCTTTGCTTTTTTCTTCTTTCAGTTCAGGTACGACCGGTTCCAGGGTCACTTCTGGTGCTGCTGCTGGTTTTACTGTTTGAGTCACTGGCTGAACAACTGCCAATGAAATGGAACAACCTCACATCAAAGTTATGCCGAATAATGGACAATTTTTAGAGAAATTGAAAAATTTTCTGCTGTGAAATTTTCGTTTCCTTCTTTAACCACATATGTATATTTAGCGTAACTTGACTGCACTTATAGTGTAAGAAAACATGCAAATACTCTCTAGCTAAATTATGTCTTTGCACTTGGAAATCCAAATCGATGGTCGTAATCCTGCCACTAAAAACAAAAGACGTGAAGGACTGAGATTTATATACAGACCTGGACTGGCAACAGATGTGACCACAGCTGGCATTGCCTGGAAGGCCCCAGCCATAGCCTGCATTGCGTGAGGGTTGAACATTGGCATGGCGGGCATCGGTGGGAAACCTGGGGCTTGGGGTAACCCTGGGAAACCAGGAATCCCAGGGGGGAGAAACCCTGCTTGTGCCATCGCATTCATATTTGGTGGCATCTAAGGAATGGAAATATTTTCATACGTGATTTATTTTTGTGAGAATTTTTTCAGCAAGATCAACAGATACTGTAATCTTCTGAATGAGGGGGGAATGAGGGGGGGAGAATGAGGGGAGGGAAGAATGAGGGGGAAGAATGAGGGGAAGGAAAGAATGAGGGGGAGAATGAGGGGGGAAAGAATGAGAAGGGAAGAGAGGGGAAGGGAAAAGAGGGGAGGGGAAATGAGGGGGGGTGAATGAGGGGGGGAGAATGAGGGGGGGGGAGAATGAAGGGGGGAAGAGAACTTGGGACTTACCATCATTCCTGGGATCATGGGGGGCATCGGGGGAGGGGGGAATCCGGATTGGTTTGACGTGGGTGGAAGACCAGATGACTAAAAAGAACATGGACAAATGAGAATCAATATTGCAACATTTAGTACGGGTTGTAGAGAAACACTGAAAGCAACTTTTTCAGTTGTTTTGTCTTCAGTTCACAAGTGCCAAGTGGATGTTTTGTCAGCACCAGGAAAACGATTACAGCAACAAATGATGAAGACTAATATATTTACACAATTTAACATAAACTATCTACAATGCTGAAGCTCCTACCATAATTTCAATACGTCTTGTACCCGGATACGATTCTCAAACTCGACAGATAGTCAAATACACGCAGAAACCCTTTAAAAACAAAACACATTTGTCAGACTTCATTTCAATGAATACCTCTATCTTTTACACAAAGTACAAGTACTATTCTGCAGGATTTTACCTGGTGGTAAGCGCTCAAAGTTAAGTTTATTTCCACGTGGAAAATAAGCAAAGTTAACCAAGGACTTCCAGATTTGCCGCCATATTGGATTGGACTGCGCAGAGAATTGGAACCCATCTTCTTTTGAGGGATGTGAACGAGTGAATTAGTTACGGATGTTTAAATAAAAGCTCGTACACATCAGAGCAGTCGTAACTTACTACTCGTTCACATCAATCAAAAGAAGAATCATTTATTATTTTCTTGTCAAAAAAAGGCGTTGCTTTTTTTCAAAATGCCTGAAAGTGCATTACTCGCATCACTAGCTGATAATCCATATTTTTCTGCAGGATTTGGGCTCGTCGGTGTAGGCACAGCACTAGCATTGCTTCGTAAAGGTGGACAGTTTGCTTTCATAGCATTCAGAAGACATGCGATGATAACTTTGGAGGTTCCAAGCAAAGACAGGAGTTTTCAATGGCTGCTTCAGTGGATAACGCTGAACGCTCGTAAAGCGCAACATTTAAGCGTTGAGACAACATTTCATCAGAACGACACAGGAAAAATCAACACCAAATTTGATTTTATTCCAAGTCCTGGAACGCATTTTTTCAGGTTGGTCGTGCAGGGGGGTGAGAGAGCAATAAACGTCCCCAAGGGGGGGAAGAGAGCAGTGAACATCTCCAGGGGGGGAAGGAGCAGTCAACATCACCAGGGGGGGGAAGAGAGCAGTGAACATCCCCAGGGGAGGAGAAGCAGTCAAAATCCCCAGGGGGGAAGAGAGCAGTGAACATCCCCAGGGAGAAGCATATTTTCAATGCAGAACCTCATCCCACCCCAAATCTCTGAAGCGATGTTTTCCAAATTTTCATGAACCAATATTTCAGCTATAAAAAGCACTGGATTAGAGTTGAACGATCTCGGGAGAAGGGCATGCTGGACCTGCACACAGGGACCCCATGGGAGACGGTCACTTTAACATCATTAGGCTGGCGACGTGAACTATTCTTTGAGATTCTTGCGGAGGCTCAGAAAATGGCTTTATCACGGGAAGAGGGCAAAACTGTGATGTATATACCTATGGGTGCTGAATGGAGACAGTTTGGTTTCCCAAGACGAAAGCGACCATTAGACTCGGTTATCCTTTCTGATGGTGTTGCAGAGAGAATCTTAGCTGATATTAGAGATTTCATACAGTCTCCAAAATGGTACATGGACAGAGGTATCAACTGGGTTTTTATATAATGTTTATAGACCAATTTTCCTGAAATTCAAGTTATACTTGTATTTATATTCAGGCATTCCCTACAGGAGAGGATATTTGTTGTATGGACCTCCAGGCTGTGGAAAAACAAGCTTTATGTATGTATTAATATATCCATGTCATTTCATCTCCTCTGCTAGTCCAATCTCTGCCATAATCTTCCCAATCATATTATTTCATTTTCAGCATCAAACCTTGCTGTATTTCATCTTCTCATTTTTCACTCATTCTTCTCTTACATCAGTTCACTCTCTTCTTCTAAATCTCATTCTGCAGCCAAGCACTTGCAGGAGAACTGGAGTACAGTATCTGCGTTATGAACCTGAGCGACAGAAGTTTATCTGATGATCGATTGAACCATCTCATGAGCATAGCTCCGCAGCAAAGCATTATATTACTAGAAGATATTGATGCTGCCTTTGTAAAAAGAGACGAAGATGATCCAGGCGGTCAGAATAATATGTACCTGAATAGGGTTTGTTTTCAATCTTCAAACATTTCTTGAATCTTTAAGATTATAAAAGTCAAAAATATCTGGAGAAAGTAGTGTGTCAGAATATATTCAGTCAGATGAATAATAATTCCATCTTAAAATCTAGTAAAATCTTAAATATACTTCGGATTTGGTTAGGATTAATGTTAGATTTAGGATTAGGGTTAATCTTAATCAACAATAATCCTAATCAAAGACCTAATCCTAACCCTTATCCTAACCTAATCTCAAGGACTAAATCCATGTATTTAGGATTTATTGAACACATGGAATGATTAAGGTCGGATGATCTTTCTTTTTTTTTCAAAGGTAACCTTCAGCGGTTTGTTGAACACTTTGGATGGCGTCGCCTCGACGGAAGAGAGGATTGTTTTCATGACAACGAACCATCTCAATAGACTAGATCCAGCTCTAATAAGGCCCGGCCGTGTTGATGTTAAACAAGAAATAGGTTACGCTGAAGGCAGCCAAATTAAACGCATGTACAGACGATTTTATCCGCACGAATCAGGCATAAACGCCGAGCAATTCGCACGAGATGTAGTGACACTTAGCAAGATGAAAAGTATCGCAGATATTCAAGGATATTTTATGTTGCATAAGAATAGTTCCAAAGCCGCGCTTGAAAATGTGAATGCTCTGAAAGAATGAATACATTTTGAAAATACAACTTTGTTTGTTTTTTCTCACTAACTGTATATATACAAGTCTTATGTATACAGTGGCTTAAGGTCTGTTCATATGATGCAGTTTTGTCGGATCCAATTCACTTCTGACGTATGGAATGTAGTGTGTTATTGATAAAGCAGTACTGCATTGGCTTCGGTTGATTTGCTACCCATATACTTTGGAAGTCAAGGTACTATAAAACATCCATCACAAGTGAATTGGGTCGTGTTGACGGGCGTTTAGGAGTTATTCAAATTCCTTATACTTTGATCTCCTAACCTACTTAATCAACACTTATTGAGTTTCTTCTTCAATCATTTTTGGACAAATCATGTCTAGTAATTTTATGGAATAGTGCTGTATTCACAGAGATCATCTCATCTCCATGAGGCACCCAAATTTTGAAACCACGTCTTGTTCTACCGACAAATTTGTTTAATGATTAGCTGTTTTCAAAAATTAAGACAAACAATTTCTCTGGCAAACTATGGCATTTCAGATCAATGCTTCGACAACACATCGCCAAAACTTTCGGTTCTAAATCTCACGGCTGAAAAACACCTGAAAATGTTGTTTCCGGTAGAATGAACAGGCATTTACCCAGACTAAATATCTCAAATCTTTTCGTTTGTTGACCTTAACAGGTGGAATTATGTTCCACATGAACGAGCAACCAGTTTTGCCGTGGATAAACACGGAATATAAACATATTTTCCCTCAATCATGGAGAAAGGAAAGACGATCAAATATTCCATAAAGTTTCCTCAAATTCTGCTTATTTCGTTGATTGCTATCCTGTCAATAACTCACGGCAGTCTCTTGAGAAGAGTATCTCGAGAAAACCAGGATACTGAGAAGAAATTGCTGGATACAAAAGGGCGACCATTTAACTACAAGTTGATCAGAATTCCTAAAGATGTCAGACCATTGCATTACGACTTGTATTTGCACCCTAATCTCGATACCCTTCACTTCAAAGGGAAAGTTCAGATTCTCTTAAAATGTTTCAAGTCAACAAGTAGAATAATATTACATGTGAAAGATCTCAAGACGGACAACATCAGAGTGTTGAACGATAAAGATGCAGAGATTAAGGTCAAGGACGTGTCAGAAAACACGGAACGTAATTTAATGATATTAGATTTGAGTGAGGATTTAAAGAAGGACAAGGAGTATCGTCTTGCTATGGATTTTAATGCAAAACTGGCAGAAAACATGGAAGGCTTTTATAAAAGTGAATACAAGACGAAAGATGGGAAGAAAAGGTAGATTCCTCTTAGTGGAAGCACCTTATCCGTCGCATTTTCTACCAAATTACAATTTCCATATCATCTCAACCTTGCTTCCCTCATCTTCTCTGCAATGTCTACCACCTCACATCTTCTGATTTCTTCATTTCATAATATCTCTGACCAGCTCTCCTTCATCTCTTCTTGTTACGTGTCCATATCATCTTAACCTTGCTTCCCTCATCTTCTCTGCAATGTCTACCACCTCACATCTTCTTCTGATCTCTTCATTTCATAATATCTCTGACCAGCTCTCCTTCATCTCGTCTTATTACGTGTCATATCATCTCAACCTTGCTTCCCTCATCTTCTCTACAATGTCTACCATTTCACATCTTCTTCTGATCTCTTCATTTCATAATATCTCTGACCAGCTCTCCTTCATCTCTTCTTATTACGTGTCCATATCATCTCAACCTTGCTTCCCTCATCTTCTCTGCAATGTCTACCACCTCATATCGAGTATAATAATCTTTATCTTTATTTTACCCAACAGAGTTCTAGCGACGACACAGTTTGAGCCAGTTTACGCTAGAAAGGCTTTCCCGTGTTTTGACGAACCTGAATTCAAAGCTACGTTTGAAATAAAGATTTTGCGAGATGAAAAATATAGTTCCATCTCAAACATGCCTCTCTTGAGGACGACACAACAAGATGGGCTCTACCTCGACCATTATAAGAAATCGGTGAAAATGAGCACATATCTTGTTGCTTTTGTCGTTAGTGATTTCAAGTTCACCGAGACAACAACTAAAAATGGAGTAAAGGTAAGGCAAGAAAATACAGCTTGAAGCATGAGACATGGCTAGGAAACAATGTTTCCTGGTTTGTCTACCTTCATGAAACATGGCTAGGAAACAATGTTTCCTGGTTTGTCTACCTTCATGAAACATGGCTAGGAAACAATGTTTCCTGGTTTGTCTACCTTCATGAAACATGGCTAGGAAAAAATGTTCCCTGGTTTGTCCACCTTCATGAAACAATGTTTCCTAGTTAATAGTATATTTATGTATTCTTCAGGTGCGTGTGTGGGCGAAGGAACATGCTGTGAAACAGACCGAGTTTGGTTTGGATGTGGCTCAACATGTTTTAACTTATTACGAGAAATTCTTCAACATAAAATATCCTCTACCGAAGATAGGTACTGTATGGTTTGAAATGATATGTTACAACAGGATGACACTGAAATAAAACAACATGATTATAAACAGTTCTGTTTGTTTTTAAGTACTCCTCCTTATTTCCCATGCAATTCCAAATTTTTTATCTCATCTTCTCGACTAAAATAGATCTCATCGCTGTACCGGATTTCGGAAGCGGAGCGATGGAAAATTGGGGGCTGATGACGTTCCGAGAAACCCTTCTCTTGTTCGACCCCAAGTCGGGAAGTGCTGGTGACAAACAACTTGTTGCAATCGTTGTTGCTCATGAACTTGCTCATCAGGTGAGAAAGGGCATGCCAATATAGTTTCTCATGCCAATATAGGATTATATTGGTATATATAAGGTATATATAAGGTATATATTCTCGAATATATACCTTTGACTGGCTAAAGTTTTCGAAGAGCTCGAAATATTTCATGTATTCTAGTGGTTTGGAAATCTCGTGACGATGGAATGGTGGAATGATTTGTGGCTTAATGAAGGTTTTGCAAATTACATTGAATATGTCGGAACGGATGATTATGCTAAGGACTGGAGAGTTGTAAGTTCATTTAGGGTTGAACTAGAGTTACCTGGGTTAAATAAACCTCATATGCCATACGACATGCACTGTCAAATGCAACAGTTTGGTTTACAAAATCAAGTTAAAGAATCTCGAAAGGATGGCATATTCCCCAATAAGTGCGGTTGTTCTTTCTTAACGGATTTTCCATCGTTTTAGCTGGATCAATTTGCAGCAGATACCTTCCAATCAGCTCTTGGAGCTGACAGTATCGTCAATACACATCCAATATCAGTGCCAGTGGACAACCCTGCTCAGATTAACGAGATTTTTGATGGAATATCCTACGATAAGGTTCGTCATTTTACATGATGCACACAAATCATGCAGGTTGATTGTTGAACTTCACTTTGCTCTGCCGTGACCAAGCCATATGTATTTTCCAGGGTTCATCTGTAATTCGTATGCTGAGAAACTTTTTGGGTGATCGTGCCTTTCGTAAAGGACTCGAGGTAAGATCATCTTAAGAACAAAATGGATCAGAAATACCAGAAGATATTGGAGCTGGAAGTTCATATAGTTATACGATTATGAATTGAGGTTTTCCTTTTCAGAATTATTTGAACAAACATGCTTATCAAAATGCTGTTGCAGATGACTTGTGGGAGGCCTTTAGCAAGGTATTGGTTCATCATAGCGAAATTTCATTGAAGAATGCAATAAGTCTTAATACAGAATAAGATTGTTTTCGTATCACTATTGTTCAAGTAATCGATCAAAGGTTTTCTGTGTTTTTCAACAAGGTCAGCTCTTTAAATGTCAAAGCCATAATGGACAGTTGGGTTGAGCAGAAAGGCTATCCAGTGGTTACAATGAAATCTTCAAGACTTCTCGACGACAATGCTAAAACGCAACATGGTATCGACGTCGTTCAAGAACGATTCCTTATTGATCCTGCTTTGGACAAGCATCAAAGAAAGAGCGAGATTGGGGGAAAGAAATGGTACATCCCGCTGACATATATCACTCAGGATTCAGATAAAGAGCACCTATTTTGGGTGAATCACACCTCTCGTAAGTAAACGCCTTAGGTAACACTCTCTCTAAAAGATGGAGAGACTGGAGAAGATCCCCCCACCCCTTACACACCTCTGTGTTTTCAATCTGTTTGTCTAGGCAGTTCTTTTCCCCTGAAGAAATCCTCCGGCTGGATAAAAGCCAACGTTGGTCACATGGGATTGTACCGCGTCAATTATGACCAAGATAACTGGGAAATGCTTAGCAACCAGCTCAGCCATAACCACAAGGTTTGCAGCGCTAAATAACAGTTTTATACTACCTTGATGTTCATGATGTGTGAAGGAACCAGCCAGCAAGATTCGATTTCATCTTTTCTCCTTTAAACTTTATCTTCTATCAGGCGCTGAGCTCTGTGGATCGCTCCGGTTTACTGGATGATGCTTTTCATCTGGCAAGGTTGGGAAATCTCTTAGATGCCAATAAGCATGCGAGAATTCAGGATATGATCATTTTCTATCCATTTTAGAGCGGGTCTTTTACCAATGACCATACCTCTCAAACTAACCCAATATCTGAACAAGGAGAAGGAGTACTTCCCGTGGTCCAGTGCGCTCGGCAACCTCGCTTACATTGGCTCAATGATATCCATGACTGAGACTTATGGATTGTACGAGGTAAAGATACTTTGTATCATCACAGGCAGCCCGGTCAATGCGGTTACGTCATACGTAGGATAGTATGACCTATGCCTATGGTATCTGCGAGAGTTTGAGTTTCATATCGAGATGTAAAGTGTTTGTTGACTTAAAATTATTCATTATGAAAATGGTTATAGAATTATCTGGTGAAGAAATTGAAGCCTCTCGAGCTGTTTTTGAAATGGGAAGACAAAGGAACCATACTTGATAAGTACGAAATGAAGCTAACTTCTAGCATTGCTCTTGTGATATAAAGATGGATCCATGATGAAATAACACGGGCTAATCCACGGCCTGAATTCTACATTTTGTTTTATCAAGATATTTGCGAGCAAGCGTGTTGAAATCTCTTTGTACGCATGGCGATCAAGGATGCATTGACATAACACAAGATCTTTTCACGAAGTTTGTCGACAACGACGAAGAGTAAGATTGTTGTTATTCCTTCGTCTCAACCTTAAAAGGTGGCAACACCGTATTCATATTGTATTCTATCCAATCACTAGACTCTCAATCGCGCCTCATCTTCGTGCGACGGTCTATTACACAGTGATAAAGCACGGAGGAACGACTGAATGGGAATTTCTCTGGTCCAAGTACAAAGCAGAAACAGATGCGACTCACAAAGGAAAAATAATGTTGGGTTTGACTTCGGCGAGACAACCTTGGTTACTGCAAAGGTGAAAACGACTGAAAATGTCTTTTAGCTTACAATGAAAATAAACTAGTTATGCAATCAAATATGTGTTATCGTTTCTCAATGTGGAATCACTTTCCAAAAGCGTTTTGGTGTAATATGTTCGTTATTTTGTAGAGTTCTTGACAACGCTATGAAAGGAAATACTATCCGAAAGCAGGATATGTTATCTGCAATCATTGGTGTCAGCCGAAATCCTGTTGGGAGACTTCAAGCATGGGAGTTTTATAAAGCAAACTTCGATAAAATAGTAAAACGGTAAACTGCTTGGGGTAGATCTTTCAACAGTTATATCAATTGATAAAACCCTGCAATATTCGCAATTATTACTGTCCAATGATCTCTTAAACAATCATTTAGAAATGATATCCGAGAAATAGCAACGTTTGCTTTCTGTTTGCAGAGTCGGCGAGGATTCTAACGACTACGGAATCTTGCTGCAAAGATTGACGGATCATTTCAACACGAAAAACCAGTTGGAAGAGGTTAAGAAAATCTACAATGGAAACTATTGAAAAGCAAAATGTAACACCATTATTAATATTTCTTCTCTACTGCACTAGGTAAAAGAATTTATCAAGAAGCACTCATCGCTTTTCAATAATACTCGAGCAGGGAAGAAAGCTCTGGAAAGCATTAAGACGAATATTCATTGGATGAAGACGCATTATGTCACCATTTTTAACTGGCTCAAACAAGTCAACAACGAAGAATATTAATCAGATATGCATCACACGATATGAACTGGGGCAAGGCCACAGTCAGACCTATGTGATTTATCGAACCGTCTAACGTGGTTACGAGAACGATGGATATATAATATAATATCCCCATTTGATCCGGAAAATCAATACAGTTGACATTACTTAGACATTTTATTTAAATGCTTCCATTTATTTACATTATTGTAAAGAGCAATTTTAGCAAAATCTGAGTGTTTATCAAGACGCTTGTCTGATGATTGTTGTCAAAAAACATAAACTCGAGATTATTAATGAAATAGAAGATTTGGCAAAATGATTATGACGCTGTTTTCTTCGCCTGAAACACGCGATGCCATTCAACCAAAGCACGTCGCACAAGATCTTGATCCAGCTGCGGGAAATGAGTTTGGTAAGCTTTCAAAATCTCTTCGTCAGATTTGAGAGGAGTCGGCACCAGTTCGCCGGCCTCGTTCTCGATTATCAACCTGTTGTTCGCGATGACGATAGCACGTTTCCCTGGAAACCAAAGCGCTCGAGGAGAGGAGGTGAACGGCGTCTGATAGATAGTGCACTGGTATTCATCTTCCCCGAAAGCTCTGTATGGCAGCAATACGCTGTCGAACGAGTAAAATCGTCCTCCAACGGCCTATGAAGAAATCGAGGCCTTCGATAGGTGGGTTGTTGGGTTTAATCATATCCCCTTTCCCATGCATTCTCAGGATCTTTCCTTCATGTCGAACAAACTTGTACTCCAGGAATCCATCTTTGAAAACGGGCGATTCCTCTGCGAAATCTAACGAAACTGACCGACATACTGGGAAACCTGTGCCACAATCCACCAAGAAAAGATCGCCATCTTGTTCAAGACCGCTGATCAAAACGACTGCGTGGTTATCCGGCGAGGTGACGGTTGACGTCACTGTGGAGCGCTGTCGATGCACGTTGAATCCCAAACCTTTGAGCAACGCCCAGGTGAACGTATTTATCTCATAGCATAAACCACCAACACCTAATTAAAATACAGAAACATGCTTCAGCATCATGTGCAGTTATCCATCGAAATTTGAGGTTTAAGATCTCTATTATATATGATTATATGTATGTATATGACGGTATACCATGACAGCCATGTCTCTTCTGATGGTTTAAAGTATATAATTTCCTATGGAGGTGATACTGCATGTCCACACATCAGGTGAAAGAACTTTACTTTTTACCATAAATTGTTATTGTACCTGATGTGCATTTCTTCCTTATTTCCTCAAATGGAGGTCGCTTTCGCTCTTCAGCTTTTGCTGCAACCAGATGGATGCTCTGGAAGGGAACTTTGGCCAAGATTTGAGTGACTATCTCATCTACAAGGTTTTTACGATCAGTTTTCATTCTTTTGAGAACGTCTTTGATCTTCCACGAAGTCTGAAGAAACTCGACAGCTTCTTCTTGTGTGAACATGTCTTTCTCGCTGGCTTTAGACATTCTTTAATTTCAAGAAAGTGAAAAAAAACGTGAGTTGTTCTCTAGTTTGCCTCCTGGTAAATGGGACAAGGACTCAAGTGAGAATTAAAAAATATTCCAGTATATTTCAGCTTGGACTGTATCAATGTAACGATGTATGAAGTGTGAAATATTGACTTTAATCTTACGTTCAGATTTTCCCCCAAAGAAACAAACAACAGCTGTTGCAAGTTTACATTCATGCACGGACAAACTGATGTTAATTGTACAATAGATAGCTTCGTCACCCGTAGCAAAACAGAAAAAAAATGTACGTAACAATATTGTTACCACAAGACAGATAAAAAAAAGCCGAACTTATAGGCAACAATATAAGTTAAAAATGAACTATGTTCATTTAAACTATATGCTCATTTCTTCCAATGCAAACTATTCTTATCTGTTTTACGAAAACGGTGTAAGGACTGACTTAATCCGGCGTATAATCTCGTTTTGAACTGTTTCCAGTCTCTTGTTCAAATCAGTTTATTCATGGTGTCTAACATCACGGCTGCATTAATAAAGCCACTTGACGCTTTGCAATAGCAATAAAAAGCAATTCTTTCACACGTAGCTCAACTACTTAATACAACCATTCTTTATTACGATTACGGCGTCCAAAGATTTTAATATCTTTGTGATGCAACTCAAGGTAAGCAACAATGCAAGTCATACTGAGACAATATACAGGAGGCAGCCGGAGGCATACATCTATAGTAGTTCTATGCAACAATTAGAGTAATGGGTATTCCACCTTCATCTTCTTTTTCTTGTCAAAAAGTACCTGAAAATTTTACGAAATATCCGGAAATTCTTTCTTGAACTCTTTTAAATCTTAAAGTGGATATGTAGTTTTTCTGAAATAGTTTCTTTCTAAGACTAAGACGTCGCCTCTCAAACATCTAGATGAACACATGCCTGCATACGAGCTGCGTATACTGCATCTTCAATCGAAGTGATTAAAATGAAATATACAAAGAATTTTGGTGAAATTAAGCTTCAGTTTCATCGATAAAATATATTAAAATACAGGCCTTATTCCACTCAGAATTATTTTGAAATAAGGCTGGTTTTTTATAGTTCTGCTCGACAACTCGCTGACAAAATATAGGCTTTCCGACTCTCATATGTCTGTCTAGATGAAAATTTTCTGAAGTGGGCCATTGTGAAGCAGATGTTGCATATTTCTGCTGTATTGAATGTTTAGAAAACTCTCAGTAATTTTTGTTGTTTGAAGGGCGATTGTATATATCTGAGGGTGTCGTGTATTTAGCAAGAACTATAGACTATAGAACTGCGTGATATTAGAGCTTCCATGGTCATGTGCATGAAGTATATAGTTATTGACTACCATCTAGTTATATATCCATGAGAGTGACGAGATTGCAAATATTTGGCAGTAGAATCAAGGAGAAACGACCCTGGGTGTCAGAGGTTTTCCCCAGAGTCTTCAAATACCTCCGCGGGCAACAAGAACTTTTCAATTTGGACCTTTCAGTTTTCAGGAGAGTTCCTGACAATTTAGCTCCTGAGGAATGCCCTTATAGGCTGAAAACGTCGAACTCGAGATTCAGTGCTTCTGTCTATCAAGTTAAGGCATTTGCTATATCACATTTGATGCTAAGTTTATTGGACTAGAGTACGATATATACTAGCTTTTAACTTTTAAGATTCTGAAGTTAAGAGTTTGAACGTACCTTGTTACAAAGTTAGCGAGAAATCTGGGCAATGGATGTACTGACAGGACACTGCAATCCAACAGCAACTCTGCAATCGAAAACGTGTAAACATTCAAATGCAATTCAAAGACATTGACAAGGTTTCTTTATATAAGATATAGCCCGCAGGAGCTAGAGGCGGGCCAAAAAATTGAAATAATTACATCACTCATTTATATTACCCTTGCTTCGTTTGCATATTATGTTTGTGATACATTTAGGGTATTGTATGTAATATAATATATCATATTTAATTCTGACCAATATTAATAGTACGAAAGAGGTTTATTGAGCTTTTGTCGAAAGGTAATGATTGTCAAAAGAGGCCATTAAAGCCGGCATATTCGAAATGTGGCCCGTTTGAAACTTTGGGCTTTTATGTGCTGACGTAATTACATCAAAAAAGAAGTGTAGGACGAGGATCATTAATCATTAATGGATGAATGTTAACTAATTATGTCGAGCCTCGGGCACAACTTTGAAAGAAAGAAGATATTTTAAGATAGACCAAGCCAGGGACTTGCATTTTACATAAAATAAGGATTTTATAAATCTCTTTTTTGTTTATTCATACGGTCTCACATGATCCTTACATGATCCTCATTGTTCGTTTAAAACCATGTTAATGAAAGTATAACAATGATTGATCATAAATCATGATAATTTCCATACGTTTCATCTAGTGGAAAAACACTGAAGACAAGAAGCTTCGCCGCCGGCGTACAAACAAAGGAAATTTTAAATGATACCATTGTTTCAATATTACATATAGTTTAACAAATGAAAATTTAAGTGTATAGATAAAGCTCTCTCATATTTAATCAATTACATGCGCCTGGAGTCGCTGAAGAGACAAGTCGCCCCAGGCTTGGTTCACAACCAAAAGAACGCATATTTTCAGGGTCGTATCCTCAGATTGAATGTCGTGCAGCTGGATACACTGGACATAACAATAAAAAAAGATTGCGTGACTTGGTTACAGCACAAGAAATATATGTCATCGCGAATGATAAAAAAATTTTCTTTTGAATACTCGAGAGAGAAACATATGTTTATTAATATGCTTCCCCTTTATTCTCTGACCAATATAATGATAAATGACCTGGCTATATTTGAGAGACTTAAAGTGTAAATTAAAGTGTAATTGCAGTTCACGGTATTACTAAAAGGTTATATAAAAGGTCTTATATCAGCAGACGTTATGCCCGAAAACTGAATGCATCCTTAGTTTTAAATTCTTTGCAAAACGTAAGGCCGTGCACAACTGTATTGATTATTTTATTCAACAAAATCTTCAGTCTATAACCGAGTGTGTTAAGAATAAGTATGTTTAGCATGAAATATCCTTGATAAACAAGGTTAGGGGAGGGGTTTCAGGCAAGGGGGAGGAGTGAATTAGAAGTGTTTACAACTGAAACAGGAAGAGTTGAGCATCGCTTCTTGGGCAGTTAAAATTTGTGCCTGGGGCTTTCCACCGAACGTTTTTGTCAATTGTGAAGCTCGTTGGCTGGATTTCTAGCGGTTATTTAACTGATATATGAAGAAATCACGCTCTCGTCCGTTGGATTAAAAACGCATTTCCCCCCCCCCCTACCGCCTCTTGTCTGATGGTAAAAAGCCATCTGCATTCTGAAATGCAGCATCTGCCGAAAAAACAAGGTAATTATTATCTGAAGTTTTTAAATGTTTCATTTTCGGTTTAAAACAAATCTTAAAACTTCTACTAAAGCCTAGAAATTTTATAAGGGGACTCGCGGTCACCCTGTGATTGATCGTTCCAGTTGTAACGTGTATATAGAGTTCATACAGAGAGATAAAGTTACGTAATTTTTAAAGGCGGAGCCATCAAAACAACGAATTTTTTTTTATTTTTTTTTTATTTTTTTATACTAATATGTTGACCAGGAAAAATGCTGTAGAATTTCTTCAGAATTCTTTAAATATTAAAGATGTGGAGTTAGAATTGCAATCAGACCGCGAGGCGTTCCTAAACAAGTTGATTGCCGGAATTTGTGGGGAAATTTCTTTCCATACATTATTTGCATTTGCGGCACCTGAATGGAAGGTCACAGATTTTTCTGATATTGAAAAATGGTGCATGTCAGGGCCAGGTGGTCACTGTGGTATTATCAACACGTTTACCTCACGCTTGTTAACTGTACTTGGTTTTAACACATACCTCTCTCTGGCTACCATAACCCATGTAAAAGTTGACGTCCATGTAATTACCATTGTGAAAGATCTTGTTAACCCTGGTGATATTCATCTTGTGGATCCTGGTTTAAGTATGCCATCCTTCAGAGCAATCCCATTAAATTTCGACGAGGAATCCCCAGTTTATCAAGATTCGTTTCTCGAATACAAATATGTAAAACGAGATGGAATGTACCTTAGAATGCACGGGAGAGGTGATTTAGTACGACATAATAACCCACCAAAACCACAGCTGGATCTCATTGAGGGAAAATGGAGAAGATACTATGTATTTAAGTTGGAAGAATTTAGATGCACTACAATAGATGACATTATAGCATATGTTGATATCCGTGCAGTCTATTTCGACTTATCACCCAGAGCATCGAGATATCCTGATGGTAAAGCCATTGGGATCTTCAATAGGACTTTGTTTATTGAACAAGATGATAAAACTCTTAAAAGAAAAACATTGAAAACTTATGAAGATGTACTAAAGGCATATAGAAAATACTTTCCAAATATTACCAAAGATATAATTGATCAGGCCTACAGAGTTTACTCTGTTTTGGAAAAATCTAAACTTTAATTCATACCTCAAGCAAAAACTGAATGAATTTTATACATTAAACTTATGAACATGATGGTCTCTCTGGCACTACATATGGTCAGCAAAATTTCACAATATCAAAACAAATTGTAACAGCATTTTCATGCAGCATTGCTATTTTTGTATTCATAAAGTAATCAACTTATAGATGTAAATAATTTTAACCACTTTGAAATTGAAAAGTAAATACTAACAACCACTGTTATAAATCAGGCCATCCTGGTCAGGTACCATGTGAATATTTCTTTTTTATTTCAAGCTCATGAGGTTTTTTCTTCCTAAATTGTGAATTTAAACATATCCTTTACAAGAACAACAAGAAAAGCGCTCCCAAAGCTATTTCATAGCAATAAAAACGTCCAAATACCACCTTTCTTCATCATGGCCATTCAAATTTAGCTTTCACTTTTGAGCAATTTTGTCTGGTGACCGGAAGGAAGTTCTCCCGAAAAGTATTGTATGACTTGTACGTATTCAAGCAGTATATATTTTTTAAGACACCGGCAGTAACAATACAATTCAAAGGTATTTGATGATTTTTATCCTATTTGATACAAAAAAGTGCAAGCACAAAAACGTCGCTACTACTTGGGGTAAATTGCAATTTTTAGTCACGCTGTAGTTAAACTTGCGAGATACAAATATTTTAATACAACAGACATCACATTATTCATATTATTTACGCTCTATAAAGTGTACTGTACGATAGTTTTCCTACTTAAAAATATATATTAAAAAATTAAACAGTGTTCACATATTGCATTTCTAGATATAGTTTATTAGAGACATAGTTTATAGACACATATAATACACATTTTATATATAAGCCTTGCATCAATTTTGTTTATATTTTCAAGAACATGTTAACAACGGAAAAAGTGATCAAATTCCTTGAAGATTCTTGGCAAATGAAAGATGTTGCAGAAGAGCTCCTGAATGACCGTGAAAAATTTCTGAACAAGCTGATGGTTACCATTCAAGAGAGGGTGCCATTTCAAACTTTATTCATACGTAATCTTGCATTCATGCTTCCAGAAAAACAAGCAAGCAAGTGGCCTACATTGGATGAGATTGATCATGCCTGTATGTCAGGAAATGGAGGCAACTGCACAGTTATCAACTTGTTTATTTCACGTCTTCTTCAAGCACTTGGACTTTCTATCTCTGTTAGTCTAGCAGTTGTAACAAGTAATGTCTTTAATTCACATTTAGTTGTGATTGTTAAAGATTTGATCAATGTGGGCGATCGTCACCTCATTGATGGTGGTTTGGGCTTGCCCTCGTTTCAAGCAATCCCATTAAATTTTAACAAGGAGTCACCTGTTTACCAGAATTCATTCCTTGAATACAAGTTTATCAAACATGATGGTAAAATTCTTCGCATGCATGGTAAAGGAGATCTGATGGTCCGTAATGATCCACCAAAAGAGCTTGATTTCATTCAAGGAAAATGGAGAAGATTCTATGAATTTAATATTGAGAATATGATGGAATGGCAAAGTTTTGCAGAAATGATTCCAACACTTCTATCTCGTTTCCTTCGCAAGTTTGACCCACGTGCAGCCAGATTTCCTGGCGGCAAAGCTATTTTGCTGTATGCTGATATATTGTATGTTGAAAAAGAAGACAAGACACTGAAAACAATCTTTTTAAAATCAAAAGAAGAGATATTTCAGGCATTTGAGGATTATTTCCCCAGCATTGACAAAGAACTAATTAAGCAAGCTTATTCAAAATGGCACAAGTCAAAATTATGAATAGACATTTGATTAAGTACTTTAGAGTTTAGACAATAATCATAAAATTATTCTAAGCTACCATAAACTTTTCATTGACTGACATTACCCAAACATGGAGAGTATAACCATACAGAAATTACAAAAATTAACATGTGGGTCTGGGTCATGGATGATTGGATTTGTAATAAAAAATATATCGTGTAAAATGGGGCTGTTATGTTTTATTTTACCAAAGTAATCAACTGAAAATTATTTTTACCACTTTGATGACCAACCTCAATGTTTTGATAAGCAGAACTATCAAATATTGCTTTCACAGTTTCTTGCTGAGCAATTCTGATTGGCCAACAAAGAGGAAGTTACAAATTTCCCAACATTTACTTTTGGACTTTGTCAGCATACAATGTCCTTACTTCGTCCACATATTATTTCTTGAATTCTTGCCAATTTTTGGATGTCAACTGTTATCAAGGAGCGGTACTTATCAATACAAAGGTATTATTTAGTTCAAATGAGATTATTCCTTAACGCGAGTACAAAAGACCTCTGCGATTGCATGTGCAAATATTTAAATGAATCAGGAGATTTATTAGTCATTAGGACTCAAGTGCATTCATTATACAATTGCATTACTAAATCGTTTTCATTGCTTTAAAAATCAAAAATGGTTTTGTTAATAAAGAACGGCTTGATTGGAATATAAATTAGAACTAGTAGGTTCATGATTGTTTAGACATGGGTTTTTCTTTGTTTATAATGCTTGCCAGTTGCCCTAAACTAGTTTTCTTGTTTCAAGAACATGCTAACAAAGGAAGAAGCGATCAAATTCCTTGAAGATTCTTGGCAAATGAAAGATGTTGCCGAAGAGCTCCTGAATGACCGTGAAAAATTTCTAAACAAGCTGATGGTTACCATTCACGAGAGGGTGCCTTTTCAAACTTTATTCGTACGTAATCTTGCATTTATGCTTCAAGAAAAACAAGCAAGCAAGTTTCCTACATTAGATGAGGTTGATCACACATGTATGTCGGGAAATGGAGGCAACTGCACATTTATCAACTTGTTTATTTCACGTCTTCTTGAGGCACTTGGACTTTCTACCTCTGTTAGTCTAGCAGTTGTAACAAGTAATGTCTTTAATTCACATTTAATTGTGATTGTTAAAGACTTGATCAATGTGGGCGATCGTCACCTCATTGATGGTGGTTTGGGCCTGCCCACGTTTCAAGCAATCTCATTAAACTTTAACAAGGAGTCACCTATTTACCAGAATTCCTTTCTTGAATACAAGTTTATCAAACATGATGGTAGAGTCCTTCGCATGCATGGTAAAGGAGATTTGATGGTCCGTAATGATCCACCAAAAGAGGTTGATTTCATTCAAGGAAAATGGAGAAGATTCTATTCATTTAATATTGAGAATATGATGGAATGGCAAAGCTTTGCAGAATTAGTACCATTTTATGCATCTCGTTTTCTTCGCAAGTTTGACCCACGTGCAGCCAGGTTTCCTGGTGGCAAAGCTATTTTGCTGTATGGTGATATATTGTATGTTGAAAAAGAAGACAAGACACTGAAAACAATCTTTTTGAATTCAAAAGAAGAGATATTTCAGGCATTTGAGGATTATTTCCCCAGCATTGACAAAGAACTAATTAAGGAAGCTTATTCAACATGGCACAAGTCAAAATTATGAATAGACATTTGATTAAGTACTTTGCACAATAATCACACAATTATTCCAAGCTACCGTAGCTTAGCTACCATAAACTGTTCATTGACTGACATTAGCCAAACATGGAAAGTATAACCATATAGAAATTACAAAAATTAACATGTGGGTCATGGATGATTGGTTTGTAATAAAAAATATATCATGTAAAATGGGGCTGTTATGTTTTATTTTACCAAAGTAATCAACTGAAAATTATTTTTACCACTTTGATGACCAACCTCAATGTTTTGATAAGCAGAACTATCAAATATTGCTTTCACAGTTTCTTGCTGAGCAATTGTGATTGGTCAAGAAAGAGGAAGTTACAAATTTCCCAACATTTACTTTTGGACTTTGTCAGCATACAACGTCCTTACTTCGTCCATATATTATTTCTTGAATTCTTGCCAATTTTTGGATGTCAGCTGTTATCAAGCACCGGTACTTATCAATACAAAGGTATTTAGTTCAAATGAGATTATTCCTTAACGCGAGTACAAAAGACCTCTGCGATTGCATGTGCAAATATTTAAATGAATCAGGAGATTTATTAGTCATTAGGACTCAAGTGCATTCATTATACAATTGCATTAAATCGCGTTTTCATGCATTGCTTTAAAAATCAAAAATGGTTTTGTTAATAAAGAACGGCTTGATTGGAATATAAATTAGAACTAGTAGGTTCAGAATTGTTTAGACATGGGTTTTTCATTGTTCATTAATCATAATGCTTGCCAGTTGCCATAAACGAGTTTTCTCGTTTCAAGAACATGTTAACAAAGAAAGAAGCGATCAAATTCCTTGAAGATTCTTGGGAAATGAAAGATGTGGCAGAAGAAATACAGAATGACCGTGAAAAATTTCTAAACAAACTGATTGTAACCGTTCATGAGAGGGTGCCATTTCATCTTTTTTTCATATGTAATCTTGCATATATGCCTCCAGAAACACGAAAGCTGCCCACATTAGATGAAGGTGATCACATTTGTATGTCAGGGGATGGTGGCAATTGTACAATTGTCAACTTGTTTATTTCACGACTCCTAACAGCTCTCGGATTTTCTAACTTTGTTTGCCGAGCATATGTAACAAGCAGTTCTCTTAATTTCCATGCAATTGTGATTGTAAAAGATCTCATTAATGCAGGTGACCATCACCTTGTTGACTGCAGTTTAGGCCTGCCTGCATTTGAAGCAATTCCATTAAATTTTAACAAGGAATCACCTGTTTACCAGAATTCATTTCTTGAATATAAGTTTATCAAACATGATGGTAAAATTCTTCGCATGCATGGTAAAGGAGATCTGATGGTCCGTAATGATCCACCAAAAGAGCTTGATTTTATTCAAGGAAAATGGAGAAGATTCTATGAATTTAATATTGAGGATATGACAGAATGCCAAACATTTGCAGATTCGCTTCCTCAGGTTTTATCTCGTTTCCTTCGCAAGGTTGACCCACGTGCAGCCAGATACCCTGCTGGCAAAACTGTTATGCTATTTGGTGATATTTTGTATGTTCAAAATGAAGACAAGACACTGAAAAAAATTATTTTGAAATCGAAAGAAGAAATATTTCAAGCATTTGAGGATTATTTTCCCAGCATAAACAAAGAACTAATCAAGCAAGCTTATTCAACATGGCACAAGTCAAAATTATGAATAGACATTCATATTTTAGACAGTATAATCTTATAATTCTTTTAAGCTACCATAAACTGTTCATAATCAATGCCTGACAGTACCCAAACATGGAAAGTATAACCATATAGAATTAGAAAGAATTAACATGGAAGGTCATGGATGATTTGATGTGTAATAGTCAGCAAAAGATATATTATGTAAAATAGGGCTGCTACTCTTGTTTTACCAAAGTAATCAAATGCAATTAATTATATTATACCACTTTAATTTAATGACAAAATTTTTGACGACATCAATGTTTTGATAAGCATAACTATCAAACATTACTTTTACAGTTTTATTGCTGAGTAATTCTGATTGGTAAAGAAAGAGGAAGTTACAAATTCCTGCAGACATTTACATTTGAACTTTGTCTCCATACCATGTCCATATATACTAATACAAAGGTATTTAGTTTAAAAGAGATTATTTCATAGCGCTCATTACAAAAAATACTGCGATTTGCGACCGTGCAAATATTTAAAACAGACATAAAGTGCATTATACAATTGTAATCGTTTTCATTGCTTAGGTAAATGTTAGAACTACTAAAGAATGGCTTGATTGGAATATAAATTACAATATAGGTTCAGAGTTTTTTAGACGTGTATTATTTCGGTGGGTTTCTCCATCTTGAGGAGTTAAGTGTTTGGGAATGTAGCTATTGTGTTGAATAATATTTATCAAAGTATTCGTATATAATGCTTGCCCTAAACTAGTTTTTTCTTTTCAAGAACATGTTAACAAAGAAAGAAGCGATCAGATTCCTCGAAGATTCTTGGCAAATGAAAGATGTGGCAGAAGACATCCAGAATAATCGTGAAAAATTTCTGAACAAACTGATTGTAACCATTCATGAGAGGGTGCCATTTCATCTTTTATTTGTACGAAATCTTGCATTCATACCTCCAGAAACACGAAAGCTGCCCACATTAGATGAAGGTGATCACATTTGTGTGTCAGGGGATGGGGGCAATTGCACAGTTATCAATTTGTTTACTTCACGACTACTAACAGCTCTGGGATTTTCTAACCTTGTTTGCCCAGCATGTTTAACAAACAGTTCTCTTAATTTCCATGCAATTGTGATTGTAAAAGATCTCATTAATGCAGGTGACCATCATCTTGTTGACTGTGGTTTGGGCTTGCCTTCATTTGAAGCAATCCCATTAAATTTTAACAAGGAGTCACCTATTTACCAGAATTCATATCTTGAATACAAGTTTATCAAACATGATGGTAAAATTCTTCGCATGCATGGTAAAGGAGATCTGATGGCCCGTAATGATCCACCAAAAGAGGTTGATTTCATTCAAGGAAAATGGAGAAGATTCTTTGAATTTAAAATGGAAGATATGACAGATTGCCAAACCTTTACAGATTCGCTTCCTCAGGTTTTATCTCGTTTCCTTCACAAGGTTGACCCACGTGTATCCAGATTTCCAGGTGGCAAAACTATTATGGTATTTGGTGATATTTTGTATGTTGAAAAAGAAGACAAGACACTGAAAAAGATTGTTCTGAAATCAAAAGCAGAGATATTTCAAGCATTTGAGGATTATTTCCCCAGCATAAACAAAGAACTAATCAAGCAAGCTTATTCAACATGGCACAAGTCAAAATTATGAGGACAGACATTATTCTAGACTATCATAAATTGTTGTTAACTGACAGTATTCAACAACAAGTATAACCATAAGGAATTAGAACAAATAAATATGTTGTAGGACACATCTTTCAGTTTGCCAAAGAGATTGAGTAATGTATGTTTCATATAAGACCATATATTTGTGGAAAAACAAACACAAGGCCCACTGAGAAACATGTTCATCTGCCACAAAAACCACAACAGAACTGTTCATGGTAATTCTAGATCAGTCTGTTATACAGGTATGTGGTGGATGTTGGACAAGCTAATTTTACCATAATTTTTATTGATTTATACAAAATAAGACTGAGATTTAAATGGAATAAAACATTAATAATTTTGTTTATGTTTGGGTATATCTGCAATGTTAGGCAATTGAAACAAATTACGTTTTGTTGCTGAATTTGATATTAAAAAAAAAGCCAGTTAGGAAAATAAAGAATGTGCTTTAAAAGCACGAAAAACTAAGGATGGACCACAGAAAGCTCTAGACAGAATTGGGAAACTTTGGATAATTTTTAATCAACTTTTATTTGTGAATTTTAACCATTCCATTGGTGTTGAATCCACATGGACCTACGCATCAGCAATAGTCACCTCGACTTCCACACCAGGCTCAATACTGATTGATGTCTAAAATGATTTCATCAAGGAAACATCAGAATAAGATCTAAATAATTTGGCCAACAAAAACACAATCACATTGATTTAACTAATTCAATGCTACCGCCTATTAATTTCAACATGATGTGAATATTCTGTGCTCGGCTCATATGAAGGATACAATTTGTTTCACAATCTCAGAAGGACTGTGCAAATCAATCAATCGCTTATGAATCCTCATTTCAAATCTATCCCAAGTCTTAGAGCCTTCACCACAGGGTGTTTTTCTTGTTGTGATTCGGAGACGTTTTGTTGGTAAACGTACGGGACCTTTCACTTGGAGCTTCTTCTCCTTGGCACCCTTGATCAGATCGCTGCAGACTATAAAAATCAAGAAATTGAATTTACATATGAAACATTACTTAGGGTCAGAAGCTGGTCTTTCCGTATGGCGAGGCTAATGCTAAGAGCTGAGATCTTTCTTTTAGATTATTTGGAAGTTTGGCTAACAAGAGGTAAGCTGAATAGCTGAACTTGAACTTTTACTGAATGGATCATTACTTGATTCATGAACAGTGATGACACAGTCATGTATCAGGCAACTGAATAAAATACTCTGTTTAGTTTACCCTTCTCTAGACTTTTAACATTTCTGCTTGTCAATGTAATTCGGATTCTATGAATCTGGGCTTCCTCCTCGGGACCTCCTTTATCCTTGAAAGACTACAAATACAAAACACACCGTCTATCAACAGAATAATATTTTGCAAATAGATGGCAAATTCAAGCAATGAAAAATAGGTATAAACAGACGTATCCCGGGTCAAAAAGGCGACCAATGGAAACCTTAAAAGATGAACTATTCGTTTTTAGTTTAAAAAGCGTACCATTTTAAACTCTGGCCGACTTAATCTCAAAAGAACAGCGGTGAACCAGTTAGAAAATTTTTACTAAAATGGCTGAGAGTGAAGAGGAAGACACGTGGTCAGAGCTTCGACCAAAAACCATTGCGGGAGTAGTGCGCCAGTAAAATGATAATAACATAAAGTATCCTGAACAGGAGAAAATGCTAATTTCAACCATTTCAACGCTGCCTTGCGCAAATTTATAAAGATCAGTGACAAGTTAAGTTAGTTAACCTCGCTCCCAAGGCATTTCCCTTTCGCCTAATAATTAAGAATTTTTTCTCACTTGGGTATGGTTTAAAACATATGAGTTCATAAGTTCCTAAGATGATATGTTTTGTTCCTCAATCAAAAACTGAACAACTTTTCGATTCTAACGTGCGAAAATTTCTAATCATGACAATTTGCACAAAAGTAGAGCGCAGAAATGAGTATCTCACACGGGATGGAGTCTTTTCTATAATTCTACGAATTGTTCAACATGGATCAAAGCCATATTCATTGACCAATCTAGACTTGATTACAAGTGCATTGATGTACAGTTTGTTCTTCGTTTATTCCTGGAAACAGGCCTTGCATTAAATTCTACTCAAAGGGCCCTGACTGACGTACACTTATCGTATCATACATGAATCATACAAGCTTTGCAAAGCGTAAAATGCTCAAGTATATGACCACAATCAAGACAATGTAATGTCACACGATCTTCATATTAGAGACTGCCTTAATCAAGCGCCTTTAATATAGTTATTTGTCACCTATTCGGCTATCCCCCCTTTTGATAGGACATGCCTATGGAATAAGTCTGTCATAACGTTGTCGAATCGTCGCACTATCATCTACCGCTCAGCGAAACAGCTGTAAACTACGAACACGTCTATATATATTTACAGCGATTGCTCCATGTTAATACTTCATGAAGAAAACAAGTGTATATGAAACAGTTATCATTAGCCACAGAAAACCGAGCTGCAATCCCAGCCATGCCAGCAATGTTCGTTTAAAGAAGAAAGCAGCGACAATTCGGGACAAAAATAACGCGATGTGTTGAGCTGTGTAAGCCAAACGCTGATAGTACCCTGTCAGTTGCGGATGGGTGATCTTGGACAGCAATGAACTTGCCACGGTGAACGATACCAGCGGGGTGCCAACCAGAATAAAAACCAGTAAAAGAAACATATATTCATGACTCCAGTTGAGTCCAAATGTTCCCATAATGATGAGTGGCACTGCTTGAAGAAACATCGCAATTAACAGTAAAAATCGTTCGTCTATCTTCTCTTTTATGACATAGCAGAAAAGGAACAAAACAAGCTGTAACAATAGTCCATTACCAAACAACAAATTGATATGAAACTGGCCGAAGTTGAACAACTCCGAAGCAAACAGTGGGGTGTAAAATCCCGTCACGGATAAAAAGAACCATATAAAGAATATGTAACTCAAAAGACACAAGATTTGGCTCCTGTCAACGGCCGTTTTCTGCGCATCTTCGGCAAACGATTCCGCAAAACCACTGGGAGTTAAAACAAGTTGAGCATCGCTTAGCTCTTCGTCTAGGCTGAAATCTCGCGGTAAAACCAGAGTTATCATGAATATTACCAGCCAAATCACCGCCAGAACAAATCCCGACGAATTTTCCGGGATCACCTTCCAGCCAGATACGCTAAAATTGAATGTAAAAATCGTCGCAAGTGTTGGACCCATCGCACAGCCGAGAATGTAGATTCCATCCAAAAGAAAGAAGACGTTTGCCCTGTGTTTTGCTTTGGTAGTCCTGCCGAGTTCTCCCAACAGTAGAACATCACTGGCAGCAGATATTCCACACAGGATTCGACCAATCAGAGCATAGAACGGTGATAGTGATATCGCGTACAGGGCGTTACCGCACATGCGCAACGCATGGCAGAACAAGAGCATGAGCTTTGGACAGCGGTATTTGTCCGTTAGTTTGCTGAGAAGTGGTGTAAATACAACAACAGCCGCACCGTAGGCCGCCAACACGATACCAAGGTATATTTCGCTCTCCCCAAGGAAATGAATGTACTTCCATGCCGTGGGTAAGATCATGTACTCCTCGATACCGCTGACCAAGAAACGCAATATGATGAAGAATAAAACGCCTTTCTTCATGAACACTGAAGCCATGTTTTCAACGATTTTTATCCTGCTGAGAGAAGAAAGTTATCATGTTAGGCAATACAGTTAGAACTTAGAACTGATAGATAAAGATAGAGGAGCTATCAAACATGGCTGGATCAACAAGAGATGATCCTTACTGGACCTCTAGGAAGAACAGTTTAGAACTGATAGAGCTATCCAGTATAAATAAAGTTAGTGTAGTTTAGGTTTCCTCCTGTAGTAGCACTGGATCAATAAGAGATAATCCTTACTGGACCTCTAGGAAGAACAGTTTAGAACTGATAGAGCTATCCAGTATAAATAAAGTTAGTTTAGTTTAGGTTTCGGCCTGTAGTAACATTGGATCAATAAGAGATGATCCGTACTGGACCTCAATACACGGCTGATCAGGTAAGGGGCGAATACTCAGATATTTCCGTTAGAGCTCTGCTGTTTTTAACCTTAGAGGAGAGAAACTGATAAGTTTATTAAGTACATATGAGTCTCAATCGATCAACGATGGATAGATAATGGATAGATAATGAATATATAGCTCGTTCATATAAACGCATTCAAAACAACGGGGTATTTTCTTCCAGTTTGTTCCTGATATGCAGAGACTCCCAGAGAGGAAAAAATTGCGCTTGTAGATAATAGCTTGCGTTGTGTATGGTTACTGGCTGGTTACGCTTGAGAAGTAACAAAGAAAAAGCTTTTATGAGACACGATACGATTCGGAATTCTATTCAAGTGAAGCGTAGCATTATCATAAACTATAAAAAATTTCCTCGCCCTTGGTGAGTAGGACTGAGTAGGACAGAATTATACCACAACAACTGAACAACAGCTCGGGCTGTTTGTGCGAAGGCTGGTTAGCGCTGCTAGCCGTCGAAGAGTGGATTTTTCAACCGTTGTAAAAATGCCGGAACAGCAATAAAACTAACAATTTTGAACTAAAAATTACTAGAGAATTCTTAATTTAGAAGTAGCTACTAACGTTTAGGTCAGGTTACTCTGAACAACAGGCAATTTTGGAGTGATTGAAAGAACACTATCCCAACACTTTATCAGCTTTCGCACAACCTCTCAAAAACATCACCACAGCAAATATGAAAGAAGCCGCATCAATAAATATTTGACCTCAGTATATATCATGCGAATATGCTTTATTTGCTGTCCATTTCTACAATTACAGATCATAAAAAACAGGTATTTAGCCAAATCAAGCCAAGCATTTGGTAAACAACGATGAATTTGTCTGAACTGAATATTCTTCATAACGCGAACGACCAAAACTTATGATTAAATCAGCCATTCTTGAAAACATACCTATTCATGTCCCACACGGCGAGGTTTATTAATATTCTCAGTCGACCAGTCACAACAGTATAATATACCGACAACTAGCAAGTCTGATGTTAGGGTGAGATAAAGTACGATTGATAATTTACCTTTAATGCTCACAACTCTAAGCTTACTTCCAAAAATATTCATCAGATTTCTCAGGGTTCCACGTCGTCCCAGTTATCAAAGGATAAATATACAAATGTAAACCACATGAGTGTGCTATTTGCATCTAAAGTCTTTCAGGACAAAGCTTGTACACTTCAGTGACACCCGATCAAGCAGAAAGGAAACTTGATATTGTTTACGGCGCATCAATGAATTTGATAATGAAGCCAGGGACGCGAATTACGCTGCACCAGACACACTGGTCACGACAGCTTCTTTTGCCGTTGTGTTATCAAGCAATTTGGTACACTCATTCCGGATTCCGACATTCAAAATCTTTACATCAATCTTTTTTTATGTCTACAAACTTGACACACGATATTGGAATGGCGTCGTTCAATGAGCCATTCAACACGTCAACTTCTGTTTCAAAAGATATTCAGTTATTTATCACAGTTCTATTAAAAAATAAATAATTTATTACCTTTGCTAAATTTCTGTACAAATATTTTGTAATTCGTATCAAACAAGGATAATATTTTAAAGTAGAAAAACCCTATATTATTTATATTTATATATATTTTTAACACGGTACAAACTAATGGAATACATGAAGTGCAAAAAAGAAGAGAAAGTAAATATCATTGCCTGGTTTTATTGGCTTGTGTGTGCGAGATAAAATGTGATGAACCTGCAAAGGCCGTGTTACACAGTCCAATTTTTCATGCAACTTGCAATGCAGGGTTAGGAGTTAATTCTATCTTGAGTAACGTAAATTTGCAACCACGAAACTTTAATGTTTTATAACAATTTACGTGTTTTCGTATACACGTATACAGGGGTGCATTTCAGGTTGCAGAGAGTATTGCAGCATGAAACAGAACTGCTTTGACGAAAACATCCTCGTCTGTGCTTGGCTCAATGAAACTTGTTCAAGTAATATGTTATCTCCCGTTGTCATATTTCAGACCAATTATTCTTGCTATTTAGTTACCATGGCAACAGACCACGCCATGCTGAGCTCGGTAAGGTTCGTATCCAAGCTTTCATCTCCAGCAATGCAAACAACTCTTGGAACAGCGTGTTATGATTCAAAGTTTCCCTCGAACCCAGTAGTATTAACTTGTGCTTTGCTCGCGTCACCGCGACGTTAACTCGCCGCCAGTCTCTCAGCAGGTCTCCGACATGTCCGCCCGCGTTACTACGGACCAGCGAGACTATTACACAAAGCTTGTCCCTACCCTGGTATTTATCTACCGTGTTTATCTCCACGTTGAGTTGTGGTCCAGAACTCCTGAAAGATGTTTAAAAACAGCTTTAGGACAGAGAATGATGAAGGTTTTTGCACTCAAAAGCAATTCTGTTCGCATGCACGAACAAGGCCGATTGCACGCCGACTAACTCCGAGTTACGTCGGACTTTCCTCCACTATAAGATTACATTCACTCTTGCTGAGAAACAACAGTTCATTTGGAAAATATTTGCATGCTTTTTTTAATTCAAAGCAAAAAAACCCCAGGAAATTGAGAAGTGTGTACGTACACTCTGCCAATGAACAAATATTAAAACCAAAGTCAAATATTTAAAACTTAACACTTACTCATCATAATGGCCATGTTCAACGTTCAGCTCTTGTTTGATGACCTTCAGCTGCTGTCTGTACGGCGATATCACGCCAATATCATCACAGTCGAGCCCAGACTTGATCAAACCATGCACAACGCTTGCTACCAAACCAGCTTCGGTTTCGTTATACACATTATGCCCAGAACGAACTTCCCCCGAACCAGGCAACGCGTCAGTATCGAGGAATAACACAGGAAACTTTGGATCCAACGCTGCCAGTAGCCAGGAACATTGAGCTGCAAACAAATACAGAAAGCTGGAACGTGAATGTAATCATGTGTGAAGTGATTATTTAAACCAGGGTAGTTATATACCTGCGTGGTTGCCACTTACAAACTTCAATACAGATAATTGTTAAACAATTTATACTTTGAAGTGACCACCCTTGATTACTGCTTTATCAACGTGTTTCGTAGAGGTTATAGCTTTGAAAAAGCGACTAGACGTGCATTACAACACAATTTACATTTAAACTTTTGAAACAATGTAAATATATAGTGTAATTTCAGATCATTGCAACCTGGATTTTTAGTATACCTTCGTATACCTTCGTATACCTCCGTATACCTTCGTATACCTTCGTATACCTTCGGAAACATCGCATACCTTGCTTTTCCCGCCCTAATCCATCGATATTCTCGCGAAACGCGGCGAATTTTGGCAACTCCAGCAAGGTTTCAGCAATCTTCTTGGTGGCGCATTTCAAGCGATTTTCATAGATGAGCGTGTTTGATAACAACATGATATCTTCATGCATACGATACTGGTATTCCAACTGCACGACCGCGTGTGGATGACATTCTGACAGACGCTTGAATAAACTAATATCCATCCCATCATCTCTGAAAAATAAACATCAAATTTCATCCACTCTACATGGCTTCTTCCAAAAATTTCCAAAACAACGACAAGTTACTGTATCGTAAAACACTATACTCCTGGGGCCGGTTGTATAACACTCTTTAACTTCATTTTGCATAAGCAAGAGCATTGCACCGGCATCGCAAAAGCGTAGGTTCGATTCCTGCCGAAGGACCTATACTTGACTTATTTCTCCATCAACTGTTCCTGGCTTGAATTTGAAGTGTGTATAATTCCACTCGAAATTAAGACCCTTTAAAACCTCTAGAATTTACCTGCATCGAGTGAAGTGCCACACATCATTATTGATTTACCCTCACCTACATATCGCATAGTTAAATCCTAGTTAACTCAGAAATACACAACTCTGCTTTCCCAATTCTGTCCTTAACTACAGTTAAAAGTTAACTAGTCTTTTATACAACTGGCTCAGCACACTGCATTTCACTGTAACTTGATTTCTTACCTGGCTTTCTGGCTTTGAACTAAAGGTGGCAGTTGGTAGTGATCTCCGACCAGAACAAAAATCGAAGAATGTCTTAAAGAGCCTATGCAGACTGGTTGCGTTATCTGAGATGCCTCGTCAACGATACAGTAATCAAAAGATCTTTGATTGAATAAAGTGTGGTTCACTCCAAGACATGTTGTTGCTACCACAAGCTACACAAGGGGAGACAAACACGATTAGAAATACCATCGTGATCCGTAGGGCATACACTAGAAAAACAATTTGAAATGAAAACCAATTGATATTTTTACTTTTGACCCATAGAAATCTTTCAATTCTTTGACAGTTTTGATTTCTTTGGCTGCATTGCAAACGACATAGGGTTGAATATCTGAGTGGACCTTTTGAAGGGAGCCAAGTCGTAAGAAATCCACTTGATTCTGTAACAAATAAAATATTGATGCAATACAAGCTCTCGGAAACTCTTTTTCTTCCTCAGGTGGTTCGTCTTGGAGAACCAGTTGATTGCAGTGTTAAGACCACGTTACACGGTGCAATTTTTCTTTCAACTTGCAACGCAATTCTACCTTTAAGAGATGTAAATTAGTGAAGAGTCTTCAAAATGTAAGTGAAAGAAACGCCATGGATTGTAATGAAGACAAAAGTTTGGTAGTTGCCAAATTTATATCTCTCAAAAGAAGAATTGCATTGCAAGTTGCAGGAAAAATTGCAGCGTGTAACAACAGGGCCTTTAGTACAATTTTGCACGAACATCTAACAGATAAAGATTTTATACCTGTAGTAACTTAAGCAGGATATTATCGACGGCTGAATGCGTGTAGCTTGTTAGTAACACAGATTTCCCAAGAGATACGAGTGCCCTGACTAAACAAGCGATGGTGTGCGTCTTGCCTGCGCCCGGGCATCCCAATATCAAAGCATAGTCTTGGGCTGTGAGCACTTTTTTGATAGCTTTCTTCTGATCGCTGTTCAGATTCTGTAAGATTTGATTAACCTCGTTGTTGCTCTGGCTTAATTTTACAGGCGATGCTATGGAACTAAACCAAACGAGAAATAATAGAGAATCTCAACGATTTCTGTACGCTCTTGTATTCTTGAAATTGCAAATTTTTGTTGTTGTTTATGAAAGTACCATGATGAGAGCTGACTGCTCCAAGCCTCAGAAACATTGCTAGATGTTACGCTGGGAATCTGATCGTTTTCACGAGAAAACCTGGGCGACTCAAGATCAACGACCAGACGACGAAGTTTGCTCTGTGCTTCATTATCAGCGAAGAACAACTTGGCCAGATTAGACCACTGGATCGTAGCACCAGTCGAGATCTCTGCCTTGTCGATACGATACAGAGGAAGACCGTCGACAAAGCGACTCTTGTGGTGGTAACTAGGACGATGATGAAATTAATGGAATTTTATGAGTTGATATAATTTGACAATCATTTAGGACTTCATATCTAATCTAGTCACCCTTGTGAATAGTTTGGCTTCTGTGTTATGCTGTTGTCTGGTTGTAATTTCACTTCAGTTTCAAACAAAACCATTGCAAGTTTCTTTAAAAATATTCAACATACCATTGTGTAAGATTTTTATCCAGTAATACGGAGATAGACTCTCCAGAGATCTCCTTCAGAAAACCTAAAACAATTTAGGGAGATGGTGAGTTTGCTTGGATTACGAAGGACAGAGGGTCAACCCAGTCGAGATATGAGAAGCACAAGGTTACCGCACCTACCACCTCATCTGAGGCCACTGAAACTAATCATTACCTGTGGCTAACGCCATTATTCCATTTTCCTGGCTAACTACGATATAATCTCCCTTCACCAAATGCATATCTGACGAACTAACTTTGAATGATCTTGTTTCACTTTTTCTGAAGCTGTTCACATATCGACCAGGATCCTCCGAAACACTGCAGGATACCAGGGACATCTCACTAAAACAATATCCTTTTTGTTCCCTCTCTGTACCGCTCAGACACCAGATATCACAATCATTGGCTTTCTCCTAAAATAGAAAATGCTCAAAGTACGATAACAGTTTACAGTTCAAGGATTCACCAGGGCAATCGGCAGAGTTTTGGCGACCCATTGCATCAACTGTCAAGTATGGGGAGTCTATGTCGACAGCGTACCTGCATCGCCTCGTGTTCAAGCGCTATCAGTTCATTCCAATGGGAGAAATATTTCAGATGTAGTGGAGACAGATATCTTGTTGACTCTTCAAAGAGTTTCCCCATTCCAGCGCTTTTGTCGTCTCCATTCTCGACACTCTTGTGGTAGATTGTGCAAACGTTCATCTGAGGACAATATCGACAGTTGCGTTCATCCTGAAGCATATCTGAAATAACACAAAGCATTATCACCATCAAAAAGGTCAGGTAAACATTGCGTTTTTTAGACAAAAACGTCCATCTTACCTGGCATACTTTGCAATATTCGTGAACCAGTGTGTGTTAGATATCTTATCAGTTCATTTCTTTTCATTACCAAGGCGCGTTTCTCGTGTTTATACGCAGGCACACCAAGCATGTGTCCCGTCTTCAGGTAAAGCAGCAAACCGCTATCCAGCGTACTGTCGTATCGTTCCATCATCATTAAACTGTATAGAATAACTTGAGCTCGGTGTTCAACGGAGCCTGGGCGATTTGGAGGAGAAAAACAAACATTCAGTTATATGTAGTTTCAGCTAGAACTACTAGAGAAATCAAGCATAAACGTTGTGTCGTTTAGATTTCTTTGGTGAGGACATTAGGAAAAGAAAGGTCGATTACTTGGAAGGACAGTTTAGCACCCGGCTAGATGGCAATGATGTAATCAATCAGTTACCGAGTTTTGTGTGGCATTTCCCAGTCTTCAACTCCAAAGGCAGAACGCGTGTTTCATTTGGAGATGAGTTTTTCTTCATGATATTTGGGTTCCTATTGATTTTCACTTCAACAGATGAATCGATTTGACCTGGAAGAATAGGGAATCAATAAATAAGGTACAGGGGGAGGGCGGTGGGTGAATAAGCTCAGAGGGCCACCTTTACCTTTGAGTCCAAACTTAGGCGACCACACACACTCCTCAATATCAAGCACTTTTGAGACACACATCGCAACTTTATTATCCCCTATGTTCCTCGCTACCCCGCCATCCTTGAAATCTATTTTACTGTGAATAGGATGCGGTTCGACGTTGAAGAACTTTGTGCCCCATTCGGTGAGGAACGGCACGAAGTCGGAGACTTTCGACAAGACTTCGTCCTCCGCAATGCCGAGGCCATAGAGCTCGGTTAGATTGGACTGTTGCTGTAGCAACTGGCTGGCGTGATCCAGGATGAACTTGGCAGAGAAATCTACGACGTAATAGAGATTGCTTCAGGTGTGCAGTGAACTCTTGCACTACTAACTTCTCCAATAAAAATTTCCAAAAAAGCTGGTGATATAACTGGCACGTTAGCAAGGTTCACCAGAGAAAACCAGGCCAAAAATAATACCTTTAATAGGAAGACTAGGTTTGCACGATAACTTTGTATTTTTCTAAATGTTATTGACGTATATTTGAGGTTGATATAGTCGCAACTTTTTGCCAGATGTAATGTTTCATTATATAATAACCTTCATCCACCACAATCGGCTAATCTACTGACGTGAAAATACCTGAAATGGCACAAACCTTTGGCGACTAATGTTGCTTCAAAGATACGATGCATCATTGTCCCCAGAAACATCACCTGGTTTGGTCCCTCGGTCTTGAAATACTTGTCTAAAACACTCCGTCGTAAACATTTCGTTGAGGTCGATATCGAGGTTGGTGTGACCAGAAAGTCAGGATACACAACAATGTAGTTCTCGTTTTCGTTGTTCAAAATATAAGAACCGGAAACAGACGTTTTTCCTGCAGGAAGAGAAGAAAATGAGCATAAAACATCATCCAGCCATGACTTCACCGTCTTTTTGAGTTGTATTTTACCTGGTACAAAGCCACGGCTACACAAACGATTTTTGTCACCAGTTTTCTCTTTCTAGTGTATGTTTTTGAGTGAATTGTGTACTTAGTTGTATTGCTTAACAAAGCGAAGTAATCTATTATGTTACATTTACTCAATACCATACACCAGAAGAAGAAAATCGCCGTCAAAAGACGCCCGTTTAACCGAAGCTTAAAAGACTGCAAAAAATAAATGAGAGATCACTCCAAGATCTCACCAATTATATTCACAATATCTCCGTGCTCAATTTCCGTTCGTTCCCACTCTTCCTGTAGCTGACAATATTTCTCGGAATTATCCAACTCGTCGAATAATCTGAGAACTTTCTCCACGCCGGCATTCGTTGCAGTCACGTTGTCAAGAATCTCCCGACGATAAACTTCCAACACAAGAAATCGCTGGTAGTCTTGGTTAGGTAAATCTGAAAAAAAGAAAACCAATTTTTCTCAATAGCTCCATCAGTTCTAAACTGTTCTTGCTGGAAGTTCAGTGAGGATCATCCCATAAACAACGAGGATACTCGCCTGCATTTCCATGGCTTGCTTTAGCATCCTGAAAGGTAATATTCCTTTTCAAGTTATTCAGCTCAGTTGATTTACTTCGGACATATTGTTTAGCTGGAGAAACAATAACATCTCGCTTCTTGCTGGATGATCTTATCTCCATCGGAGACCACGATACACCATCCACAAGCTTGCAAACCTCGTCCTGGTTGAACGAGAGATCAAACATGTCTTGAATATTCTTCCCAGAAGGTTCGGATAACGCGTGATTCAAGTCAACCATGTCGTCTTCAGTACCACCAGTTGTCTCTTCATCCAAGACGACTTCCGCTGGTTTCTTATCATCCAAATGACTGCTGTGATGATCATTACTCTTTTCTCCGTCAAGAGAGAGCTTTCTTCTCGTTCTGATCTAAAATTGGAAGAGCATTTGCAGTTAATGCTTATATACTGCATGCTTAGCACTATAGAAAAAAACAACTTTGGAAAAAGTTGTATTAAATATATTGTAATTACTGTTCCCTGAGTGAAAGGTATTAACAATGATTTATTCCCAGAATCAGTCCCATAGTTCAACAATGGAAGATTTGACACTTTACCTTGAAATCATTATTCTTGAAATCTTCATTATCATCATTCTCGTAATTATTACTTTTTATCAATTCATTACTCCTTCCATTAGATTCAACGCCATACCCTGACAATATACTAAAATTCTCACCAGCCACACTCACTCCAGATTCAACCCCAGATTCCAGCTTCTTGGTGCTCAAGGGAGGTTTCGCTGTCTCAACTTTCTTTCCCTTTTTTGACAATTTAAATGTTTTTCTAGCTAGTTTGAAAGATGAATTTCTAAGTGAATTTCCAGCTGATTTCATCTCACCAGATTCACCAACTTCTGTGAAATCCTTGTCTGAAGGTTCTACTCTACTTTTATTTCCAGATACGTTTCCTTTCTCTGCAACATGTTTTGAGTAATTGAGATTTCTGCTCAAAGAATTAGCGATGCCGGACTTCTTGATATGATTATCCTCAGAATAAGGACTAGAAAACACATTCTTGTTACCCTTATTAACAGAGCATGTGATTGGGGTTTTATTTTTGAACCTGATAACAGGAGGCGTAGGTGGAATAACAGAATCATCCAATAGATCCATACATTCGGTTGAGTTTGGTGTTCCCACTGAACTAATAATGCTGTTGGTTAACTCTGGACATTGAATCTTAACACAGCCCTGCATTTTGGACGCTTCAATACCGTTGGTTAAATGCGATAGCCCATCTTTACTGTTAGTTGACATATTTAACTCATGGTCTGTTCCTCTAATTGCCGTAAATGAAGCAGAACTAAGATCAAGTTTCACCTGCAGGTTTTTTGCACCAGCAACCAAATTTACATTGTTATTAAGGCACTCTGTGGGCTTTTGACTTTTGGGAGACCTAGATGTTGCATTTTTGTCACATTGTTGCACTAAGGTGTCATTTCGTCGGCGTTTTGCAAGAGGTTGCTTTCCTGGCTCCTGGATTAATGCATCTTCTGTCAAACCATTAACTGATGTATTCTTTTGAAATAGAAAAATGAATGTTAATATAATGGGTTTAATTGTCTAAATAACATATTGTTATCTAACACACACGTCACACCGTTTAATTACATAAAAATTAATGAAGTCTGAATTGCAATATGACTTGGAATGAGCGTATTTTACCAACCTTTTGAAAATATTTAGAAATATCTGAAGTTGAGCTAGTCTTTCCACTTTCCTAAGAAAAGAAATTTGTTCTATAGTCTATACTTTATGTATTTTTTAAATATGCATCTCTTTTTATACCTTATTTTTAGTTTTTTTTAGTGATAATGACTTTCTTGCTACACGCTGTTTGACTATGCCAGCATTCATTGTAAAATATCGCTTCAAAAAACCCTAAAACCGTTTCAATGAATGTTTTTAAAATCACTCCACGTCAATCGCCATTTTGAAAAAAATCTTTCAGTCATTAAATCTTTCCCGCGAAAATTTTCCCGCTATACTGATCTCAAAGGCTCCCTATGAACTGGATAACTTGGTTCCAATTCGGGTGGTAGATATCGCCCCATTTCAGAAACAAAAACACTCGTGAAAACTCATCATAACAGCTTCTAAAGTAAGGTCATTTAGGTTAAACTGTTTGCGGGGTTTTTTTCAAGCTGTTGGTTCACTTGGTTGATAATCTTGGGGATTGTGGATAACACCTTCAAGACGTGACATGCCTTCCTGCACATCCAAACCAAAAGCAAACGATCTTAATCACTGGACCGTTGTAAATTATGCAAATATTCTTTGATACTTGAGATGTTGCTGGAGAAATTAAATATTTGAAAACATAACGACAGGAGTAGAGTTGGTTACAATCTAGTAAGGTTGGCTACAATCAAACGATCTTATTTATCATATGTGAAAAGTGAAAATGGCAATAGTATAACTTGGTCTGGTCTGGGCGTTCTATTGAATCATACCCGAACAAGTCTAGTAAATTGTAAGTGTATTTCATTCACAAGTGTTTACATCCAGATAAATATATGAGCAACCACACAAGACACACTCACACAGTACGAGATGATAAACGATCCATGAGATCTTTATCGCAATGAGACATAATGAATATGATCTTAGAATATTTGAAACATGAGACGAAATGTCGCAGTTGAGGGCAAATTTAACGAGCCGTTGGTTTGGTTTGAATTGGTATTTGTTAGACAAACATTAAAGTCAAAAGAGGTATGTTAGTTCCTACAGAATTCTACAGTCCGATATGGTTAATTATTTATATCTTAGATATACGTACGATATTCTGGTCTTGCACAGCGCAAATTCAATTGACAATGTCACAAATCGATGCTTTAATATTAATATTTAGTTAGAAACCACTCTACGATATAACGAGATTTTCTTTAGAATAACTGTCAACTGATTCATTGCAAATAACATTCGCTCCTTCTAGGAATTACAGTGGATCAATGAAGAATGAAGCCTTCACCAGCCCCAGTGCAAAATCCTGGAAAGATTCGAACTGTTCTTTATTTCCTGGAAAGTACTGTATCACGAAGCTACACAATACAATGCTTGCTCCTGCTGCACTTTTTATCGCGGTCAGCGGACAGCACAGTGCACATCATCCTACTCCTGATTGGAATAGTAACAATCGTCTATTTCAACGGCTTCCGTCGTCTCAACAGACTTGTATATGAAACTGCAGTGATGTTTTCATTTTTTGTCGTTGTTTTAAAAGGATTATTCACTCTCCTGTTTATTTTTGCGCTTTACGAAGTTATTCTAAACATACTTGGCTACCACTCGGAAGATTATAAAAAATTTAAACACAAAGTCAAATTGTTCCTCACAGAGTTAAGCTCAGTCACCTGCACTTCAATTCTGAACACGACGAGTGAAGGAATTGTGGTACTGGGTCCGAATGACGTCATTAATTTATGCAATGCAATATGGTACATTTTGTATATAATGATGATAGCAATGGGGTTAAAAATGGGTATGCCAGATACAGATAGGATACGTAAGGATAATTTCTGGACAAATCTGTACTTCACGGTACTCATGGTCATGGTCTGGAAAATGTTTGAAAATTGTCTGCTCTACGGTTTCTGGCAGTCAGCGGAGTTACAGCGAGCGTCATGCGTGTATGTACACTACATAAGATATGGGGAGGCTGGCTTTAGGTCGGTTGTAATAAAACAATAGATTAAATAGATTAAAACGATTTCTAAAGTTGATCTAAACTTTCCTTGCCTATTGTACTATCCACAATCCCTAAGCATCTTGTGGCACCCCATGAAAGCCATCAATATCCCATAGCATCCATACTCTCAAAAATCCCATCATTCATACCATCATCCATAACGATATCAAAATCCATGGCGTCCTCAGTCTTAGTGCCGCTGGACGATGTTTGTGAACTGGACGGCATTATTCTCTCAGTCTTCACTCCGCTGGTGCCAGCGATTTGAGTAATCGATGTTTTTGCCAGCGGTTCCTGCTTTCTGTTTCCGCTGGCGAGCTCTTCGTGAACACGTCTGCTTTCTTCAACATACACATTCGGGTGGTTTATGGTTTCTGCATGTTGCAAAGATACCTAAAGGTGAATACAGGAAGTTTTAGAACTGGTAGAACTATCCAGTATAAATAAAGTTAGTTTAGTTTAGGTTTCCTCCTGTAGTAACACTGGATCAATAAGAGATGACCCCTACTGGATCTCTAGGAAGAACAGTTTAGAACTGATAGAGCTATCCAGTATAAATAAAGTTAGTTTAGTTAAGGTTTCCTCCTGTAGTAACACTGGATCAATAAGAGATGATCTTTACTAGACCTCTATGAAGAACAGTTTAGAACTGATAGAGCTATCCAGTATAAATAAAGTTAGTTTAGTTTAGGTTTCCTCCTGTAGTAACACTGGATCAATAAGAGACGATCCTTACTGGACCTCTAGGAAGAACAGTTTAGAACTGATAGAACTATATCCAGTATAAATAAAACTTGCCTTGTGTGTGACTTCAAAATATCGAGCACAAGCGAGCTGGTAGTGAGAATCCCTGACAAGATCTTGGATCTGAAAAAGATTTAAACTTCGGTATTCAAACTAATGAATTCAGTTCTTTAGAACAAAAATCAGGGCTCGCCGAGGCGTGTGGAATGACATTGGATAATTAAACACATACGCAAAGTCATTGAATCGACAATTCTACCTCTTTAATAGCAGAAGCAGGCACGCCATACGAAACCAATTTTTTCCGTAAAATATCTGCATCAGAATGCCGAAATGGGCAACCTAAAAATCCATCGTTTAGTTAGATACTCCCCTCTGCTGTAACGATCACTTTCACAGAAATTATACCGTGGTAATCTCCTTGTCCGGGGTGGTTGGACATGATAATCTTCATACAACTATAGGGGTATAATCAGCTCTCTTCCCTTCTTTTCCATAACTGTGACGAACACCGTACGAATATCCTTTTTCAAACTAAATGAAGGCATTCAAGTTAGATACTGTGCTACTTAGGATGATTGAGAAGATGCATTCAAAGTGTCTTCATAATATATCACCTTATCAACTTCCATAATCTTTGTGAACTCAGTTCTCCAAAACGTCAGAGCCTCTTCCAGTGTTAAACCAAGTCCCTGAATGATAAAATATCCGAACATAAACACACAATGCATTATAGACATGAAATGATGATCAACTGTTTAAAAACAACTTTGAAACCTTGATAAACAATCCATACTGCAAACGACCACCATGTTTTAGATGATGATCTCGTCTGAAAGCTTCGTGTAACTGCCTCATGCAGAGGGGGAACGAGGTCTTGGACAACTAGAATAAATCAAACAGAATTATTATATTGACTGCAGGAAAGTTTAAAAAAAAATTCAGAAATTTTCTATTGCTCACGAAATCAATTTGACCGATGGTGATCTTGCCACCCGGCATGTCTTTCTTGCTGTCATACCCTTCCCCGAGATATTGACGACTGGAGAAAGATAAAAAGCATTCTAATGTCAGCATTGGATGAGTTTTACAAATCACAGTTTGGGAATTTTATGGGTCATTTCTTGGGTGTCAATTTCATTCACCTCAAACTTGTCAATCTTGGCAGAAGACGTTCATCCTCTTCCAGGTAGGGAAGAGCTCTCACGGTTACCTGCAAAGAAATCATACAAAAATGGTTAAGAAAGGTTGTATATATCAAGAACATCTGATAGAAAGAACACCTTGCAACAGTCATATTCAAGACTTAACTTACAGCAAGAGCGAGAGAAAGATTTGACCTGAAACAGTTGCTTATTATCGACACTAATCCATTTTCTGGGACATATGCAAAGCCCTGGGTGGAGACAAAAATTAATATATATGAAGTTGCTTAATTCTTGAAGCTTAATAATTCCATATTAGAAATATCTTTTTTCAAACCTTTTCTAAGTATACTTTTCGTGAACGAACCAAATCCAATGCTTCTGTAAATGGAACCTTTAAAGTGCAATATATTCCAGTAAAGTGAAAATAGAAATAAAAGTGTACTTGCTAATATGAAGCTTGGGAAGTTAAACCATGCAAAGAGATGATAAGGAATGAATATTGGAGGTTGTTTTAAGATGCATGACAATAGTTTGGAGGAACTCCACAATTTCAGTGTAAATATTATTTTACCTTATAATAGTCAGTTACTTTCACAGTTTCTGCACTTGTTTTGTAACCAGAATCTGCAAGATTGTTTAATTTCTTGTCTCTTTCCTCTTCTGATATCTAAAGAAAGATAAAGTGTTTTAATACTTGACCAGAAACAGCTTTGAAAAAGATAACATTCTTTGGAGATATATTCATCATTTGAGAAGTTTCAATAAAAATACTTATATAGAAGAGTCAGTTTAGACAATCATGAAAACAACAAAATTAACTTCAATACATACTGGTGCGTATTCTAATTTATTTTCCTCTAAAAACTTTTCAATTTGTTTAGATGTTTCCAGACTGAAGCGGAACCTAAAAAAGCATCCTCTATTACTATAACAACACCAAAAGAATATTTCTGTTGGTATATAGAATCAATTGCAATGCTTACTTAAATAAATCAACCTCTTGTGCGATGAACCACCTCCTTAATTCTTCACTACAATGTAAAATAAAGGTAGGAAATTATATAGGTTTCATGGAGAATGGCTAAATTATGCAAGTGCCTTGTGTCAAAGAGGCCAGCATAAAGAAATGAGAACAAGATATATGGATACATTTGTCTGTGTCCATACCATGCAATGTCAAGCTTTGTTTCATGCAGGCTCATAACAAAGTCAATAATGGCCTCTTCTGCCATGCAATAACCATGCATCAGCAACTGTAAAAACTTACGATCTGCAGTAAGCCAAACGTAATATAAAATGTGATGTATTGTCTTTTACTGCCTCTTTTTTTAAATCTTCAACATGATGAGTGTTCTTAACTGTCTGTTGATCATCCTAAATGAGTAAAGTTGGAGTGTTGAGCAGTTTGAACATATTTCAGAGGAGGGGGGGGGTGAGGGTTCAGAAGAGAAAAACAGCCACAAAATTTAGGAGGGTGGTTTTTTACCGTAGAATATGTAATTTTTAGGAATTTCTTTATTGAACTTCTCATATCGATTTCATATTCGCGACTGTCCTTCTTTCTTCTGATGCCTGAGGTTTCAACATCTCGTAAAACTACGAAATATTTAGCAGCAAGCTTGAGCTATTGCATTTAGGCACGAATCGTACATACACACCAACATTTTAACTCTTCTAACTTACGTTTTAGACGTTCAACTGCAATAGATTCAAAATCCTCCAGAGATATCTTATGAACGGGTGGAATATCGTACATTTGAAGACGAGAATGAGCCTGAACTTCATGCCTGAGTTTGCTGCTAGCAAAATCCATCTTCAACAAGCTATATTCAAACGATTACACCTCAAAATACATAAAATATCTCGTTGATCGTTGATAATTTCTTTACTTTATATATTTTTTTTTTCTTGTTTTCCCGCTTCTTCCCGCCAAAAATATTTCCTCGTTCCAGGCCAAAATCGCTCGTCCTCCACGTCAACAACAGGGCCAAAATTAAATATATTTTCAAAAATTTTCCTCATTTTTTTCTCTTTTGATACGCTTTCGCTGCTTCTCTGTGTGCCCAGATCCGAAGTATTCCCAAGAATTCACAAACTAAATATTACCTTTGCAGACATTCTTCACTCTTCGCAAAAACAAAAGCAATTTTAAAATTAGTTAAATTGCTACTTCGCGGGCTCGAATGCAGATTTAAATGCCCATTATCAACATTTATCAGATACAAACATTAGAATTGAAAAAGAAGGCAATTTCTTTGTTTACATCTCAAAAACTGGTCTCATTGCTTATATTTAGGAAACAGCTATTAGTAAATCATCAGGATTGTTGTATTTCAATGCGATGAGATACAATAAATGGCCCAGAGAACTTCTGAAACTTCTTGGAACGAAACAGAAGTTCGAACTTAAAAGAACGTTACATTTGAGCGCTAATGTGTCCCGCTTCTCCGTGCGATCTATTTCAACCTGTTGTAAAAAACTAAAGCTGCATCACAATCAACCAAAAGCAGTCTCTTCACCGCAGCATGCTGAGCTATTTGTAGCCTCGCTTCGGAAGTCAGATCGCGTGATTCTTGAAGAAGCTTTGAAAAAATACAATTCCGAAAATGAAGGTTTGTCAACAAAAGGGGCATTTTCATTATTATTATAATTTGTTACATTTAATTGAATGCGAACTTTTTGTTTTCGTTTTTTTTTCTTCTTAGCATTGCATTATATTTCAGTGGAAGATTCGGATATTTTGAATAAACTAGGATTAAAATATAAATTGTTTAATTATTTAGGCCAGCAAGTTGTAAGTCCTCCAACTATTAAACAGCTCAAGTTAGGTATGTAGGTGTATCCTGCTTCACTCAGGCCAAACGTCAAGCATCAGTGCTTTTGTGCCACTGTTTTGATATATCACTGTATCTGGTGTTAGACAGTTTTATCCAAACAATCCAATATTTAATCAATCTTCATTCTCAGCTGCTTATCACACAGCCATTCCTTTCATGGGTTTTGGATTTTTGGACAATGCAATTATGATTATTGCTGTAAGTATATTTTGTTATAAAATATATGTAATACTTGTTCAAATGAGTTAACTTTAATGAAATATTTAGGGAGAATATATAGAACTAAAGATTGGTGTGACCCTGGGAATATCTACTATGGCTGGTAGGTGTTTCACAATTTTATCCAGCATAATTGCAAACGTTTCATAATATATGTTTTCCTCAGCGTTGCCATAGCAATGATGGCATCATCTCACAAATGGTATCTTTTTTTAGCTGCTGCACTTGGGAATATTGTGTCAGATGTATCTGGTTTAGGGTAGGCTTTTGTTGAATTCTGTATGATACATATTATACCTACCTAGTTATTATACCTGCCATATTATACCTGTTGTTTGGCATAGTACATACTAAATCAACAAACTTAAGATATGTGTTGTCTATTTCCACATGTTTAGCCTGGCTGGTTATGTCGAGGCTTTGGCCACTAGACTCGGCTTCGAAGGACCTCAAATGAACTCTGCTCAACTGCAAATGACGAGAACTGTCGTTGCAACAAACCTGGTAAACTAAATACCACTCTATGATCCATAAGTTTCGAAAACAATGATCTAACCTACCGTGTTCGGTGAGATCAAATGGATGGTCGTTTATTAATTCAACTAATATGGTATTTTACCATTTCAGGGTCGTGGCATTGGAATAGTCATTGGATGCATTTTAGGGATGTTTCCACTCTTGTTTTATAAAGAACCTGAAGTTGACAGGACTGAAACACCAGCAAGTGATACAGACAAAACATGACACACAGTCAATAGGCTTGTGATAAGGAATAAATTATTTTAACTCACACTGACATTGTAATGTAACTCTACGAAATCACAGAATACCTATCAGAAGTAGAACTCCTGTACTTTTTTCGTAAGTGTGATTCGTCATGATTCGTCACTTAGCAAGTGCATTTTTTTGAAGCAGTCACCCCCCTGCCAATACTAAAAATGCGCTGATTTCAGACATTGGCAGGGGGGTGACTACCTCAAAAAAATGCACTTGCTACGTGACGAATCATGACGAATCACACTTATGAAAAAATAGTATAGAGTTATTCTTCTGATAGGTATTCTGTGACGAAATGGGCTGCTAGCACACACTACACCATCCTTGAAAGACAATCTCAACTTAGTGTGATAGAATTGAATGATTCATTTGAACAAATTTATGTGTATATTTACATGTAGTAGAAAAATATAATATGAAATTTGAACAAAATGCTGGTGCAAATCCAGCACGTCAGTCTTGGAACATTTTCCTGATATCATAATATGCATCTTAGAGACTCTGGAACTGGTCTTGCTTCGACCATGGCAAAACCCTCTCAAACACTGTATTGTGAATAAACCAAAGTGTGTTACATTTTAAACACCAAAAACGTCTCTCAGGAAGATAGAGAATCTTGATTAAATTCAGAGATGATTGAACTTGTTAACTATATTCAATCCAATCCACATTATCCTGAGTAATCCTTTACAATACCCTGTGGTACGTACTCATGTATACATCATCTCTGCCATCTGAGACATTGGTTTAGGAATATGTAGCAACTGATCAAAATATGCAGCCAACTCCTCAGGAGTCGTATCGTCCATGTTTAAAGAGTCCACAACGTTAACATTCGCACCATTTCTAAACTGTTCCCCACAACCCTGAACACGTTGTCTGGGACTTGTGGGTGGATTTGAAACATTTCTTTGCACCTCAAGGCTCTGCGGCAAAGAGTCGTTCAGTTCTGACACAGACAAATCACATTGTTTCTGTTTAGTTCTTTCTAGTGCACTTTTGAAAATGAAAGTAGCATCTTTTAAAATCTTGCGCTGCTTGTGTTTTTCCGGTAAACGTCCAGAATTTTTCGCTCGAAATTTCATCTTCTTTATCCTTTTCTTCTGAGGTGAGAATTTCATTCTAAGAAAAAGTAGATGTAGGTCACAGAAATCTTACAACGTTTTAAATTTCAAATCCTTCATTTTTGACACAGAAGGATGGGAAATCTGACAGAAATTTGAAAAATTAAAGCAATGATTCCTTGACTGCATTGCAAAAGAAATAACGATAATTGTTTGACATATAATAATCACTTTATTAAAACATATTATGAAAGTTTATATTGAACGTATTCAGAATTCAACTTTAGTGATCTAAAATCAATCATTATAACTCTTTTCAAGCAAGAATAACATATTGAGATGTCATTGCGTTTGAATGCTGTAAATAATAATAATATTTTGGACGCAGATACTTGCTAATCGTATATTTACCACCGTTTATTAATAGTGATGTCAGCAACTATAAACACTCAAATGAAATACTGTTTGAAAAAACACTTTATTTCCTATATATATACAAACAATAATATGAATTCTAAAAGTGACATACGTTCTATGATTCACCCTTAACTTTTTGAAAATATTCTGCAACTCTGTATCGCTCTCTGTTGTATGGAAATCATCGTTTTTTTGCAACGACTTTTCACAACTCTCTGAAGAATCCGCCATGTTGAACGTTGTTATGATGAAACAACAATGCATAATTATTACGTCATTTGAACACATCATTGCGCAGCACTGAACTTGAAATAACTGGAGCGGGCAAAAGTATACCCATTGAAATTTTTTATGGTAAAATTAACCGATAAAGTTAACAATTGAGACGATTATCTATTGTTGTTTATGCGTTCATCAGCACATGGGAAGCATGATGCTTGAAATAGGCCTTGCTGTTAAAGCGATTCTCCATTACCGTCCGCTTCACCCCCGCGGGCGAAGCGGCCTTTGAAATTCTTCCCATGCGACCGTGACGGGTATGAAAAACAAAGCGCGCTTCACCCGCGCGGGCGGAGCGGACGCAATGGAGAATCGGCTTTAAAAAGTGCATTGTGTGTTGGAATGTTTCTCAGGTAATAAAAGGTGGTTGAAAACGAGAAGAAGTCAGACTTTTAGTAGTCTTCTAAAGGAAGGATCACTAGAAGAAGTTTCTTTGGGGAAAAGTTTTGAAGAATCTTGCTCAGTCAGGTACAGTCATGGTCATTGTTGATTGAAACTTGAAAGAATCTCTTGGCTTGATCTTTGGCTTTGCAAATTAATTCATCGTCGTGTTGATTTGAATAACCAGAAGACGTTAGCGACTAGAGGCATATTCTTGCCAATTTTCGTTGCTATATCTTGTATATTTCGATTGAAAATGTGAAATACAAGTGAGCTGTTAACTTAATTTAGTTTTTCCTTGCTTATTTTATTTCAGAGCGAACTACGGCGCCGAAAGATGGGGAAGGAGAAACACAAACGCTAGCTTGCATCGAATAATAGGTATTGTTCTATACTAACTTGCATTTGTGGCTTGAAATATGTGGGCGAAACTAGAATATAGTTTTATACTGAAATTAATCGAACTTTTCGGGACTTTATCGCTGGAACTTTCCCGGTTGGCGCCTGGCGTTCTTCGGACACGGTTATCGTATTATGAATACTTCTGAAGTCTGTCAGCGCTTCATCTTAGTCTTATTCCAACTTAAATTGAATGCCTATATAAAATATCCGTATTTGTATATGTATGAAGTTACTAGACTATGTGTTGAGCTGTATCTTGTCGTTCCTTTGCTTCCCATGAAAATTAGTTCTACCACAAAACAAGAATACTATTTAGCGCGGTTTCTCTTTTTTAGAATGAAAGAATCGTCGGAGTGGAGAGATGTCGGAGCTGCCTCGGGCGACATTAATGCACGCAAATACAAAACACGATTTCGGTGAAAATTTGCATGAGTAAAATATGCATGGATTTGGCTTTTTTCTGAGATATATTGAACACTCTTCTGTTTACCTCCTTGATTTTCAACTTTTCGGATTGCAGTTTGTGCATGTGTCTGGTCGTGTCAAGCGCATGCGGAGTAAATGCAAGTGATTTGGGGCCCCATCACTTGTATTTTTTCCATCTTGAACGACAATAGTCCGGAACAAAAAATATTGCTCACAGAGCGCCTAAAACATAAAAATGCATGAAAAATTGTATTTCTAGAAGGAGATAATAGTCGAGTGTTTTAGTTTTCTCAGGAGCATGAAGAAAACGAATGAATATTTTCTACAAAACTTGCATGACATTTTGTATTCGCGTGCGCAATGCGAAGGCCTTGGACGAGTGGCGTAGGAGATGTTGGAGGTCTACAATCGGGTTTTGATAATTTTTATTCTGATGCTTTCTACATAAGTGACATTTCTCTTTTGGAAATCAATGATATCGTAATTTTCGTATGCCGTTAATAGACCAGATGATGATGGATCGTCGCAGGATCAGATGATGAATGGATCGTCGCAGGATCAGATGATGGATGATCGCCGCAGGATCAGATGATGGATGATCGTCGCAGGATCAGATGATAGAGGATTGTCGCAGAATTAGATGATGAACGATCGTCGCAGGATCAGATGATGGAGGATGTCGCAGAATCAGAGAATGGACGACGCGACGGGTGTACAAGCAGAGGCTGGTTGAGGTATATACCATAGATGTACTAATTAGAGTAATGCATGATTAATGTAAATGCATGATTTATTTTCGGATCCTCCTGGTGGTCTAACCTAGTATATTCACACATCAAGTGACATTCCATTCCACCCTTTTCGACAATGCATGAATAGCATGATAACTGGAAATTTCTCACAGCTCTTATGCATGAGGACGATTTCGAGCTTTCTCATTGAAACATTCCTAGTCTTGTCACTTGCGTGTGAATTTTAACGACTTACGGTGGTAGTATAAAAAACCACCTTAATGGCTGGGGGAGGCGCATGATGGCTTGAAAGCGATGAAATGAAAGCAGAAAAAAAGCAATTAGCATGCGCGACGCGCACGCAGCGAGAAAATATAATACCGAATTCGTATTGGCCTAATTTTAGATTAATACGGAGGTAATTGCGAGTACTTATATGATCATATAAGTTCTCAGTTCGCCGCTTATTACAATGCGACCGCTTCGAAGGACCGTCCGTCAGTGGCATCAAAAATTATACACATTAACACTCTTCTGTTTCAAATTTTCAATTGTTGATTTCAATTTTCCGGATTCCGGTTTAAGCTCTCGAGGAAATAAACGTAATCTAATAATTTTGACCATTTTGACGAAGCTTGTATAAGGAAATATAGCTTCTAGATTGTACGATACATTGAACTTGTGGCATGATGGAGAAGGGGGGCTCATTGCATGATACCTGGACTTACGGTATAATAGAGGGAGGGTCATTGCACGAAAACTGGAGTTATGGTATAATAGAGGGGGGTCTCATTGCATGATAACTGCACTTATGGTATAATCGAGGGGGGTCTCATTGCGTGATAACTGCACTTATGGTATAATGGAGGGGGGGTCATTGCACGAAAACTGGACTTATGGTATAATGGAGGGGGGTCTCATTGCATGATAACTGCACTTATGGTATAATGGAGGGAGGGTCATTGCACGATAACTGCATCATTGCATGATAACTCGACTTGGTTTAATGCAGAGGGTATCTGGGGGTAGTACCCACTTGTCTAAAAGCTACCCCTTTAAAGAAAAGCCTTTGTGTTTTGACACACTTACTATGTTTTTTCATTCCTTACACGCCTCACCGTCGAGATGTTGTTGAAGAAGAAGAACACAAGTGTTTGTAAAGGACACAAGAAGCAAGTGAAGTTTGGTGCGATGTTTACAGAAGGTAATTATACGGTACAAAAGGTGAGGGACTGAGGGATATTATTGATTAGCCATATTGAGTAAGTTGCATGTTGAGCCCAATTACGTTTATTTCCTCCATTTTACATGTAAACCAGAACATATAAAGAAAAAGATAAAAACGGTGCATGTTTAAAAAAAAAGAAGAGTGTTGTTGTCTACATCGGTTTGAGATGAAAAAAAACATGCAAGTCGTGAATACGAAGCATTTCTTTATTACAAAATGAACATTTGAAAAATTGAAATAATTTTTGTTGCCACTGTCGGACAAAGCGCTGATTTCTAAGAGCCTGGTGTTTTGCAACGACGATATGCGCGCTGCGTAGAGTAGACTGGGTTAGACCACCAGCAGGATTGAATTGATTAAGCTCAAGAATTGAATAGCAATTCCTGGGACTCGGTTCACTGATGCACGGAAAACTAAACTGTAGGTGAAAACTGGACTGTCATTGCGGACGATTTCTAATGAAAATACCAAATTCGGACCGCCGGTCAGGTAACCTGAAATTCAGGCTACCTTGGAGGGTTTTTCACCGGGCACTCCGGTTTCCCTCCTTTTCGTTTGGCTTTTAAAAAACAGTGTCCATGTCTGGGGCCAAACCAAAACGTGTTCGTTGATAGTGAAAATATTTCTTGCATATTTTACAAAATCAGTAAGAAATCTTATTTGTACACGAGCTGTTAAACACGTGTGTGTTTGGCTTCTGGGTTCAATTCCCAGAACACTGTATAGTCTGTATCAAAAGAATTAAACATGATGATGTGGGAGATTAAACCGCTGCATTTTTTGGGGGGCAAATTTGCATTTCGGAAAGGCAATATGCCAGATATGCATATTTATCGCAAAATGCAAAAACCGTTTTAGCCTAATGTACTGGTATAAGTGGTATTAATAGCTAGCTATTGCAAGGGCCGCGGAACCATTTAGAAACTGGGGGGGAACACTGACAAAAGAGGGTATTTTCTCAGGATACATGTATCGAAGTTTTACCAAATACTACCATACACATATGAACACAGTGACAGTAAAGTAGTTTTCAGTTCATGTACACTTGTTTGAGCTTTTTTATGCCATTTAATTTATTTCATAGAGGTCGCCTTCCCTCTTTTTGTAGAGTTTAAGACTAACCGGTTTTTCCGGCGTTGAAACCAACTGTTTTTCCCACTGTTTTTCTTCGCATATATTGCGCATTTGCGCATCAGATGACTTCGGATACTCGCTCGAGTCCATACGCGGTCGGATTAAAAATGGCAGATCACCCGAGTTTGCTGCAAAGCTAGCTTCTCTAGAACGTAATAAAACGAAACCTTTGGAGCGTCCTGGCTTCGCCAAAATATTTTAAATCGTCGATAAGAATTAAGAACCAAATGATGGCACAATTACAGCAGACATGGAAAGTTTAATGAACCAACTGGAGGCCATACCGACCAGGTCTATGGGACCAGGTGGTAACTGGCAGGTACCCACTGTAAGGTCGGAATATTTCTCTAATAACTTCGTGTTTGATCACAATATATTAACAAAAGTACAGTTAGATATTGCATTACAATCATATGTTACTAATGTTCAAACTATTGAGCGTTTTTTTATTTGTGAAAAAAGGATAAATTATTTTTATTAAATTATATATTATATAAATAAATTTTATATTACAGTTGTGGTTATACAGTAAAAATTTACAGTGTAAATTGAACTTGTGTTTCGTATTTTTTAAAATAGTTGATAATTTTACAGCTTAAATAGTGAAATATACATAATTATAATATACATATAAATCATTTTTTCTTATTTTTTTACAGACCGCTGTATTCCTCTAACAGAATTTTATCGATCATGCACGAAGGCAAGGGGAGACGTGTTGCATTGTTGTGCGCATTTTGCTGTAGGAAATGTTTTCGTATGACATGAAGGCACATCCGTTCCAAAATTTCCGGTTCGTTTCTCCCTTTCTTGGGATGATGGAGATGCCTCCATAGTGCTTTGTGACACATGGTTAACAAGGTATGGCTTTTGAAATGATTACTGTTTAATGTTGCATTGAACTCCCGTAATAACCTGACCACGTTATGGTGACCTCTCACAACAGCGTAATGCAAGGGTGTATAACCATTATAGAACTCCGAGATGTCGATGCTCACACCGTTCAGACACAACCATCTTGTCGCCTCTAGGTTGCCATTCATTGCTGACAAATGCAGTGGAGTGCAGCCTGTAAAAGTCTGAGCATTTAATGAGGCTTTGTGTTCGATCAAGATCTCAATGATTTCACCATGGTCTTGTTCAGCTGCGAAATGCAAAGGACGGTACCCGTGCAGTTTGTCAGACGTGTAATTGACATCAGCCCCAAGCTTGCACAGGAGTTCCACACTTTCTGTTTGGTTGTTCAGGATGCTTATAACTAGTGGTGTGTGGCAGTTATAGTTGGGAGAGTTGATATCTGCATGTTGTGTTGTCACAAGCTGCTTGATTTTATGCAAAGAACCATTCTTTGCAGCAAATCTCAACTGGCATTCTAGACTCTGGTCTGTCAAGTCAAATCGGACTCGTTTGTGACAGTTTTCTACAAAGAAACGTCATAGAATATCAGTGTAATAATCTTCATTGTTCTTCCTAAATATTGAACTCCCTCCCTTTTTGGTATGATACACACACTTTGACACTCTTATCCCAGGATATTTTTCGTTGTCAATGAAAACGTAGTCTGATATAAAACGCTCAAGACAATTGCTCAATGGTTCTTGTACATTTCAAAAACTTAAATTAAAATGAATTTTAAAAAAAAATTGGCATTTAGCTACAGAGGCAAAGAAAATGCACTTGTATATTGTTACCTAAGAGACTGCAATGCATTTCTTGTCGTATTTAAAGCGCGAATGTAGGCCTTTTCCATTTTTCTATACGCTTCGTGTGTGGGCCTTGTTTTTACAATAATCCTGACTATATAAGCTTAACAAAACCCCCTGTTTATTTAAAGATATGTCTGGGCTTGTCCGTATAATCTCGGGTCGATTACACAGAATTCAAAATGTTAAAACATAGAGCTGTACTTTTTAAATAAGTGTAAGCACTGTGGTTTAAGAAATCCTACCTTTTGTTGGCATAATCTGTCTCTACAAAAGCGTATCAATGAAATCTCATTGACGTAGTTTAAAAATAAAACGATACAAATTTATCGACAGATTCTCTCGTAGTCTTGCGTATTTTTGTCGAGTTTTGTTGAAGATAATAGAAACTAGATTTAACAATTTTAATAAGCCGAGACTTGAAACCTACTAGAATATCGTTTTCTTTCATTTAACGTTTTACAAATAACATAACAGCTGGTGACGACAATGTTTACGAATGCAAATTTCAAACAAAGGATCTCCTCTGAAAACCGGCTTTCAGGAATTTCTGTCATGTTTTATGACCACGTTCGTTAAAATACACACTGGAGTATAAATAAAACTGTGATATTCTGCTGAAAAATGACAAAATTGAGCAAGAAATACGATTTATAATTAATTTTTAGAAGGCCAGAAATTTTTTCCTGTTATTGTTTTGGGATTTATCACTTCCGGTCTTGTACGATTACTTCCGGTTTTGTACGAGTTTTTCCGGTTTTGGGCAATTTTGGCTTTTAAACAATATAACCATGCTTTGGTTATGATGACAAATATTTTGATATGAATAACCACGCTGTTTTAATTGTCAAATGCTTGTCCTATGTAAAGATTCAAGCATGTTTCGTGCTCATATACAATTCGTGTGTTATTGTGGTTATTTATATTTTATAATCTCTATGTATCGTTGTCGGTTGTCGGTAATTGTCGGTTGTTGTCGGATTTTGTCGGAGTTCACTTCGCGGAATCCAACATGGCCGTCGCTGCTGTTCATTCTTGTGGTAATCCAGCTGTTGAGATCGTATATAAATATTGCAAGCCTGACAAGAATAAGCTTTGCATGAAGCGCGATAAGGGCGATTCAAATTGTCAGGTAATTATTGGCATGGATTACGAGATATGCACTGGTTAAATACTTAAATTGCCTTACAAATGAAACCAATGCCAATATGATTTAATATGATCAATCATCATCAATAACTTCATCGTTTCTATGGTTATCATATCATCATATAAATCACCATAATTTGAGCATAGTCAATTAGATGATCGTCATCACCAATATCACCATTGATGCCATATTCAATTGTCCTGATGTCATCACTAATAACATCATCAATAGCGTGATCATCATCATCAGTATTTATGCCATAATCATGAATGCCAGTATTAATGCAGTCATCATCATCAATAAAATCAATAGTGTGATTGTCCCTAGCATGATTGATTGCATAATCAGCAGCAATATCGTAATCAAAAATATAATAATCACTAATGAACCATATCTCCACTCCTGATTGGAAACTATGCAAATTGCATAGCCAATATCACACACAGTTTGTGCAATACAAACTTTCCACACTTGTTGCCTCTGCTACTATTATCTCAGTGATTACCAACGGTCAACATAAAATTATCATCACCATCACAAATTCCAGGAACCTTACATCAATCTAACGAATGGATTTACTGCAGAGGAATAGCAACCACCATTAAAGCGATTGCCAGAATCTCAGGATGTAACTTGCTAGGACAAAATATTTTACATGAAGCAGAAATTGACCAATGGTTGGAATACTGTCTTACAAAAATTGATCCTTTCGGCAAAGATAAGAGGGAGATGAAGGATATTATAAATGTACAAAATTCATCATGCAATTTGTTTTTTAATGATTTTTTTACCAATTCAAAGTTCAAGCAAAATACTAAAGCTACTCATGTGAATATTTTTCTAGTTACTGGACTCATATTTAGTGGATAAAGTATTCTTTGTTGGCCATTTCCTTACTGTGGTTGATTTACTGCTGTTTTCAACATTATGCATTGTTTATGTGAGTATCTGTATATTGTAATGTTTAGGTCTAAAGTTTCAGCTTATAAAATTAAAACATATTGCATTATTTGACAGCATTTATTGACACATCAAGAAAAAGAACAGTATATCAATGTCTCAAGATGGTTTCATGAAGTTAGTATATTACATTATCGCCCTTTTTTAAAGGAGTTTCGCTCAACATTTTTGTCAAAATACTAGTTTAATGTTCTGCTCTTGTCTAGATTCAGAATATTTCTTGCACTGCAGATAAATCAAGAACGAAAGTGCCATTTCTACGTAATTTGTTGTATTGAGAAATTAAATCAAATAAATCTAAAATTATTCTTCTCTTGGTGAAATTTAGATTCACAACAAGTTTACAACTGTTCATGATAAAGCTTGTTCATTATCCAGGCTAAAAAAAGTATAGAACTCCTAGCTTTTGTGTAAAATGCCTAAACACACAGATTAAAGGGAGCTAATCTGTGCTTTGACTTTCCTATCTTCAGTGCAAAAAAGCTACACACTCACAACAGATTAGGACATAGATTAAGGGGACCTAATCCCCCTAATCTGTGCTTGTACTTTTTAATTGCTTTGCAAAGGTTACATTTCAATCACATGAAAAAATTACACAACAAAAAGTATTATTTTACTGCCTTTTACAAGAAATAATTCTGCTGTACACAAATGTTTATTCTACAAATTTCAAATCTATCTACACTAGTTATTTATTCGATTTGTGATTTAAAAGTTGATTATTTCATAATTATGCTTATCTTAAAGAACTTTTAAAACTGTAATGAATATTTTTCTGATGTTTTTTTGAATGAAAAAGCATTGAAAAGTTCAATTGAACACCATTGAGGCTGCCCTTGCCATTAAGGTAAAACTAATGGCTGGATCTAAAAATGATTACAGTCTTAAAAATCCTTTTACTGGAATAAAAAATTTAATATCAATGTTCTTTAATATAAGACTGTTTTATCTGTAATAGATGTTCGTAACTAACTCTAGGCAACACATGAAGCGCATACTGACATAGGATTGATACAATCTGAATGACAGAAAGCACCACAACGTCTGCACATGACCATAGGTTTCAAGACACACATGCATGGGAAACCTAATGTATTATTAACCGTTTTTGTTTCTTTCTTTTTTCTACTGGTTTTCTTGACAGCTTTTTCTTTTGAAGTTGGTTGTTCACCAACCATAGGGCTGATAGGAGTGGGAACTGTGGATAGTTCTTGTGAGATGGGAACTGGTTCAGTTGTGCTTGGTTTGGGTTCTTGCTCTTGGACATCTGAAAACATTATTGCTTAGAATGAGTGCTTATGAAGGCCATAGTTTAAAAAGCCATTGTTGGAATAATACTATTAATGATTTGTCCATCTATAACAAACATGTCTAGGACGTGTTCGTTCGTTTAGTGTTACATCTGGTTAAAAAACAATGCTTATTGGTCTTTCTACTAGTTATAAACCTCGTTGTTAAAAACACGACAAGCATACCTGTCTCTACAGTAGTACTAGCTGTACCAACAGCCTCGGTCGCTTGAACGCTAACAACATCAATAACAGGATCAGAACTCGTAGGTTGCACAACGGTGCGTGTATTATCCTCACTTTTAACTTTGACTTGTTTTGCTCTTGGTCTACTTCTGTTTCTATCTTTAGCAACACTTTCTTTTCCGTTCTTGCTGGCAGTTTTCCCGCTCTTTGAAGTCTTTCCATCAGACGTCTTTTTATGCGCTTTATTTGAAACACTTTTCGCTTTCGCGAGCTTTTGCTGTCGAACCAACGCCGCTTTTTGCTTGGAATTTAAATTTTTAGCATCTTGTTCGTTTAAGGTCTTGCCTTTGGGCAGTTTATTCGGGGCACTTAAGTCCGTATTTTCAGCTTCTTTTAGTTTCTCTTGTTCTTTTGCTAATTTCTCCTGCGCGAGTTTTTCTTTCGCCAATCTTTCCTGTTCTTTCTGCCATTCAACGTGGACTTGTTCCATAATTTGGTGACTTCTTTCTACAGGAGAGATATATCTCTCACTTTCCATAAACCTACGAATTTAGAAATACATATCTCAGAAAAATACACACGCCTTTCTTGATGACTGATTCCATACATAAACTACTCCGTAATAATCCATTCCTTACATGAACTACAAAACTAACTTCTCTTGCCTTTCCTAAAATAACACTTACTTTTCTCCCCAGGACGATTCAAAATGCTTTGTCTAGAAATAAAAAAACAACAAAAAAATATTTACAATGAAAGTGATTGGTTTAAATAAAGTTGATAAATTTTCTTAATTTCTTTCACTGCGACAGTTTATTTACCTTCCAAGGGTCTTGACTGAAGAGTTTCTCTTGTTCTTGTTGTATCTTTTGACTCATTTCTGGTGTGAACTCTCCTGAAAAAACATTTCATAATCTGTCATTAGAGCATTTATTTATAGATCTGCAATTCACGAGCATTTCACTCAGTCTACCGGCAATTAAATTTACACCAGCTGATGTTGATGTTAACCTTTTCACAGCCACTATACTCAGACCTGACTAGTTTAAATTCGGAAGAATTTTTTAAAATGGTCCACCTTCTGTTAGTCGCTCCTTCCAAGACTCAAAAGCACTCGTAAAGAACTCGTTACTGAACGCCGTGTTGGTTGGTCTGGAAATGAAACAAATTGTACATTGCATGGTTGGAAAAAACTTCAAGATATGCTCGCCTAAAGCCCGTTAATGTTCAAACAGTTGCAGACAGAATTACATAACGGTCTCACGAATCTTAGGGCGATTTGCATTAAGCGGTCAAAAACGTGAAACTGATCACATTTTGAATTGAAATAGAGTATTTTGTTGAGAATAAAGCGGTGAAACTGCATTTCCTGTGCAAGGCAGATGTAAATAACGATATACTTGAATGCAGAGTTCTTGAAACATTGTAAAATACCAGTAATCTGTCTGTACTGAAATACAACAGGGCCGGTCTGGTCGTTTTTACCGTATAAAGGAAAGCGCCCTTATAAATCAGCATGCATTGATTACATATGGTTCAAAAATGTTGTGCTCGAGCGAAATAAATCTGATGAAAGATGATGTTAACTTGGTCGGCAGATTCAGCGTATCATTCGTTAATCTTAAAATATTTCTCGTCTTAATTTTATTAGTTGACCATATCTCTTTCCAATCTCCTTTTATATCAGAGTTATGTAGCTACACGTGATAACAGCTTAAAGTTAAGTTCTATAATTAAATAAATAAGTTCTATATCCACCTTATTTCACCTTTGCTACCAACTTCACGATCAACTTCAGGAAGCAGTTTCACCAACTGGTACTGATAATGTTTTGGGAGCAAATTAAAAGTGCGGAAGTTAATTAAAGCCTAAAATAGAAAATGGCAGACAGTTGAAGTGTTTTTATGATCAAATGAAACAGATGACCTGGTTATGTAATACGGACAGACAGACAGCTGCATCCGACATGTAATATCCTATGCGTCTGTCTTTCCCTTACCCGGCAGTTAATCTTTGCTAATATGGAATCTGGGGAAACCAAATCTACTTGTCCTTCCTTAGACCTCTTCACTTGGGCAGCTGTGAAGTTAAAGTCGTGATTAGATAAACGGAGTGAAAAATCCCAAACGGATGGAATTGAATGCGGATGGAATTGAAGTTTTTTAATGTACACGAAACGTTTCCAATCTGGAAGCAATGGTAAATTTTGTGAAAGGTAGATAGATTAACAGACATGGCTCACAATGACACATACTGTACTGATAGGCCATGCGTTTTTGGCCAGAGTTAAATGCAAGATGCAAAACTTAGATGTATGTGGAGGCAGTGGAGCAACAGGCTTGCTTATGGATAATAAGAGGTGGAAAGATCATTGTAATGAAACAACTTGTTATTTTTTTCCTGCAGTAAAAATTTCGAGGCGTCAAACTTTCTTACCAATGCTCATCTTCTTGTGTCTTTTTTGCTGTCAAAAAACAGATATGGATAAGTTGAAATAGGATATAATATAAATACATTTGCAGAGTTTTAACTGGGTGTAGATATGTGGTTATACATGGCAAATTAGATTGTCTATAGCTATAGAAAGTTGGCTGGAGAGAGAGAGAAAGTCTTTTACCCCGAAATACCCTGAAGATGAATTCTTGACGACCGTGTGCGTTGGATACATTGGAGGCCTGAGAACTGGCGGGATAAAGTTCTGCGACACTGCAGCGGTGTCATCACCCATGTACTTCAACTACAGGAAAGAGAAGACCAGGATTGAAATTAATGTGATGTCCACTATGGAATATATGAATCATGGTATGTATGAATAATGAACTCTCAGTATTTGACATGAAGAAACAACATGGCAAGAATTTATCACCTCGGCCTTGGTTTTAACAGGTGGTCTGGTCGGTCTACTGCTCTTTGATTTCTTTTCATCGTCTAGCTTAAATGTGACGCGAGGCTTCTTTGTGGCGGGAGTATCTCGGAAACAGGGCTTCACGCTTCTCTTCTTGGACAGGGAGGATCGTATGGGCATGGTGTCAGGTGTGGGTGCGATCAAGCTGCTGAGACGTGAGTCCGCTATCGCACAAGCAATTGAGGAGGACACTGACGTTGAAGTCACCTGGCTCTGATAGGAGCCCAATATACCTTAGATTGGAAAAGGGTTCAGTTATTAAAAAAGATTTTTAATGAATATATCAGGTTTACAACAATATAATTTATTACATTGAAGATTGACAGGTAACATTAATGTGACTTACTGCTAATTGGCGGCAATGAACAAGATGGAGTTGAGTTTTCATTTGATAAAATTCCAGTGAAATGAGATGATCTTTCTCCTGATTCCTTGCCATCCGACAGCGCATCATTCGAGCTTGAACCTTCAAATATACAAACTGTGGTTGAGATTCTTCAGGTCTAGTTGGACAAGCAGTGCTAAGTGATGCATTATGTACTGGTTCCTATCCATGCAAACTTGCTTCTAGACAAGACATGAAGTGCAATTAATATCATCGTACCTGGTGAGTCTGAATCTGTGTCAGATGAATCCAGTAGGTCTGTGCGATTTTTCTAAAAAAAAACCCGCACAGATTAAACCAAAGATAATCTTCGCTTGCCTATCAAATCATGACTCATTTGTAACTGAATTAGCCACACAAAGTCAGGATATGCATTTCTGTCAAATCCAAGACTTACATTCAATCGATAGCAAGTACCACGTCCGCTGACTTTTACAAAAAGCGACGAGGGTGTTCTTGAGTTTGCATGGAGCATTGCATTAAGACAAGCCAAAGCCTGCGGATTTCTACAAATCACGAGAAATTATTGTTTGAATTCACCACACACCTGACCAAAATATACAACCATGAAAACACTTACTTCAAACTAACTTCCTTGAGATTTCCATCAAGTATTGCCTTTAGAATTTCCTTATGGTTGAGTGGCTCAGGAGATTGTTCTAAAACCTAGAATCAAAGTTGACCACCATATTTTACCTTTGATGACAGAATTAATCAGTACTTATGAAATGCCATGGACATAAGATTATCTGATAGCAACTGAGAAAAGCATTCAGTGATGGAGGTGGGTTCAAATATTCATAGAAAAAGTAAATAGAAGAAAGAAAAATGAAAGTGCAAGGAATTGCAAATAGTCAAATACAAGGCCAGAACCTAGAGATGAACATGCACAAGACAGGAATGTTAGCCACTACACTACTGTCATATCACTTGAAATCCAGTCTAATTCACCTTCTTGTACTTTACAAATGAAACAAGTTTAAAAAAATTTCATGTCTGATTGTCTGACCTAAAACCACTTCTAATATTTGTTTCCGTTGTTTCACAGAAATTATCATAAAGTCTGCTGCATAATGAATGACAATTTGTCTCGGGTACAAACAAGACCTTCTCTACTGATCACGACTGTTTATTAAATATTTCACATTCTTTTTATAAAATAGGACGAAGATTTTACATTTTACTAAAGAGTTGTTCCCTGACGTATTTCAATATCGTATAATCCCATTGATGTTTAATTTTGTTTATATTTTGCGATCACTGATCTCGAATTTGAAATTCATAGGGTATAAAGAGAATCTGGGCAAATCGAAAGTGGAATCAATGCATGATTACATCGCAGTATAAGAAATTTTGCAGGCAAAGCATTAGTTTCAATGTTTTAACATAAAGAAACTACACTTGCAAAGAATTTGCTCCTACCATTTTTGCCGCTTCTCCCCAAGTGATCCCTTTCCTTTTTGATTTATCCATTGCTAAATTAACTTTAGATATCCCTCCTTTGCATGAGCTGCAGATCGCTTAAAAACTCCTCGAGGAAATGAAAAAATTCTCCAATTGAATAAACCGATAGAAATATCCACACAAATCCACCATTTTTTCCTGTTATTATCAATGACCGAGCAGGTTGGACGGAATAGGAGGACTACGTTCTAGTTCTTTTTACTCCGGTGTTTCCACTCATTCTCAAGGTTTCCCTCTCGTGAAATTTCTCTCTAGTAAGCTGGTTCTCGACTTCTTTCATTACCTTTCTTAAGATTCTGGATTGGGAATTAAGCTGTTCATCAATTTATTTACTCTATTGAGAAACTGTTTCTCAATCGTAAAAAGGTCTCCGTTAATAGACAAAACGATTACACATTAGCTGGGATTTTAAAATTTCCTGTGCTATGTTATAATTTTAGTACCATAAATAATTTTTTCACACTCTACTTAATTAATATTTGATTTTGAAATGATTAAAATTGTGGAAAAATACTGGGAAAAACAGCCCCAAAAAGTCATTGAACTCTTAACATTTTTCAGTGGAAGCATTATTTTCGACGTCCGCCAATTTTGGAAAGCGGTTTCTTATATTATTTCATGCGCGTAGAAAGTACTTTACTTGAGAGAAAAACAGAAGAAAGTTTTCTGTTGAAAATATCGTTTTTTTTCAAGGTAATATTGATCTTTTTATATGTATTATTGCAGCATTTGTATTATGATTATGTGGCTTTTATGTCGTTTGTGTGTTTTCAGTATTCAATCGTTCATTTGCCTCAAAATTATTCACAGTAAATTATCAATTTAACATGAATATACTTTGGCAAGTTCTGCAATCTGCATTATGAATTTCAACCAATATTTATAGTCGTACCTTTTCTTTACATCTGACTCTGAGAATGCTTCATTTTGTTCTTCCAATCGTTTTTAACAATGCTATTGCAGTGAGATTCTGTTTTGCTATTCTCAATTTGTGCATAACAATCGTATTAATTTTAATAGATCTACAATATTTTCTATCATGGCTCCCCAACTTCGAGGATTTGTACAAACCAGGATAAGAAATGATCTTATAGTTGGTACGGTCTTTGGTTTGATTGCCGGGGCTATCTGGAAGCTTGGTTATTCCGATCCATTAAGAAGAAAATATGAAAAATATTACAAGAATTTTAACGCTGAAAAAGCTGCTTTGGAAATGGAAAGAGAATGAGAGCCGTTTGATGATAGGTAAGTACTTTGGGGCTTGCTTCCATGGGTTGACTCAAAAGAAATCTCTTTAGAAAAAGATCAATTTGATTAACTTGTTATAGAAAAGAAGATTTGTTTTAGTAGAGGAGTAAAATAATACCTTCATCCATTTTGCTTTTCCTTAGGTTGAAATGTTTGTGTTAATGGTTTCTACAAATTGAAGAATTCTGGTTTAATCCATGGATATCTTTTGTCACATTTTATTTTTCAAAACTATTGTATAATCTTCCTAAGAGTCAATATTTATGGGAAATAAAGAACAGTATGTCTTTAACTGTATTTCGTTTTCATTTCTTCCTAAACAACAGCCTAATCCTTGCTTTTCTTTTCAAAAATTAAAATATAGAAATATTTCCATTTAATTAACTATGACATCAGGAATAAATTGCTTCATTTCTTTTTGGCGAAGATTTGCACGCTTAGTTCTCCAGGATATCAAGTTTTTCTCTTTTGAAGTTTTACTGATAGTTATTTGCGGAACTTTGTGAAAAATTTCTGATGATTTTGTTGCTACAAGTTCATCAGAGTCTGATATACGACCCAATGATAATGGTGTGTTTAGCGGAGCACCTGGAAATAGAGAAAAACAGTGAGTGAAGTTGGTTTAGTTTAGGTTTCCTCCTGTAGTAACACTGGATCAATAAGAGATGATCCTTACTGGACCTCTAGGAAGAACAGTTTATAACTGATAGAGCTATCCAGTATAAATAAAGTTAGTTTAGTTTAGGTTTCCTCCTGTAGTAACACTGGATCAATAAGAGATGATCCTTACTGGACCTCTAGGAAGAACAGTTTAGAACTGATAGAGCTATCCAGTATAAATAAAGTTAGTTTAGTTTAGGTTTCCTCCTGTAGTAACACTGGATCAATAAGAGATGATCCTTACTGGACCTCTAGGAAGAACAGTTTATAACTGATAGAGCTATCCAGTATAAATAACGTTAGTTTAGTTTAGGTTTCCTCCTGTAGTAACACTGAATCAATAAGAGATGATCCTTACTGGATCTCTAGGAAGAACAGTTTAGAACTGATAGAGCTATCCAGTATAAATAACGTTAGTTTAGTTTAGGTTTCTCCTGTAGTAACACTGGATCAATAAGAGATGATCCTTACTGGACCTCTAGGAAGAACAGTTTATAACTGATAGAGCTATCCAGTATAAATAAAGTTAGTTTAGTTTAGGTTTCCTCCTGTAGTAACACTGGATCAATAAGAGATGATCCTTACTGGACCTCTAGGAAGAACAGTTTAGAACTGATAGAGCTATCCAGTATAAATAAAGTTAGTTTAGTTTAGGTTTCCTCCTGTAGTAACACTGGATCAATAAGAGATGATCCTTACTGGACCTCTAGGAAGAACAGTTTAGAACTGATAGAGCTATCCAGTATAAATAAAGTTAGTTTAGTTTAGGTTTCCTCCTGTAGTAACACTGAATCAATAAGAGATGATCCTTACTGGATCTCTAGGAAGAACAGTTTATGACTGATAGAGTTATCCAGTATAAATAAAGTTAGTTTAGTTTAGGTTTCCTCATGTAGTAACACTGAATCAATAAGAGATGATCCTTACTGGATCTCTAGGAAGAACAGTTTAGGACTGATAGAGTTATCCAGTATAAATAAAGTTAGTTTAGTTAGGTTTCCTCCTGTAGTAACACTGAATCAATAAGAGATGATCCTTACTGGATCTCTAGGAAGAACAGTTTAGGACTGATAGAGTTATCCAGTATAAATAAAGTTAGTTTAGTTTAGGTTTCCTCATGTAGTAACACTGAATCAATAAGAGATGATCCTTACTGGATCTCTAGGAAGAACAGTTTAGGACTGATAGAGTTATCCAGTATAAATAAAGTTAGTTTAGTTTAGGTTTCCTCCTGTAGTGACACAACCTTGCTCCCAGGTTTAAGGTAAGTTGTATCCCTATAGATTACCTTCAGGGGAATTTGTGAAATCTTGCAATAACTGTGACGTCAGCGGCACAGGTGACCTAGTCCTATCAAGACTGTGATTCCATTGACGTCGTAACACACTGGTTCTCAGACTTCCAGGACGCTCGACCACTACACTTTCATCCCCAAGCGTCTTCGTACTATCTACCGAGGGGGCATCTTTCCCCCGGGATTTTATCCGAGGTTCTTTTATTGCAGGGCTCTTTATCCTGCCCTCTTTATCCCCGGGGGTCGGTTCCCTGTCAACATTGGATAGACGTTCAAGTATTTCATGATCTACGATCTTTTTAGTTTTTTTTCGTTCTCTGCTCTTCAAGAGTTTATTCTTTGCAATATTTTGTTTCTCGCTATCGGAGCTATTTCTATCCATGACGTCATTTCTTTTCATACCACGTGCTCTAGAGCTGCGTCGTGATTTGCTGATTTTCGGGATCCGCGAAGTGGTTGAACTTGTTCCTTTCACAGAAGCTTTGCTGTATCCACTGACCGCTGAATCTGCCATAACTGAACTGACACGCTTCGCCTTCGAAACTGTTGGAGAAAAACCAATAATTTCGCATTTAGTTTGAGATTTGCAGTGGTCTGGAACCAGTTCCAGCCGTTTCCCGCCATTTCAAATCACTTGGGATACATTTTAACTTACCATTCTTTTCGCTTTTTAAGCTACTCGTGAGATGATTGGTTGACTTCGTCGCAACGCTTCTCTGATTGGCTAGTTCCATGAATGACGTCACGTCATCTTGCGTGCTTATCTTCTTCTGACGTGACGTTGGTTCAACAGTGGCTGAAATGTGTTTCGAGTATTTCCACAGTATGACGTCATTCTCCTCCTGTTCCCATGACGTATTCTCTGACATCAAGCTAGGAAAATATACCAGAAAAAACATAAATAAATTCATATCCGGCCAGCTGTCTGTTGGGTTGAGTGCCTTTGAATTTTGGTAGAAACTAAAGGCTTTAAAAGTTCTTTAATATACGAAGACGGGCTCCTGCAGTTCCTTTACTTTTAAAATTAGTGATGAAACCTTTAAAATTGTCTGAATTCCACCCATTCTGGGATGTTCTAATCCTGTGTAAGATGGTTGATGTATGGTATTTGTTCTAATGTACAGTATTTCGGTATAACTCGAAACTTCAGAGAAATGAAAACGTGTGACGAAGTGATTCAAACAACCTCATAAGTTGTTCCATTGATTTTAATTCTTTCTTCTCTTTTTCTTCTTTTTCCTTTTTCTTTCTTTCTGCCTCTTGTTTCGCGATTTTCCTTCTTTCTTGAGCTTCTTTTTTTGCCTTCATCTCCGCGCGATGCTGAAGCAATCTCTTGTCCAGCACCTTCAGCAAACTCTCGTCGTTAATCGAGCTGCGAAAGCTACAGAAATCCTTCCACATATTGAATAAAACCCGAAATACAGTCATCTGAATAAATGAAGCAAAGAGAGAGAGAGTTAGTATAACTGAGGATCTTCTTCGAAGTCCAGCAAGGACCATTTTCTGTTTCTAGGAATCTACCTGCACTTCTCTGAATAAATATGGTCCAATGTTTTGATTTCTGCTGGTTATACGCTCCATCAATTTCTCGGCCATTTCAATTGGAACATCAACCTGTAGCTCAGGTGGAATCGATGATGCGATAAAACAATCAGTTATTGCTTGAATTTTCTTTTTGATTGCTTGCTCTGAAGCGTGACGGTGGCACAAATCCTGTAAACATGAAAATAGTTATTGATTGAGAAAGATGATTCATCGTGAACTCTATGAAAAGGCAGAATATGAATACAAACTTTAGTTTCTCAAACCTTGTATTTCTGTATTTCAATCCAAAACAATACGTCATTCTCATAGGTATCGCCTTTCAATGCGACAAACTTTCTAAAGGCCAGGCAGGATTCTGGGTTGTTCAGAGTCTGACGTAAGGCAACAATATCACGTGACGAGGAAACCCAGCGGCTGTTGAGAACCTGAAACCAAAGATGAGCGCGTGTATATCAGGTGTTTTACTGATTGCTTGCATGGTAGCCATAAGGTAACTAACTGCTTTGACCTAACGAAGATGAGGTATAGGAATAACTATCCTTCATAACTTTTTATTGTTCTATCAAACACCTACAGATTTATCAAACAACAAAAAAGAAGATTAGACTTAGGAAGAATTAGACTTCACAAGTTTTTCTTGTTTCATTTATAAAGCCTTTAAGTTTTCCTGGAGCAGAAGAAAATCTCACCCTCCAAGCAGCCTCGCTTCTCTGCAGTCTTCTTCTCAGCATGATATCTTCCACAACCTCGGAAACGTTTTGTTTTGGATTCTGTCTTTCTCTGTATTCCTCGCTTGCTTTATACAGCGCCAGCCATCGTCTCTCAATTCGGCAGCGTACGTATTTTTGACATTCTGAAATGACTGAAGATGACGGACGCTCCTTCATCACACGATGGGAACCATTCATTGATAGGATCTGGTAGGGAAAACGTTGTTTAAAGTGAGCTGGTGAAGATTGACGATGGTTAATGAGGGTTAATGTAAGTGTTGGGGAGATTGATGAGGATTGATAACAGTTGATAAGAGATGATGAGAGGATGATGAGAGGGTTGATAGGATTTCATGAGAGACAGCATTGTCCTAGCAAGTCATATTCTTTACTTACTAAACTCTGAGCTTCTTTAGTAGCTGGACTGTCAGGTCCAAAGAAATATCGGGAGTTTAAGTACCCCTGACGAATCTCTTTCGCTTTCTTATTTCTTTTGTCTTCGATTGTCCTTGGTATTCGTTGAAACGTCTCCATATCGGTCCATGCCATTAAATCTATCACACCTGCTCAAAAAAAAACCACCAGAATCGTTCAAACATAACTTCACAAAGTCGCGGTGAAATGACTACTGAGATGGCCGTTGATGAGGAATAGTTTCATATATTTAACTCCTGGAATCACAAACCTTTAGGATCTTTCTTTTCCAAGTATTTCTGAAATCCTTCGAGTTCACTTCTATCTTTGATAACATTTTCAAAACTGATGCCATCGTGTGGCACAGGGAAAGGCTGATTTGCTTCCTCAATGCTGTACTTTCCCTGCTGTGATTGTCCGCGTCCATCTTGACTTTCAAGCTGTTGAGAAAAACAAATGAATTCTCCAGGGAAATATCCAGTCGATGGTTACTCTTCTACACTATAACTAACCCTCCCGGACTCTAGAAAGTGTCTGTTCTTTGCAAGAGTACTAGAGACTCCGAACTTTTTGAAAATCCATCCTCACCCGCCAACAACATTCCACCGTTGATGACAAACAAACTTTATGACTTTTATTTAAGCAAGAACTATTTATTAACAAGTGAAACGGAGTACATGTTTTTAATGTTTTTATTCAATAGTGTGACAAATCATTTTTAAAATTAATCGTACAAAAATATATCAATAATAATCACTATGCATGCAAGTATTCTTGGTATATTATTCTTTGATAAACAAATGTTCAATGCAATTTTTGATAATTAATGAGTTTGTGATCTTCACGGCTTGTTCTTATATATCCAACGTCTGTGTTTTTAGGTAATTTATAGCTCGTGCTTGGAGATGTGTAATGTATCTCCTGGCCAACGTGCCTATATCCACTAATCTTGGGAGGAAGTACAGTCACAACATCGTTTTTGTACGTCACTCGTAGATTCAGCCCTCTCAGAATTTTGTTGACATAATCTGAAAACCTTTTGTTCCCAACTCGAGGGGAACCGTACGTTATCAGATTTGTATTATAACCAGATCTGGTCAAATCAACTGCGGCGAGGGTTGCCAGTGCCCCGCCACGCGAGTGCCCAGTGACGATCAGCCTCGCGTTCCAATGAAGACGTGATAAAGCTCCGACCTTGCTATTCATCTGCTCTTTCACAGAATGGTAAGATTTGCTAAATCCAGTGTGTACCTCGCATTCGCTGCAACCCGTGGATCGATAATCGCGTCTCCTGAACTCGCGGTTGCTTATCGTATCATTGTCGTCGTCTTTGACACTGCCGCGAAATGATACAATGATTGCCTCGTTATGATATTTCACAAAACCACGGATTTTGTTATCACTATTGTTTCTTAATACAGAATCATCCTGGAGGTTTTCACTGTAAGCCTCGGCTGCGTACTTCACTGCATTCTGAATCTCGCTTTTCACAAGAGTATCTTTGTTTGGACAAAACATCCCATATAAACAAAAAAGACATTCCATATTAAATCCCTGGCTGCACAGTTTGCAATTAACTTGTCCGGTCTGGTCTTGATATCTTCCTCTGGGACATTTTGTCGGCAGGGCTGTCGTAGTGAAACAACTATGACCTGCAGGACAAATATCACACTTTGTTGAACGTCCAATTTGAATGCTGTATTCGCCAGGCAGACACGATTTGCAATATCTTTGTCCCTGCTCGTCCTGATACTGCCCTTTTGAACATTTTATCGGTAGGTCAGTCTTTGAGTAACAGCTATGACCAACGGGACAAATATCACACTTTGTTGAACGACCAGTTTGAATGCTGTACTCGCCCCTGTTACATTCCTTACAATATCTTTGTCCTCTTTGGTCCTTGTAGTATCCTATGGGACATTTTCTTGGCGCAGTGGTCGTAGAGAAACAAACATGGCCCAACGGGCACTGTTCACACCTTGTTGAGCGACCAATTCGATCGTTAAATTCACCACGTTGGCACCGTTTGCAATATCTTTGTCCTCTTTCGTCTTGATATCGTCCTTTAGGACATTCTCTTGGCATTCTGGATTTAAAGAAACAACTGTGACCGACTGGACATATTGTGCAAGATGTACTTCCTCGAGTATCTGCATAATACCCTGACTCGCATCTTTGCCGTGTGTTATCTCCAGGACAATAACTACCAGTCGGGCAGGTCTTGCATGATTGTTTCCAGAAGAATCTTCGGCGGTAAGATCCAGCAGGACAATCCAAAGAATAAGCTTGCTCGATTAGAATCAAACTTAGCAAAAACACGAAAGACTTCATCGTTGTATCGAGTCCAAGTGCGATGTGGAATGACCAAGGAAGTGCACAGCTGTATCAGGGTCATCCTCTCTACAGGAACATTACATTCTTTGTGTGACTTTGTTGGTGATGATAGACTCGCTAAAACTTCCGCATTCTACAGAGTAGTGTAGTTGCAGTATAGTCGATAAAGGACAATGAAGGTCTCACAGTATATAGCGTAGCCTGCCTGACGATTTGTCCCGCTATACTAATATTTTGGTGTTCATTGACTGTGAAAACAATAAATTTCTAAAGAATTTAATAATTTTAATGACTTGAAATTTGCATAGCATGAGAAATCGTCAGGCTGGCTACGCCACTGGTGGACAAAGGACAATCAAGGTCTCATCCTTGGTTTTCTGCGCAAAAAAAGCGTTGCGATAAAAGAGTATTTGAAATGGTTTAGACTTTAGAGAGAACGTATATCTGGCAGTCTCTTCCAAACCTAGCAGTTTTGAAATTGGAATGTGGTCGAGATAGCAAGCTATCCAATTCCACCAGACGACTGATGAATAATGGCAATTAATTTATCATCGAGAGTTTATATTACTGTGGTAAAAGATATCCCACATCAAACAACCGCCAACTGTTCTACACGCAAGATGCAAGTTGCCAGCTCGACATTACCTTTGATCTGTCATCCGGTTAAGGGTCTTAACTCTTTAGGTTCAGGTTTTATTGTGAAAAATTGGACAGCTGTCTGGATTCTGGAACAGCGTTTCCACAACTTATTTGCATAAGACTGTCCTCATAGGGGATGGTAATGACAAAAAAGAGAAGCAAAGAACTTTTGTAAATAATGCATATTAATATATTCTATTAAGACTAATCCCTGTAATGGTGGTCATTTTCAAGGAAATTTCCTTCAGGTCTGGAAGGAAAGTCATTGACCTTGGAATGCTAGATAGTAATGTATCCCACAATGCCAGACAAATCATCTATGCACCGCAAGATATCCCACACATTTGTTAGGCAATGCGAACTGAAAACTTTCATATGAAAGTAGGTTCACCTTCAAAATTCCCTGCCTCCAGATGTGAGGCATTAACAAGAACAGTTCAACAAAGAAACAATATCTTTCCCAATTCTCAATTCCCTCATGCAATGATGAATGCACTTGCCTCTTCCTGCATAAAAGGATTTCTACTTCGTCCTTGTATTCGCTTCAGTTTTACATCCAGATAACGGACAGTTTCTTTCTTAGGAATCTTGTTAAAAAAAGACGAAATATTTATTGCATTTGAGCACTTTTAAACGACGAGTTTTAGAGTATTAGTTTGATGGAATGGATGAGACTATGAATGGTTTGTTGATTTTCGTCTGATAAATCAATAATTTACAGGTGAAGTGGAGGCCACCCGCAGTAAACTTCTGCAGGGTTAGTCGAGACAGGTACAGGTGGCCATTGAAATGGGAAAAAAACGTACAAAAAGTATAAATAATTTATTGATATTAATTATATATCCCATGTTCCCGGTTACCATGTTATATTCCCGTCGTTCGTCGCGGCATAAGCTATCCCATGGTTCTTTGAGGCACGCCAGCACGTGATCCTCAACGCAGTCGAAAAGCTCTTCAAATGGTGGATCCAATCTACTCCGAATATCATCTTGGGTTTTCCAATCCAGCCTGATATCACTGACACTGCCTGACGTTATAAATCTGGCGTAGATCCACTGCAAAGATATTCCGCCGGTTAATTTTGTTAAAAGATATATTTCTTTGTCGTATATTCTCTTGAAGATCTCATTGAACGTTAGTCCTCGATACATAACCACATCTTAAAAGAAACCATTCAAAACAAACCTGTGCTTTCCTCAAGATGTCTGCAGGATTTAACGTATCGTTTTCAAATAACGCCGTGTAGTCCATGACAGCTTGCCAAAACGACAGACAATTCAACCACAACTACGTATAACAAGAATTTGGCATTATTTTTAAATCCTTTATCAAAACTTTAGCAACAAAAGGTTGGTTTAAAACATACTTGGTTATTTTGCTTGGAAACATATTTCCTGAAGAAGCATCCAGATTCGTTCTGGTACGTCAAGCTCTCAAACAATGATTCGTGAAAACCATTTTCTCTTTGGTAATTGAAGAAATTATCATCGGTGTTTCTGCCATCTTCTTGCCTTTAAACGAAAACAAAAGTAGTTAAGAAATTGTTTCCCCAACAAAGTGAGAACCATGATGAAGAACTCTACTGAGGAAACATGCTTGAAAACTACTCTCAGTGACCGTCAAAAAAGGCGGGATATTCACCTAACTGGCCAAGCCGTGCGTGCTTGTGGCTTACACCTTGGGTTAATGATTAATCTGACGGACGAGAGATATTCCTGATCGTTGCAAGGTGGAAACACACTAACTGGACCTTTCTGATAACCGTACTGTGATAGCTGAGGAGTCGCGTAGAGCTGTGAAAAAAAATGAAAGTTCTCTGTTATTTCGTTTAAGCCTTCAAAGAAACCCTCGTGAAAATACTTCTGGTTTATTTTGAGATCAGTGTCATTACCTCGAGTTGCTTTTTACCAGCGTTCGTGTGGCATGGCGTGGTTATAATTCGACTCTGAGCCGACTTTGATCTCGCGTGGGGTTTCTCATCTTTCCCGCGAGAGAGACTCGGAGTGACTCGTGGAGAACTCGTGTTTAATTTAAGACGCGAGGTACTCGCCTGTGGTGGGCTTTCGCGTGGAACACCCTCGTGATGTGGATCACTCGTGTGCGCGGTCAGGCGTGGAGAACTGGAGTGAGGTCTTACTAGATGGTAGGGACTGGTGCTTGGTTGGACAGCAGTCCTGATGGATTTTGGACCAGGTTTGGCTCCATGTTTGTCTGATGTTTGCGATTTCAAATGATGCAGGGTAAATCTAGGACACCTAGGGTAATTGAGAGGGTGAATGATAGTACACATGAGGATAATGTATGATAATATGTAGCCAAGGCAGATCTCACCAATAACACCGCAAAGGTTCTGTTATAACCCTTTGTGTTTCATTCAAATCACTTGTGAAATATTTCCCTGTTCGTTTCTTTATTTCTTCTGGTAACTCTAATGGCGACCCATTGCGGAGAAACTGTTCTTTGATATCTTGAAGTAATCTGAATAAAAACACAAATATTACAATGATCCTCTAACACTTCTGAAATTCCACAGCGTTACTGAAACTTACCTCACTTTGTTTCCCTCACTCCCGAGGTTTTTCCACGTTTCAACTTGCAACCAGAGCAACAACAAGGCTTCACCTTTCGTGTTGACGAGAAATTCTTTGAATTTATCCATTCCTGCTTTGGAAGCAAGGCTCGCTTCGTTCTCCAATATTTCATCTCTTTCATCATCTGCAAAACTGGATTTTCTGCTAACCGAAATATCGCTGCTTGCGATGGAACTTTGGGAACGAGTACGCTCTATCAAAGGCTTATCTAGTGATTTATATGATCCACTTTTATCGTCTAAAATAATTGACGTCTGATCATCCACCATTGAAAGTTTCGTATCAGGGTGCAAATTTTCTAAATTGACCATCGTAGCGGCGTCTGTAGTTTCCTGGATTTCTGAGTTATGAACAACATTATTTTGCAATGTTACATCAAGTGTGTCAATGACAAACTCTTTTGCCTCGAGGGAAGCGTTTTCATCGCCGTTTGGTTCCTTCATTCTTACATCATTACTCCTATCAATAGCTACTATATCTTGTTCAATTATATTCAAAACTGGCGATGGTGTTTTTAAAAGAAATGAACTGTTCTCCCATGCTAGACTATCCTCGTCAACTGTTATATTTTCAGAACTATCCTCCCTAGTATTTGGTATATTTCTATTGTTATATGCAACGCCATTCTCTTGTGTCGAATCCGTGTTAGTTCTCTCCATATCAGTAGCGTTTGTTTGCTCTTGAAAGCAAAGGTTTCTACTATTATTTTCTACCCTTTCACTATTCTGAAAACACCTGCATTGTTCAGTTTTGTCTTTGAGATCTTCGTCTGCGCCCAAGGATTCTTTCAGCTGTCCATCAGTAGTGTCATCAGCGCTTGTCACGATAATCATCAAAGGTTTTTCCTTTGTGTCAAGTACATTACCTTCATGTCTAGAGATAACACTTTTGTATGTATGAGCGTTATCGTCTGTAACTTTACCAACTATGACGTCATCGACCACGACGTCATCAGACATGACGTCATCAGACATAACGTCATCATACCAAGATGTATCAACGTTGCTTTTTGGTTGATCCAAACTGGCGTCTCCATCATCCTCTTTGTTGACAAAAAGTCTCGATTCTCCCGTAGTATTTGAACTCGACCCAATAAAATTCTCCGAAACTTCACTTGATTCATTCGCTTTATCTCCGGTACTTTGAACAGACATTCTCTCCAATTTATTAACAATTATTGGCGGGAAAGATTGCCCGAAATTCTCGGAAATACTTCTTGGATATTCTGATTCCACTCCACTTGTGATTTTCGTTGCAAAGCCTTCTCCATTTGTAGGATCTCGTATTTCGCTATTTTCTACCGTAGTTGAGGGGCGTAAGGAATCACTCGTTATTTCAAACTCATCAAAAACATCTTCACTTTGTTCAGAAGCCGAGTGGCGACCTGATGAGGCATCATCTCCTGAAGATCTCGAAAGTCCATGTTTAGAAAACCTCTTGACAATCGCTCTTGACAAGTCGTTTTTTATTGTGTCTATGTAGACCGCCTGAAATTAAATAGTACGAACATATAGATTGGTCAATATCATTGTAAGGTTAGGATCAAAATCGTGAAAACAATAATTTGACAGCTATGGAGTACATGGAAACACCTCACTGATAGTGAAGAAGCTGTGATTACCTGAGCTGCTGACAATGTTTTTGATAGTTTATACTCTGCATAAAGTCCACTCTTGATGAACTCCGGTAGTCTGTATTTCTTCAACCATTCCAAGGCTTTGTTCCTCTCAAGAACAGTGACACAATAACTGATCTGTACATTATTACTGGATAAATCATATTTCAATTGAACATTGTCACTTTCATCCTTCACTAGTTTTTGTGTGAACTGTTCCAATAAGTCATTTTCTCTGTTGTAGAAAATCCTTTCAGGAAAACACTAGATATCGGATAATTATGATATAATGAGTATATAAGAAAACTTATAACAGACCGCAATCAATCTGACAGCCTGGTAATTTGATAATGGGTATAACCATGTAACAATTTATTTACAGATTGACTGACTATTATACCATATATAATACTGTGTCTACAGACAAGGCAGCCCCGTGGGAACTTTAACCAACATACTGGTACAGTTAACTAACCACACAATTACCAACAATTCAATGTGCAGCCCAACAAATCGACCGACAGAATAACTAGTAAACAAACTAAATAACCAACTGGTTCTTAATTATGGCATTCATCTGGTGATCTGGGCAATACATACGACAATGGTTAATTCAGGTAGTAATATACTTACTGGTAGAGCAAGGAAAGTGTTGAAATAATCAACAAATGCACTGTCATCATGAAGAAATTCCTCCTAGGGTTTGCAAATTTATACACATTAGATTATTTCTATTTACTACCATGAATACACGCATATAACCAGTGCACGTGACTCTTACCAGATTATCTTTGGTCAGCTCTGATGGAAAATCTGAAACAGATACAGTACGTTTGAAAACATTACGTTAATAAACCGTTCAGCCACAGAATCCTACCGCAGTTATAGCAAGTATTTTATTAAAAAAGCCTATTTTCGAGCCTACATTGTTTGCACAGCTTTTGCATCAATTGCATCCTTTATATCGCCATATCGGAGGATCGATAGCTGTATAATTTCAGAATAAAGGGAAAAGATAAAAAGCCTACCTTCCATCTTTCCTTGTCGTTTTCAGAAAGAGCCATTCATTACTCGCTGGAGATCATTATTTTAACCGCGATCAATCCTAATATAAAGTGGTTGTTTTTATGATTTGTTTTCCTTCGATTGTAACATTTTGTAAATATTTACATTTCGTTGTTGTCAAGTCAACCGTTATTTCACATCGCTCGAAAGACGATGAAAAATGGCGATTCCTGCAAGGTTCCTGAGCTATGGTGTGCGGTTTTATAAGAAGTATATTTGGAAAACATGCTATTCCTCTGCAGTTAACATACCACGAACATGCAAAGCTTTAGTTTATAAAGAATATGGCGATCCTACCAAAGTTATCAGGTATAAACAATTAGTTTTTACAATGACAGAGTTAGGGTGCACCATAGGAGTGCACCATATCATATGGAATGCACATGCTCTGACTATAGAAGACTATCAGAAGTGGGCCTTCGTGAACAACGGCTTTGTGATTTTTGCATGGGAGTTTTTCACAGAGTTTAGTCCTGTCTAATAGTCTTCTTTATGTAGAATAGTTTGGGGTAGCATAGTTTGCATTTATGTCCACCATATACGTCAATATGTTGGTGTATATGAATGTTGTAGTAATTTCATGGTATGACAGTTTGCAGGATCATGAATTGCCTGAATTCACTGAACAAAGTGTGTTCCTGAAAATGCTGGCTGCACCCGTAAATCCAGCAGATATCAACATGGTGCAAGGTAACTTAACAGTAGACAGGGATGGTTGAATGAAGGGTGTGTTTCTAACATGATATTTCCACCACAACAAGGGGTAAGGGGTCTCTTCGGACAAAGAGTCATATATTGTCCATTGGTTCAGTTATCATCTCTAATTCCCTCAGGAACATATCCCATCAAGCCTTGCTTGCCTGCGGTTGGTGGTAACGAAGGTGTTGGTGAAGTTATAGCTGTTGGTAGCCGAGTAGAGAACATTAATGTTGGAGACTGGGTACTAATGGCTGATTCAGGACTTGGTAATCGTAACAACCATACATTTTACATAGCTCCATAATTAACCCAGCATTTTAATACCTGAATTAAAGCATTTTTTGTACTTGTGATGGCACATTGAAGAGCAGAATTTCTTTTGAAAGAAGTGCTGGACAGAAATTTCTGATTCTAATAATGAATATCTCCAGGGTGTTGGTCAGAGAAGAAGGTTTTGAATAAGAAGGATGTTTTAAAGATCCCATATAAAGAAGGTCTACAAATAGAAGTCGCAGCTATGCTCTCTGTCAACCCCTGCACGGCTTACAGAATGCTCAAAGACTTTGAACGTTTACAGCGAGGTAATCCTAATGTCCATGTGGTTTGATGTTGTTTCAGAGATGTTTACTTGCAAATACTTTAAACAATATTTGATCACAGGTGATGTAATTCTGCAAAATGGTGCTAACAGCGGTGTAGGGCAGTCTGTTATACAACTTGCTGCATCTTGGGGCATCACTTCAGTAAACATTGTCAGAGATCGGTAAATAATCTCTCCTCATTTTCTTTCGTTATTCTGCATCGTATTTAGCTAAGGAATTGCTTACAATGTTTGTTTTCTGGACACAGAGAAAATATTGAGGAGTTAAAACAAAATTTAACGTCACTTGGGGCAAACTACGTCTTTACAGAAGACGAATTTCAGAACGCAAATAGGATAAAGGAAATTTTGAAGGTAGATTTATACTGTGGACTTGATCAGCTAAGTTTTTATGTTGACTGTTACGTGTGGTAATATCCAGGCAACTCTCGTGCAACTCTTGTTCTTGTTTGAGCAGATCATGAGAGTTGACGAGAGTTTTCCCTCGTTTGACTGTTACGTGTGGTAATATCCAGTCAACTCTCATGCAACTCTTGTTCTCGCGGTTTGACCAGGTCATGAATCCTAATATATGTCCATGAAAATGCTTCATCTTGCTCACCATTTTCACATAGCATCACAAGGCTCCAAGATTGGCTCTAAACTGTGTCGGAGGGAAAAGTTCAACTCAATTAATACGATATTTAAGGTAAGATTTGGAAGCAAAGGCATATAGCTTAAATATATATCATTTACGCCATTCCTGCATGAATTAATTGTCTGGCATTCCTCTGTATATCACGTCTGGTGTTCTCCTGGTTAACTGAGCTTTCTTGTATTTTATCAGTGAAAGAGGAACGATGGTCACTTATGGTGGAATGTCTCGGAAACCAATTACCATCCCTACGGTTAGTTTTTCATCAAAATTGCATCTCAGTCATGTGCTACGGAATTAACCCAGTTCAATCATCATATTTTTTTTAAAATGATTTAGTTGGGTAAAAATGACTTTTCTTCTCCAATAGAGTGCGTTTATTTTCAAAGACGTTAAATTGCGTGGTTTTTGGATGACGAAATGGAATGAACGAAACTCCGAGAGTAAGTTTCAACAGTAATTCAGGTTTTGATATTATATGTGAGTTCTAATGACTCGTTTGCATGTGAAGTGCGTGGTCTCTCCTTCAGCAATCACCTACATTCATGTGTCATCACCCCCCCTAAAGTTTTAAAACCCGGGGGGGGGGGTTTAGTTATAGAGAAATAGAAGACGTTGACTTTTTAATATAGTTTTTTCTTTATTGGTAATTTTTTTTTCTTTTAGGTCCAAAGAGAGCGGCGATGCTCGAAGATTTATGTCAGATGGCAACATCTGGAGATTTAACACCTCCGGATTACGAGACATATCAACTGAACGATTATTCAAACGCGTTACAGAATTCTCTTTCATCTTTCACAAAAAAGTCGCTGTTCCTAATGCAATTATGACAAAGATGAAAATGTTTAATGGGTATAGCGGTAGAAACTAAAATGACAGACAAATGTCTAAAAAAACTATTTGACTTTGTTTGTTAAAAAGGAGTATCTCACCAGGCTCGCTTCTTGGAAATATTTTTCGAAATATGAATCGTTTGTCCAAGAAATGATTGTACTCTAATTAGTTAATTAGTTTGGAATCCTGAATGTGAATAATTTTATTAACACCCGCCTGTTGTTATCAGGGCTAACGCTAGATCTATGGGGATTAACTAGATGTTCATGAAGTGCATAGATTTGTCCCTATATTTATTTTGTCCTCGTCTTTCAATACACCCTGCAGCGTTTTACCTTTTCCTGTGTTTAGCCTGGAACGTGCGCTATTTGTGATAAAATTTTTTAATTAACCAATGAATTTTAATCAATGCCCATTGAATGTCTCCTGGAAGATTTCAACCAATCAACGTGGCTGTATTTTGCACGTGACCAATCCACGCGGCTTTTATGAAATCATTTTGGTATTCGTGATTTTTAAAGAGCTGGTCAGCCATTTTCAACTGAACTTCATGGGGAAACGCCAAAGGTGAGAGAATTTTCGACTATTTTCTTACGTTTATATCCTCAAGAGATAACGTTTTTGGTAAGGTGTGCGATAGTTTGTCTTATAAAGTTGTTATCCTCGTTTTAAAAGCGTTCTTTTGACCAAGCGGAAGGCTTGATACCAAGTTTGTCTATATCAAAGACGGTACAGATTGTTTAATCTTGGGCGTTTAATCTGTTTTAAGTATTCTTTTGTTAAATAAAATGATGTGATATTTTATGTGGTATTCATTCAGGGCTTTGTTGTACTTATCGTGAAAAGTCGACTGCCAGGAAAAGTAAAATACTGAGCTGGAAAAAAAACTCTACAAATTCAACCACGATGTTGTTGTTTTGCATGTTTGCGACAATTCAACCGTTTCTTCTAAATTGCATATCGTTCGCTGTACCTTGGATAACGCTTTTCTATCATATTGTATAGCATCGTAAACAAATAAAATGATTTGGACTTACAATGAAATACAGGAATTGTTGTTTCGACACAATCTACCAGCCTAAAAACAGCCGCTAGGTTGTGTTAAAATGAACCCAGTCTGACTGTTCTGTTGAATGGTAATGCATGGTGTTTGTAGTGATTCAGAAATGAAGTTTTATTGGTGTATTAAGTCATTTTATCCTCTTTATAGTAAAACAAAAAAAACCTTAGCTGTTTCTGATCAGCAAGCCACGGAAACGATTATTAATCAAGATAAAATGGAAGCAGCTTTGCCGGTGGAAAAAGAAGCAACATCGCACAATGACGGTGATATTGTCCACACACAGAATGACGATGAAAAAATTCAGGAATTAGGTATGGAGAGATTGCCTGCTGAAATGCTTAGTTTAGATGTAGTTTATACCCAATATATACTGGTATTCTTACGCTAAAATATAAGATAATGGCTGGCAATAAGTGTTGAATTGTAACGTGGCCCAATCTCACGGTTGATGAGCTAGTAATTTGGGAAATCTCGCTGTTCTTCGACTTCGTATCGTCCAGTCATGATCTTTTGAAGATAACTTTCTTTTGTTCCTTCACTACGTTGTTTTGAAATCCTCATTGTTTCCCATGTCATGATTAGTTCAGAGTAACCCCGATTGTCTTTTGTTTGTTTTGAAAATATCGCTGTTATGCATATTTAATATAACACTCAGTCATGATCCAGTGATCAAAATTGTCCCATTTTCATTGAAAATCTCATTGTTTTTCGACCCGTGAAAAGTCGTTAACCTTTAGGAAATCAAATTAATTTGATTTATTAAGATAGTAGCGTTAAAAAGACGGCCCTATATACATGTCCGACCGAGGAGTGACGTCAAAATTTTATCAACTTTTTTCTTTGTCAATAAATCGTGTCAACCTTTGTTTTTCTCTTCAGTGACGAACGCGAAAGAAGTGAAAGATGGTGTGGCATATGAAGTAGTCATAAAACCTGCCCTTGAGCCAGAAAAGAAACCAAATATTGAGTCGCCCGCGAAAGAAATCTCCAAGGAAATTGTCGAGAAGAAACTAGGCGATGCTGCTCATAGAAGACAGGTTAGTTCTCCAACCTGATTTACTTGTGACTTTCTTAAACTTTCGTGGAACTTCCGACGTCTAGTTTGACCGAGGTTTGTGCTAAAATAGTTGAAACTTTTGATGTAGATCCTCGTGAGCGAGAGACGACATAGAATCACAACGGAAATCGAACACGTGAAGCAAGTGCATCACGTTCGCAGCGAGATAGTGGAGCAAAAGACGAAGCTGGTCGCCGTAAAACTGGAGGAGAAACGAAAGACGGTTGAAGCAAAGCAAGAAGCGGCCAGATTAGAGCTGGAGAAACAACGACAAGCGAAGCAAGAACGTTTTAAAGATGTGTTACAACATGCTCACGAGAAAGAAGAGAAGCTTGTCAAGGTAGGATGACTGATGAGGCTGCTGGCAAGGGTGCATCGTTATATAACCACTATATCACCATTTTAGGCAGAAATTTGTTCTACGACTTTTGATGCTGTTATACCACAATTGATGCGATGTTTTTTAAATCAATAGATAATGACGCATCTCAACTGATTATCTATTGTTTCTAATGCGTAAATTTTGCAAGTGAAAAACACAATGCTGTGAAACAAGCAGGGAAATTTCTCTCGTATAAACTCGCCTTATATTTTCTAGGTCGCCCTTATTGTCCTACACAGCTATTTCTTTTTCCATTGACTCAATTTGCCCGTGGGGGGGGGGGTAATTTGCCCGCCCGGAGCATGTGCGATAGTAGGTCAATCTTTCTGTGTCTAATGGCATGCAGGCGGCACTAAGAGAGGGTGGGTTGTATTGCTAGTCCACAGAGGAGAAAATCACGGTGAAGACGGAAGTTTCCAGCGAGAAACGTGAAGCGATAATCAAGGGGATAAAAGAACAGCAAAAAGCGAGGTTTAAGAAGATTGAAATTGCGAAAAATATTCGCGAGGAAATACAGCAGAATCGTTCGAAAGATCTCGAAGAAAAAACACAGCAGAAATTTTTAACGGCCAAGGAGCTTCTGGAAAATCAAGAAAAGGCTCGCCAGGTATTGCATGTGTGCGCATAGTGAGTCTATTCTTAAGCTTGCAAAGCTCACTTCATCCGTAATCTCAAATGTACTTTCAATATTTGTGCAAGTAATGTATCAACCAACCTTTTCTCAGACCTCACGCGTGAATTACATATGAAAACCAGCCTCTAAGGCAATGTACACACGGTACCCTTTCCGAGCGTTTTCACGGTCCTTCTCATCCCCAAACGGTTTCAAACACCGTCAATTTACAATAGAAATTAAAGCCAATTTCAATTCAACATTCAGACACGGCGTCTAAACAGAGAAATAGAGAAAAACGATTTTGAAAACGCTCGAAAACGACGCCCGTGCATGCATGATGTGCACAATATTAATTTAGCCTAAAATTTCCCGCGCAAATGTTTTCAGGAAAAATTCGAAGCGGAGGAGGAGAGACTGAGGCGAGCGAAGCACGTCAGCGAGGAGAATATCGAGAACGAGATTCGCAAGAAAGCCGAGAAATCTCAACAGAAAATGGAGAAATACAAAGAAAATCACGAGGCACAGCTGGAAGCACGGCTAGAGAAGCTCAGAGCAAAAGAGCAACACAGGGAAGAGGTTCGTCTCAAGAAATCTGAGAGGAAAACACTAGGAACCCCACAAGGATGATGTCGTGAATATGTTGTCACCCGAGAGGCGCATATAGTTCAGGATAACATAGTCTAAGTTTAGCTTATATTTATTTAACTCATAGTTTGCAAGATCTATGCATACATGCATGTTTGTATATATTACTATTAGAAAACTCGTTTGTTTAATATTTATGATAAAATAAAGCAAGAAAAAAGACTGAGTATTTTATATTCAGATAAAAATATACGTTTATGTATAAGTGTCCACAAGGTCTGGTGTGGCTAGTGGAAATATCCAAAATGAGATAGACTATAATTATTCCCCTCTTGTTATTGTTGAGGTTCAGTAAATCAGTGGAAGATGTTTGGATTCAGGTAAATTGCTTTGGTTGATATGGAAATTAAGAGACACCATGCATCTTAACACGCGAAGACTTCATAAACCGTCTTGGTTTACCCTGAACTTGGTTTGCTAGGTTTGGAACAGCTGGGGAGAATGTACGTACACGAGGCATTTTTAAAGGATTTTAGGATAGAGATCAAACCAAACTGGGGTTTTATATAAGATCGTAGCATCATCTGTAGAGGAAACCTATGCTTTGATGTCAAGCGTTTAAAAATTGCTGGGTATAGTCTTTTGTGAGTCAAAATATGCATAACGCGAATGGCTTATAACGGGCAAAATTCATTCAACCGCAAATTCATTCAAAGTCCAACCAGCGAAGTGTTTTTCTAATGTAAAGACTTCACTTTCCTCTGTATGTTTACTTTTTTTGAACCGTGATTTTGGATGTCTGATCTTCAAATCGCGGACCTTCAAATTGCGTGACTACATGCAAAAGCAGGTGTGGAACTGGTTGGCAAGAAATCATGATCAGATATGATTCATTTTAGCAGTTGTTCATCCGTTCTTATGAAATGAACGCAAACAGGTGTAAAAGATGACAAGATTAGATTGGATTCATTCGGAGTTTATAACTCTGCATACGACCAGCGTTCAGTTATTGTTCAACTTGAAAGACAACGTTTTTTTAAAGAAGATAGTCGCAAAATTATTGATCAAGAAACGCAAAGCCAAAGGTAACTTTTTTTATTTTTACCGTCGCAGGTTGTACACGGGGGGGTGTGATGCTCTCCCGATAGCTGGCTATGCAACCAATTCTTTTTAAGTTTTTCTGGAATAAATATGCAACGTTTTTAACTGAGGATTTTACCACATAGTTGGGTCATTCTGTTTTGCGATTTTATTGTATGCTTTTATTAATGAAAATAATGTGATATAATACACAGCAATCGCCTAACTGAGTATGATTATTTTTTCAGACTCACAGAAGCCAGAAGATTAACTTTTAAACACTCGCATCGACGTTTTAATTCAGGATGAAAGTTTTTTTGCCATTTCTTGTTTGTGCTCTTCTCGCCGTCTTCACAACAATCATTCATGGAAAAGGTTCGTATCCAACCTAACCCACTATGTAAACCGTCTATTTTTATTTTAACCCATCAACTTGCTGTGTTTTTTACCGTAAAGCTGTACAAAGCCGTAACGTATGACTCGAGATGAACCCAAAACAACTATCGAAAAAAAGGCCTTGAATAGAAAAACAAAGCGAAAAGTGCTATCAAATTTGTTTTTATAATTATTTAGACTCCGCATCTCACGAGATTAGTAACAAGGAATCATCATCTGAGAAACGTGCTGCCTTACGTCCGGTTTTTAGACTGTATCGCAGTACACTTCCAGCCGTCTGGGATAACATGTACTTCGCTATTCACACCAAGGGAAAACCTTCAACTTTAACCCGCATTACAGACAAGGACCAAATCCAACAAAACAGAGTGGATTCTGGATGTACTAAGTATGGATGGAGACCACCAGGCTATAATATTGACGAGTACCCGTTTGCATCTAGTGCCCAGGGTAAGATCTCGCGGTCAAAAACAAGTAAAAATAGTTCGGAGTAGCATTTTCACAGTTTTTTACATAATGATAAGTATATATAGTTCAGTGGTAACTGCATGATGAGCACGTGAAACACATGTGACATATTGATCTAACACAGATTTCATGTTCTAAGGTGGAAAAGGTGCTGTTTTGAGGGAGGTTCCGATCAGAGAAAACAGCAGCCAAGGGGGACAACTGGCACAATTTTACAAGAAATATGATATCAATCATGGCGATTCTTACGACATCGAACTTATTCGGGACACGGATGACTAGTCAGTTGCTAGATTCAGCTCTTCATATCATGTGGTCTATAACTACTGGTGTTGTAGACGTTTCTTTTGTTCTGTCACAAAATAAATATTGTCAGAAACGTAATACGACATTTCTTTAACAAACGTCTTATTTGCGTGCGCGAGACAGAGACCAGCGTTTGTTCCTGGGTGGATCCAGCATTAGTGCACTAATTTGCATGACACAAGAAAACTGCTAAAAATATAAACCACTTTGTTTTGTAATGCAAATTTGTGTATTAGTGCTGCATGATCTATCCCTGGTTTGTTCTCTTTTTTCCCCTGATTTTTTGGGTATTTTTGTTGCCTTTTTTTACTCTTGACAGTCGCGTGGTGAGTCAATGGTTGACCATACATTTGTCAAGTCATCCAGATCTTATTATAGGACTTCCATTTACCAAACCCTGGGTTTTAGCGAGACAACAAATAATGTCAATATCTCCACTTCCTTGATTTCCGGCTCTGGGGCGGTTCTTCTGAGTAAAGGAAAACTGCTTCGCTGGACATTTGAAAGGTACGTTTCGAGTAGGCCAAAACACGGTTAACTTCTTGTTGAGCCAGTAGCTTGGATCTATAACCACTGACGGCGTATTTCGTAGGAGTGAAAACAAAAGGAAGTCTTGAAGTTGAAAAGTAAGATATCTGAAGGCTGAGTTTAGTGGGTTGACAAACTAGATGATATAGACTGTAGCAAATAGTCAATCATATGACTTCCGCCTCGCTATATAATGTGCCTTCAGTTATGGTTTAATACAGTATGGTAAATGCGAGTTATTTGATTTTGTAGAAGTCTGAAAGTTTAAAAATGAAGTCCATCCTATTATTCATTGCTTTGGTTGCTTTCATTTCGACTTTAATGGCAAAGTCTGATGGTGGGTATTGACTACTGTGCAATTTTGTTTCATTTTACTGTATGCATGGATGCCTTTGGTATCCTGTGTGCATGAGTATTCTCTTACAGTGAAACATGAAGGAAATTACTCCAACTTTATCTTTATATTCACCGCACTTAACTACTGAGCAGATGTGTGCGAGATTTTGAGGGCAGACTCGGGCACACATGATGAAAATTTCAGTTTTGATATTTGTATATTTGTTTATAGACTCGCTGAACGGGATGAAACGCAACAACTTTAAGTTATTTCTTAGAGCATTAACACCGTGTCCGACTATCACATTTCCCTGTTCTCGTATCCCAGACGTCTGCAAAAATATGCGAAACGCCATTTCCAAGGGAAAACCTACAACGTTAAACCGCATCACAGACCCGAAGAAAATAGCAAAGAACAGAAGAAACTCCGGTTGTCCAAAATTGCCAAAAGTACCGGGAAAAAATTGTGACGAATATCCGTTTGCATCGAGCAGGCAAGGTTAGTCACAATTTATTACCCAGCTATACTAGCGGGCATTTAAAACCGTATCAAAGTGAGTCGAGTTGTCGTCCATGTTATGACCCGTCTGTGAGAAGAACTGCCTAAATGCTAACGTCGAGATTCTGATGCTATGATTATGAATCTATATATTTTGTACAAATCAATCACAAATTGTCGCAAAATACGACATATAACTTAAGTCGCGATTCAAGTTTCATATATTTAAATACAAATCTTTATTTTCAAAGGTGGAGCGGGTGCTGTTATAATGAATGTTCCTTCAAGAGAAAACAGTATTCAAGGTGGATTACTGGCTGGTTTTTATCGAAAGCAGAAGATCGGGAATGGTGACTGTTACAAGGTTGCACTAGGTCCATAAATGACGGCTGATTTTGACGTCAGTTCTTTCCACTGATGTTTCTCAAAATGACTAATAATTATAAATGTGATTTTTGCCACAAAGTAACGTAATTAATCAGTCTTTTCAATAATTTTCCGTTAAACAATTTTTTCTTATAAATGACACAAATATAGCTAAATACGATACGTACTTATGTGACCACTGACTTTTGTCTCAAAATCGACTTAAATTAAAACTAACCTAATCGCTTGCGAATTACGCATTAGGGGTGTTACCCAAACCCCCACGCGATCCCCGCGATCCTCACACCTTTGGTAATTTCGCCCCGAATAACTTCAAGTGATTTTAAGGGCCAAAATTTCTCTCAAAGCCTGGGTTTACTGACGCGAACTACTACATATATACACACGAATATCGCCTGTTAATAAATAGTGTAGAAAATATACTTAAAAACTCACGGAAGTGTTATTTTTGTGAGAAAACGCAGAAGCATCAACGCGGTCGACCGTTTAAAAGTAACAATTTCATGGTTTAGAAGACATTTTGTCAACCATACAAGATTATGGCAAGATAATGGACATTAACTAAAAACCCCTCAAAAAAGTGTTTAAAGTGCCATTGAATACAATGAAGTGGTTAAAGTATGAAATTAGTACAATTAAACACCCTGCGATAATTCTTTAATACGGTGCGACACATGACACATGAAAGCAGGTGTGAAGAACTGATGTATTGAACATGCAATTATATATTTATGTTTTTTATCGTTCTGTTTATTCAAAGTATTCATCTGCATGTAAAGATCTTACACGAACTTAAAGGCGAAGTTATTCATTATCCAAGACCAAGGTACAAGCGTTTATTGATGATTTAATGTTATGAACTTGTGTAGTTGCATATATATTTCTCTTATAAATTGCATGATAAGTTCACACGGTACTAACATTAACACAAACTACTTTTTCCCTTCTTCACTTGGGCTAGTTTTTGTTTTCTTTCCTCAATGTAGTAACTACTACATAAAATTGTCACAAACTAATAATTTTGACGTCAGTTCTTTGCACTGATGTTTCTCAAAATAACTAATAATTATACATGTGATTCTTGCCACAAAGTAACGTAATTAATCAATCTTTTCAATAATTTTCCGCCAAACAATTCTTTCTTGTAAATGACACGAATATAGTTAAATACGATACGTACTCATGTGACCACTGACTTTTGTCTCAAAATCGACTTAAACTAAAACTAACCTAATCGCTTGCGAATTACGCATTAGGGGTGTTACCCAAACCCCCACACGATCCCCGCGATCCTCACACCTCTGGTAATTACGCCCCTGGTGATGCATGATGTGGGTATTGAGTTTTTGAATAACTTCAAGTGATTTTAAGGGCCGAAATTTCTTTCAAAACCTGGGTTTACTGATGCGAACTACAACATATATACACGAATATCGTCTGTTAATTAAAACTAGTTTAGAAAGTATACTTAAAATACTCACGGAAATGTTATATTTTTGTGAGAAAACGCAGAAGCAGCAATGCGGTTAACAGTTTAAAAGTAGCCATTTCATGGTTTAGAAGACATTTTGTCAACCATACAAGATTATGGCAAGATAATAGACAATAAAAAACCCACAAAAAAGTGTTTAAAGTGTCATTGAAAACAATGAAGTGGTTAAAGTGTGAAATTAGTACAATTAAACACCCTGCGATAATTCTTTAATACGGTAAGACACATGACACATGAAAGCAGGTGTGGAGAACTGATGTATTGAACACGCAAGTTATGTATTTATGTTTTTCATCCGGTTCGTGTTTATTATATTCAAAGTATTCATCCGCGTGTAAAGATCTTACACGAACTTAAAGGCGAAGTTATTCATTATCCAAAGCCAAGGTATAAACTTTTATTGATAATTTAATGTTATGAACTTGTATAGTTGCAGTATTTTAGTGTTTTAGTGACACCGCGTGGACCATGGTTAGTTTAACGCAGGTTAAGAACAAAAAATGAAATTTCCAATACTTTTCTACATGCAGAAACTTCTTCTTTCTGCAATAAATACGCAACATTTTTAACTGAACAATTTACCACATAGTTGGGTCATTCTGTTTTGCGATTTTATTGTATGCTTTTATTAATGAAAATAATGTGATAAAATACACAGCAATAGTCTAACTGAGTATGATTATTTTTTCAGACTTACAGAAGCCAGAAGATTAACTTTTAAACACTCGCATCAACGTTTTAATCAAGGATGAAAGTTTTTTTGCCATTTCTTGTTTGTGCTCTTTTCGCCGCCTTCACAACAACCATTCATGGAAGAGGTTCGTATCTAATTCACTATTTAAACCGTCTATTTTATTTCAACCCATCAACTTACTGTATTTATACCGTAAAGCTGTATAATGGCGTAAAGTATGACTCAAGGCGAAATATCGAAAAAAGGCCTTGAAAAGAAAAGCAAAGCGAAAAGTGTTATCATATTTGTTTTTATAATTATTTAGACTCCGCAACTCACGAGATTAGTAACAAGGAATCATCATCTGAGAAACGTGCCGCATTTATACGTCCGGTTTTAAAAATTTTCGCAGTGACTTTCCGCATGTCTGGGATAACGTGCACAACGCTATTTATGTCAAGGGGAAATCTGCAACTTTAACCCGCATTACAGACAAGGCCCAAATCAGGAAAAACAGAGTGGATTCTGGATGTACTAAGTTTGGAACGAGACCAAAAGGCTATAATGTTGACGAGTACCCGTTTGCATCCAGTGCACAGGGTAAGATATCGCGGTCAAAAACAAGTTAAAATATTTCAAAGTATCATTTTCACAGTTTTTACATAATGATAAGTACATATAGTTCAGTGGTAACTGATGAGCACGTGAAACACATGTGAGATATTAATGTAACACAGATTTCATGTTCTAAGGTGGAAAAGGTGCTGTTTTGAGGCTGGTTCCGATAAAAGAAAACAGCAGGCAAGGGGGCAAACTGGCACAATTTTACAAGAAATATGACATCAAAGATGGCGATTCTTACGACATCAAACTTATTAACGACACAAATTAGTTAGTCAGTTCAGTTGCTAGATTCAGTTCTTCATATCGTGTGGTCTATAACTACTAGTGGTGTAGACGTTTCTTTTGTGCTGTCACAAAATAAATATTGTCAGAAACGTAATACGACATTTTTTTAACAAACGTCTTATTTGCGTGCGCGAGACAGAGACAAGCGTTTGTTCCTGGGTGGATTCAGCACTAGTGCACTAATTTGCATGACACAAGAAAACTGCTAAAAATATAAACCACTTTGTTTTGTAATCCAAATTTGTGCATTAGTGCTGGGTCCACTCCTGGTTTGTTCTCTATTTTCCGCTGATGTTTTGGGTATTTTTGTTGCCTTTTTTTACTGTTGACAGTCGCGTGGTGAGTCAATGGTTGACCAAACATTTGTCAAGTCATCCAGACCTTATTAGGACATGTATTTTACCAAACCCTGGATTTTAGCGAGACAACAAATGTCAATATCTCCACTTACTTGATTTCCGGCTCTGGGGCGGTTCTTCTGAGTAAAGGTAAACTGCTTCGCTGGGCATTTGACTGAAGGTACGTTTTGAGTAGGCTAAGGCCTGTTTCCCACTTCAACCGTATCGTAACGTAACGTAACGTATTTCTTTGTTTCCGAAGTATTCGACCAGAACGAATGACTTTAAAACAATGAAATACGCTACGTTTCGCTGCGATACTGTTGAAGTGGAAAACGGTCTTAAAAGGCGGTTAACTTCTTCTTGATTCAGTAGCTTGGGTCTATAACCACTGACGGCGTATCTCGTAGGAGTGAAAACAAAAGCAAGTCTTGAAGTTAAAAAGTAAGTTATCTGAAGGCTGAGTTTAGTGGGTTGATAAACTAGAGTGATATAGACTGTAGCAAATAGTCAATTATATGACTTCCGCCTCGCTATGTAATGTGCTTTCAGTTATGGTTTAATACAGTATGGTAAATGCGAGTTATTTGATTTTGTAGAAGTTTGGAAGTTTAAAAATGAAGTCCATCCTACTATTCATTGCTTTGGTTGCTTTCATTCCGACTTTAATGGCGAAGTCTGATGGTGGGTACTGACTACAGTGCAATTTTGTTTCATCAGTTTTATTGTATGCATGGATACCTTTATTAGTATTTCTGTGTGCACGAGTATTCTCTTGCAGTGAAACATGAAGAACCTAGTAACGAGGAATCATCATCAGAGAATCGTCCTGCCTTACAAGTGCCGGTTTTTAAACTGTCTCGCAGCACACCTCCAAGTCGTCCAGCCGTCTGGAATAACATGTACTTCGCTATTCATACCAGGAGAAAACCAAAAGGCTATAGTATTCACGAGTACCCGTTTGCATCCAGTGCCCAGGGTAAGATCTCGCGGTCAAAAACAAGTAAAAATATTTTAAAGTATCATTTTCACAGTTTTTACATAATGATAAGTATATATAGTTCAGTGGTAACTGATGAGCACGTGAAACACATGTGATATATTAATCTAACACATGCAGATTTTATTTTCTAAGGTGGAGAAGGTGCTGTTTTGAGGCTGGTTCCGATAAGAGAAAATAACAGACAAGGGGGCCAATTGGCACAATTTTACAAGAAAAATGATATCAAAGATGGCGATTCTTACGACATCGAACTTATTTGGAACACGGATGAGTAGTCAGTTGCTAAAACCAGTTCTTCATATCGTGTGGTCTATACCTACTTGTGTTGTATACGTTTCATTTGTGCTGTCACAAAATAAATATTGTCAGAAACGTAATACGACGTTACTTTAACAAACGTCTTATTTGCGTGCGCGCGACAGAGAGCAGCGTTTGTTCCTGGGGTGGATCCAGCACTAGAGCACTAATTTGCATGACACAAGAAAACTGCTGAAAATATAAACCACTTTGTTTTGTAATGCAAATTTGTGCATTAGTACTGGATCCACCCCTGGTTTGTCCTCTTTTTTCCGCTGATGTTTTGGGTATTTTTCTTGCCTTTTTTTCCTGTTGACAGTTGCGTGGTGAGTCAATGGTTGACCAAACATCTGTCAAGGCATCCAGACCTTATTATAGGACATGCATTTACCAAACCCTGGGTTTTAGCGAGACAACAAATAATGTCAATATCTCCACTTCCTTGATTTCCGGCTCTGGGGCGGTTCTTCTGAGTAAAGGAAAACTGCTTCGCTGGACATTTGAAAGGTTTGTTTCGAGTAGGCCAAAACACGGTTAACTTCTTGTTGAGTCAGTAGCTTGGATCTATAACCACGTCGTTTTCGTAGGAGTGAAAACAAAAGGAAGTCTTGAAGTTGTAAAGTAAGATATCTGAAGGCTGAGTTTAGTGGGTTGACAAACTAGATGATATAGGCTGTAGCAAATAGTCAATCATATGACTTCCGCCTCGCTATATAATTTGCTTTCAATTATATGCTTTAATACAGTATGGTAAATGCGAGTTATTTGATTTTGTAGAATCTGAAAGTTTAAAAATGAAGTCCATCCTATTATTCATTGGTTTGGTTGCTTTCATTCCGACTTTAATGGCGAAGTCTGATGGTGGGTACTGACTACTCAGTGCAATTTTTGTTTCATTTTACTGTATGCATGGATACCTTTTCTATTCCTGTGTGCACGAGTATATTCTCTTGCATTATCTTATCACCGAGTTGAAGTACTGAGCAGATGTGTACGAGATTTTGAGGGCAGACTCAGAAAATTTCAGTTTTGATATTTGTTTATAGACTCGAACGGGATGAAACACAACAACTTTCACAACAACTTTAAGTTATTTCTTAGAGCATTAACACCGTGTCCCCGCATCAAATTTCCCTGTTCTCGTATGCCAAACGTCTGCAAAAATATGCGAAACGCCATTTCAAAGGGAAAACCTACAACGTTGAACCGCGTCACAAATCCGAGGACAATAGCAAAGAACAGAAGAAACTCCGGTTGTCCAAAATTGCCAAAAGTACCTGGAAAAAATTGTGACGAATATCCGTTTGCATCAAGCATGCAAGGTTTGTTACAGTTTATTACCCAGCTATACTAGCGGGCATTTAAAACCGTATCAAAGTCGAGTTATCGTCCATGTTATGACCCGTCTGTGAGAAGAACTGCCTACTGAATGCTAGCGTCGAGATTCTGATGCTATGAATGTATATATTTTGTACAAATCAATCATAAATTGTCTCAAAATACGGCGTATAACTTAAGTCGTGATTCAAGTTCCTTATATTTAAATACGAATCTTTATTTTCAAAGGTGGAGCGGGTGCTGTTATAATGAATGTTCCTTCAAGAGAAAACAGTATTCAAGGTGGATTACTGGCCAGTTTTTATCGAAAGCAGAAGATCGGGAATGGTGATTGTTACAAGGTTGCACTACGTCCATAAATGACGGCTGATTTTGTCGTCAATTCTTTCCCCTGATGTTTCTCAAAATAACTAATAATTATACATGTAATTCTTGCCACAAAGTAACGTAATTAATCAATCTTTTCAATAATTTTCCGCCAAACAATTCTTTCTTATAAATGACACAAATATAGCTAAATACGATACGCACTCATGTGACCACTGACTTTTGTCTCAAAATCGACTTAAATTAAAACTAACCTAATCGCTTGCCAATTACGCAAAAGGGTGTTACCCAAGCCCCCCCACGCGATCCCCGCGATCCTCACACCTCTGGTAATTTCGCCCCTGGTGATGCATGCCGTGGGCATTGAGTTTTTGCCGGAATAACTTCAAGTGATTTTAAGGCTGGAATTTCTCTCAAAGCCTGGGTTTACTGATGCGAACTACTACATATATACACACGAATATCGCCTGTTAATGACTAGTGTAGAAACTTAAAATACTCAGGGAAATGTTATATTTTTGTGAGAAAACACAGAAGCATCAACGGTCAACAGTTTAAAAAAGTAATGATTTCATGGTTTAGAAGACATTTTGTCAACTCAACAATATTCAAGTCGAAGATTGTGGCAAGATAATGAACCGATTCAAAAACCCGCAAAAAAGTGTTTAAAGTGTCATTGAAGTGGTTAAAGTGTTAAATTAGTACAATTAACACCGTGTGATAATTCTTCATACGTATGACACATGACACATGAAAGCAGGTGTGGAGAATTGATGTGTTGAACACGCAATTATATATTTATCTTTTTCATCGTTCGTGTTTATTATATTCATCTGCGTGAAAAGATCTCACACGAACTTAAAGGCGAAGTTATTCATTATCCAAAGCCAAGGTATAAGTGTTTATTAATGATTTAATGTTATGAACTTGTATAGTTGCAGTGTTTTAGTGTACGTTTTGACACCAGGGATTGGCTTTTAAAGAGCAGCGGTTAGCTTTACCCAGGTTAAGAATCTAGAAATGAAATTTTCCAGTACTGTTGCACTTCGTGCAGAAACCTCTTCTGGTTGAAAAGCAGGGGCGCAAGAAGCATCCAGATATTGCGGGAGGGGGGGGGCACCAGCTTGCAGGGACACTTTGGTTCATAAAAAGGGCAGCTGAAAATGTGAATCGGGACGGTTTGATTGCCAAAGCGGCAAGGACACCACTAGTGTGGTTTATATTTATGCTCTACAAAACGATTTGGGCACGTGTAGGTCCATTTTAAATAATATTCACAGCTACATTGGCTTATCGAATCCTTGGCTTAACCTTCATCTCAAAAAGGGCACCTTTCGCCACATGAAAAATCCCCCCCCTGTTTCGTACGCCGACGTTGAGAAGAGTATTTTTTTTCAATGCTTCTGATTCCATTTCTGTTATGTGACTATGTTTTTATTTTTGTTATACTTCAGGAAGATGCAAATCAGACGGTTCATTGGTCTTGTTCTCATCCTGTCTTTTTCCTTTGCGGTGTTTGGAGACGAGAAAGCTATACTGACGACCATTCGCAACAACTTTCGCAACGCATATCCAGCCGGGCAACAGTTTGGTGTTCTTTATCTTCACCAAGGAAGCGTCGCCAACCCCCCTGTCTACGATGTTCAGAACCTATGTACAGTCGCGGATAAATCGGGTGCGCAGAAAAACGTCATAAAAGAAGCTGCAGAATTTTGGTCTAAAAAGTATGATCCAGATAATAGTGTCGCGGTGCTTAAGCCCCCAATATGGCCGACTCAGACTCCACTCCTTGCAAAATATTGTGAAGATCAGCATCCTAATGTAGCGACGGCTGGTTTTGATCAAAGTATAGACAAACCCGTGAGCAATGCAGGTCATTCAGAATACCTTCTTCTTAAACTGGCGCTGAAGGAAATGTTGCAGTCGTACAAACGAAACTCGAAAGGCGTCTGTCCTGAAGCAATATTCCTGTATTCATACAACTCTCCTTGTTATAGCCTGCCATACGGGAAGTACGGTTGGAATTGTATGAATTCAATTGGATTTGCAAGAGTAGATATAATTAATGTGGAATGTTCAGGCACAATAGTACCATTCTATGTTGGTTACACGAGGATGTTCGATGGAAAACCAGAGGACTGGAACGCCGAGAAAGAAGCGCTGGAATCGGTAAAAGTAGATGTAATTAAAGTACCATAGTGCATGGTCAGGCGCTCCGACATTAAAAAAACTTGATTCATTCGTGAGCAGTTGATTTCTAGTCTATCCTTGATTTCTAGTCTGGTCTATAGGTTCCTACACCGCTTATATTTATACGGTACGCCTAAAACAGTATATAGCATAGCCTACGCTACTGCGGTAAAAACGACCAGATCGGCCATGTGGCTATTGTATTTCAGTACGGACAGATCACTGGTATTTTACAATGTTTCAAGATCTCTGTATTCTGAGTACATCGTTAATTACATATTCGCATATAACACGGGAAATACAGTTTCACTGCTATGTTCTTAACAAAATACTTTATTTCAATCGGCAATCTTGTAAATCAGTGACATGCAGTTTTAACCCTTGTAATATTATGTAATTAGTTATATGTAATCATGTCTCGTTAATGTTTTTGTAATTTGTTATAATGAAGATTTTACCGTGTTTTAAATAAATTTGATCGATCGATTGATTGATTGAGGGCTGAAATTTTTCTCAAAGCCAGGGTTAACTGACGCTAACTATTACATATACACACGAATATTACCTGTCAAATACTCGTATAGCCGGAAATATACTTGAAATTTGTCAAAAAACGCAGAAGCACTGAAGCAGCAAGGGTCAACAGTTTAAAAGTAAGGATTTTATGGTTTAGAAGACATTTTGTCAACAGAACAATACAAGTCGAATATTATGGGAAGATAATGGACATTAATTAAAAAAAGGGTTTAAAGTGCCATTGAATACAATGAAGTGGTTAAAGTATGAAATTAGTACAATTAAACACCCTGCGATAATTCTTTAATACGGTACGACAAATGACACATGAAAGTAGGTGTGAAGAAGAACTGATGTGTTGAACATGCAATTATATATTTGTTTTTTATTATATTCAAAGTATTCATGCGCATGCAAAGATCTTACGAACTTAAAGGCGAAGTTATTCATTATCCAAAGGCAAAGCCAAAGGTATAAGACTATAAGTGTTTATTGATGATTTAATGT